GCAGCGGGGCCCTGCCTTTGCCCCCTTTGCCGGGTCGGTGGATACATGCAACAAGGCAGCGGGGCCCGGCCTTTGCCACCTTTGCCAGGTCTGTCGGGTACATGCAACAAGCCAGCGGGGCCCTGCCTTTGCCAGGTCTGTAGGGTACATGCAAGAAGCGGGAAGGGGTCAGAAGTGGGCGCTTTGAGGCCTTCCCGCCTGGCAGCCCCTCGACAGGCCTGGCCAATAAGGTGGCAAGGCTGGACCCCTCTGGCGTGGTCCACCCCCGATCCATCCACAGGGGGGGGGGGGCCTCCCTCCCTGGTACATATATAAAAAGAGAACTACTTACCTTCTTGAGACACTTTTCTCTAATACGCTACTGCCTCCTCTCGAAAAGGCTGTTGCCGAAGTTAGTGGAAGGCTTCCTCCTGAAAGACTACACCGCTCAATTCGGCGACCACTGCCCAAGCGGAATCACGCTCAATCTCTAGATGCACTTCTGAGTCAATCTATAGACTCAAGTCAAATCGAGAAGTCAATCTCCTGCGAGAAGAGTCGCCAGTTCACAAACGCGTACAACTACGAGCTCTACTAGAAGTTCTTATTCTTTTTTTATCCCAAGAACTGTGTTGTAAGTTTCATCGAACCTCAATATTTATAGGCACAAGATGAAGTGCATGATCAAGATCATGCGCATTGAATATTCTTCCCTACTACTTAGCGAAAGAAAGATTGGGCTGGTCCCTCGAGTAATGCTCGATTTGGTCCATCAGAGGTACACGCGCCACAGGAGTCAGATCATGAGCAGTTCGCGTTCCTTTATTCAACAAATATTTGCTTCCCCCGCACCCGCCTCGGACCCGCATTATGTATCTATAATATGGATAGATAGTTCGCACAAGCAAGACACCGAATACCTCCACGGTCGATTGTACACGACCACACTCCTATCTCGGCGAGTGTTGTTCTGCGACGAAAAAATGAAGATGAAAAGTCCTCAAATTAACGATGTGGTCCATGCTCTGTCTATTTCCAATAAATGAATGTCGGTCCACCGTATTCCTCATGTTCACATCGACATGCAAGAAAGTGTCGCTTGAAGCTTGGTTCCTGTGTGTATTTAGCATCTATAATACATAGGTTGCTAAAATCTGTATAATGTTGATAACCTCTACAACATCGGTAGCTCAAAACTCAAGGATCGGTTTCTTACTCATCTCCCATTACTTGTCTAATTTCATCCTCATCCCTTCTTTCTCTGCATCCTATGTATCTGATTCTTTACTTTTATCATGATATTTTTAGTCTCTTTTATAAACTATCTTGCCTTTGCATCCTAACTAAGTCTTGAGACAGTGCCTCCTGCTAGGTAAATGATGAATTATGAATGAATATTCTGATTCTCGTCTCTGCTCATCAAGAACAACCTAGTGATACATGCATACAGATTCTTGATGATGCCGCCTGCCGTGGTGAGTAGTTCTAGTCCAGAAAACATCCATCAGCTGCCGCCTGCCGTGGTGAGTAGTTCTAGTCCAGAAAACATCCATCAGCTGCCGCCTGTCGTGGTCCGGAAAAATCAATTTATAGTTCACCGCTCCTGAGTTGTTTTCCAATGAATAGAACTCTCCATCCAACAACAAGATGTTTGACTTCATCAACGATATTTTTCCAGAGAGCAGTACAACCTCGATATTGTCGATGGCCGAGTTTGTGTTTCTGGACATGCTAAGTTTCGAAGAAATTCCTGAAACGGTGGAGTATTTTCTATGGTGGCACTGGAACTGATTGAGAACGAGGGATGTTGAGAGGGAATGTCGTCTCACCTCGTCCAAGAGATAAGTATAAGAGGAGTCTTAGAAGTATAGACTCATAGTACTAACTTCCTTTCCAGATGAAGAGAAACTACGAAGGGGTACATCGTCATCATCAGAAGGGCCTCGGTGTGGGAGACGACAGCATTCTCTTGTTGACATTCTCATGTTCTTTACACTCATCTCAATCAGGAGTTGCATCGTTCATATTTGCCTATGGTAGCTGGTATGATATGCGGCGTCTGGCTCATCCATCGATCCGCTGGTGCCTTAAAGCGAGCGAAGGAAGTCAATGAGCTTCAAAGTTATGGGGATCGATTGGTCAATATTGACCCTGACGAGTAGATTCCAGTCATCAGTTCTACTAGTCGTTTTTTTTGGAGTAGGAAATGGAAAGGAAACTTTGACACGTTTTCTAGAAGTAAGTCCTAAGGAAGCAGCCCTTTCTAAAAGAAACACTGTCGCAAGAACCACACGATTTCGCGAAGAAGCATAGTAGTCGGTGGAACAAGAAACGTGCAGCTTCAGCTTGTGGAGGATCAACATGATCAGTTAGTCGACTTAGAGGCTGGACCAGAGGGAGAGGAAATGGAAGAAGCAGAACAAGTAGGTGGAAAGGTTACACATACAATTTCTTCTTCTTTCCTTGATGTTGAACTACAAGGAGGAGGACCTTCTTTCCCAGAACTACAAGGAAAGGGGACGATCGCGACCGTACCGAGGACGACAAGTGAAGACAACTCGTCAAGTAGCAGCACAACATCCTTACAAGAGACCATATTGCAGCGAGCAAAGTCTACTTCCTCTTCGCATGATGACGAGGGGGTGAAAGATGAACAATTTTTAGAGCACACAGCATTCCCTTGTTCTCGGACAAGTAGCAAAAGTATAAGTACACGCTGCAGCTCAAGTCCAACCAGAAGTGGTGAAAGCGAAGATGATGCTGAAAGGAGTCCGTCAGTCACTCCAGATGAAGAGGAACTCCAAGGAAAGGATCCACAATTGCATCGTCATCTTCGTGGTCGTGGGTCTACTTCTACAGGTGGACGTGGCACATCAGACAGTAATGTCATTACTCACTACATGAAGAACCACAACCAAATGCTCACGGAGATGCAAATGGTCACGGAGGGGGTGGAAGACAACGTCGTAGTCTCAAATTCAAACACACCACCCGCTTGCCACAACTGCTCCGCTATTAATAACCCGCCTAGTTGTTTTGAAGAACTACATCAGGATCAGCAGCAGCACGGTCCACTAGGTCCTCTTCCTATGAGTCTTAGTATGAGCCACCGCATTCTTCATCCAGCTGTTCTTGAGCATTCATCTCAATTATACGTCGATCATCATGCTGGTGCTCAAGCTCATGAATTACTACAACAAGATACTGATAGTGAACAAGATAGTCCACATACTAGTAGTCGTGGTGCTCCTGGTTTTCTCTTCTACAGTTACGATCCGCTTTCCACTTCGGACGAAGAGGGGTCAGCTGAGGTTGAAAATTCCCCAGATCCAGATGAAGACCAAAAATACAAGAGAATGCACATCACAAGAAAAAACGTGAAAGATTTTGTTTACAACTTCTACAAGGACGCTCAAGTCGACGTCGTCGACCATCAGGAACTAGAAGACGAGGGTTCCGATCTGCCGCGTCTAGAAGACGAGGAAGACGAGGGTTCTTTTGCATCGTTGAACGCGACGTCCACACAGGAGAAAGCAGTACTGGCTGAAGGAAGAACGAGAATTGGATCATGCCGTAGAGAATTGGATCATGCCGTGGAGGAAGAACGAGAATTGGATCAACATCCTCTAGCACGTGGCTGTTTGTATCCGTCATCTGCTTTTTTCGTGTTCGCACAGCGTGCGAGAGCTTCTAGAGCTACAACTGCTTCATCTACTTCTAAACCTAGTACGAGCACCAGAGCAGCACAAGCAGCAGCCTCTAGATGGAGGAATAATGACAACTTCGACACTCTTGGTCGTCTACTCACGTATCAGGAACATCATACTCACATTGACAAACTCGAATCCCCCGAATCGGATCCTCAAGGTCACCAAGGGAAGATGAAGAAAAGTGATGATGCTAGTGGCAAGACTTCCATGAAAACTACACGCTCCTGCACATTTTCTACAATCCTTAGTTGGCAGATTCAGATCCGCGCTTATGCTTCGAACATGAAGACCTCATTAGGCCGTCTGCTTGAGATTCATCGAGCGTTGTGGTTGCCTTTCGCTCTTTTTACGTTGTGGATGACAGCAGCACCTAGAAATAATATGCCATCAAATCATGGACATGGATCCGATCTTGAGGAGGAACATCTGTGGCGACCTGTTCTGGTTGCTGCGCTATTCAGTGCTTACTTAAGGCCAGTCAGTCACTATCTGGTGAGTGTGATGTTACAGGATAGCCCTCAATGAATTATTCATTGCTGGTGACGTTGCTCCCCTGAATATCGATTATCAAGGCGTGGAATTCATTATAAGGGGAAATGTAGAAGCAAAGCATAAGCAAGTCCTCGTCACTCGACCACAGATAGTGACTGCCTTTAATTTATGGAGTAGTATGGGTGATCAAGAGCAACATCTTTCCGGATTTGCGACTCTACAACAACGTACCGATTCGTGGCTTAGCACCTATTCTTCGCGAAACTGTCTATGCTAGCGTCTATCTCCTCTATCCCATAGTGGCCTCCTGCTTTTCTTCAGTGTCCTGGAAGATCAATGAGCAGAATGAGGCAGCTGTTGATGTACGCTTGAGTAGCGATTCCACTCAGCAGCAGGAACAAATAGTTTCGTCGGTAGGAACTGTTTCTGTTATGGGAGAAGGCGACTTGACCAACATATTAGAACTCGACTATAATTACAAGCATCTCGGATGAAGAATATGAAATTAATACTCATCCCGTGCGATATTCATATTTTTCAAACAAATAGACAAACAGCACTTCCACCTTCTTCATTGATGAATCCCTTTTTCATATTAGCAGACGAAACTTGGTTTCCCGAACTCCAGATGAAACCTGGAGAGACCGCGCAGCTGCATTTAGACGTGCTTCTCGCGTGTTTTCTGTTTATCTTTGGCTGCTTTATCCAATTCGGTGCCGATGCGCAGCGATATTTTCTTAAGGCCCAAAGTAGTACGTATAATTCATTGATCTCATCTAGGGTCCTTTACCTGTAGTTTTCCTGTTTCCTTCTTAGGATCATTGATTCTGAAGAAAATAATCAGGGAACCAAGAAATGAATTGGCTTGTTGGGCTCTAATTTCCACCTACATTATGCTCCTGGTCTCCTGATCACAGACGGCTTCTTCACCATTGTGAGACATCCGAACTATGCTGGCGAATGCCTTGTGTGGCTCGGAATGACCATTCTTGTCGGCGCTGCCAACCCGTTGGCGTGGGTGCCTTTTCTTATGACTCAATTCGAAAGTTCTCATTATTACTTCACAAAGTCCGACTGTCGGACTTTGTCAAGTAATTGTAATAACGAGAGTGAGGATCGATGAGTACTTCTAGACGAGGAATATCATCAACTGTCTACTCGTAGAAGTCTATCAACAATAACTTTCAATTGTCTACTCGTAGAAGAAAATGATAGATAAATGTGATTGGAAGGATTATGTCTTTGTGTCAACCGAACCATTCCCAAGGTGAGAATCTTGTTTTTTTTAACAACAACATGAGTCACTCAGACTCATCATCAATTATAGTCAAAAAAAATTTTACAAATCACAACTTCTAATATGATCCGAACTGTGGTGAGAGTGCGACGGGATATCCCCGACAGAGACAAAAGCCTTCTGGAGCGTTACGGCACCGAATTCACAGAGTGGAAAAAAGAGGTGTCTGCTCTGATTCCGGGTTTCGATGACTAAAAGAGCGCCACCGATGTTGAGTAGGATTAAGGGAAAATTTTCAAAGAAACTAGTACTAGAGTTATGTTAGAATAGTTTATAGAACGGATGTAGGATGGACTTGGATGGATCGAGTGGACCCCTCTGATTCTTCCGATCCTACTTGAAAGGGTGGGAAGTCCATCCGATCCATCCCATCCATCCCATCCATCCCATCCATCTCATCCCGGATCTGGCACCACTATAAATTATTCTATTATGTGACTCTTACCAACATCCAAAAACTGATTATACCGTACATATTCGTAGATAGAAGTAGGTCGTGCGGTATAACCAGTTTAGGTCGCTAGCATACTGCATAGATAGCTAGAAATATAACTAAATCTACATGAGAATATCAACACTTCTCAATCGATTCTTATTCTTTTATCAGGTACCCAAAAACCCGACTAACTCAAACATCATGAAGTAAGATTATCTGTACAAGTACAAGAAAAAGAAATATTTAGATAATTCGTTGTATTTACCTTGTGTGGGAAGCCTAGGCATGGGCTGTTGTATCCAATATTCAACCGAAAGCAAACCTTGGTGATCATCAATGCACAGAACTACCAGGGCTAGTTGTTGTTGTTGTATCTAAGACCAACTAAAAAATTTAGTTTTAGTTATAGATCATGATCATGGTATTTGTCCTCAAAGACCTCTGTATCTGGTTGACCATGTACATATACATAAATCCTAGACTTAGATGTTGAAATCCACCCATTACCATTGCATTTGCAAAAATGGACATACTATGTTGAGGTTATCCAACAAGCAAAACTTCTACATGATTCAGTTCACCACCCAACAAGCTACTTATCTATAATAAGAACAAGAACCTCAACCTACCAGTTCTGCCATATTCGACGGGGCCTTCCCTGCTGGAACTGATATCGTACAATGTGAAAAGAAGTTGAAGTGTTCGCATGTATTTTCTTTCTCACGACCTCTGACGCTGACTTCTGTGTGGCAAAACTGCAGGGCGCGCTACTGATCTCGATCATCTTCATGCTAAGTTTAATGACGGTTAGCGGCCATGGCCTTAAAGCACTCAATGAGCGCAAGTCTAACATCTTGATCTTTTTGGGTCAGGTGAATATTGCCCGTCGGCTTCGAGCTAAGGCCAGGGTAGAGCGCATGAAAGCGAACAACTCCTCGAGTTTTGAAGATAGAGATGATACATTGATTGAAGAGAAACACAGAGAGAACATCAAAAAAAATGCTTACCAGTCCTCGAAACAGCTCTTTGCGTGGGGCGGGTAGGGGCGTGTCCCGACCACCACCCACGCCTTGCTTGGACGATAACTTAAGGCTTGCCGTAATTCATCTTCTAAGAAGCATCTCTGACCCCTTTACTATGAGAGGAAAATGCGTGGTTAGAGATGCTTTTCAAGATGAATGATAGTAAGGACTAAACAACAGCTGTGAAGAGGGTCCTCTTCCACAAGGTCAAGGTCTCGTTGGACACAGTATGGAAATCGAAGGGGACCACCAAGCGACGATGGTGGACTACGAGCCTTCGACGATTCATACTGGGACACATCCTGAAGAATATGTGACCCGATCCGAGATGAATGCACGAATGGAGGCGTTAGAGAAGCGATATCAACATATCACAGATGGATTGCTATCACGCATTCAACATCTCGAACAGCGATTGTCCAGCGGGGCAGGTGCTGCTGTTTGTGAAAAAATGGCCAGCTCAAAATTTACATGTGAAACTCCTTCAAAAATTTTCACGCCTCGGCGCAGCTTCCTCACCTTACAGCGCGGGGGCGCGTCGGTTTGTGAAAAAATGAAGAATTATAAGTCGAAGTCCGTAGTCGGTTTTCTGATTAACCTCTCCAACTACTCGTCTTTGCATCGACACCAACAGGTACTATCTTCCCCTCACTCACGACCGCATCCAAGCGTGCTCGAAGTCCACCTTTGCCTAACAAGTACGTGCCGAAGTCGTTCCAGCTGCCTCGTGCCCGTGACGTAGCCACGGGTTTGAATACAAGCAGGATATCTGTGGGCAGTTCGACACCTGCGAAAAAACTAATCGCGACACCGAATCTTCCAACCACCAAGAAAACTCCGACTACAGCCAATCTAGGGGAGAAGGCTAGCTCTCCTTTGGTGTCCGGTGGGCCTTCACACCACGATGCAACTCCTGGTAAGAATACAACGAATGTTTGTGCCAAGATGAGTACGTCGACCACAAGCAAAATATCTTCGGCAGCTCCCGTCAGCAAAAGTAGTAAAACCAGAACTGCAGCTACTGCAACCGGTGGATCTGTCCGAGGAGAGCACCCTGCTGCTCACAGAGAACAACATCAAGTACCGACCAGCAGCCGCACAAGGACAGGATCTTGTCGAACAATTACCTCACCTACTGCGTCGACTCGTGGAACAGGCGGATTTCACAACGTTCGTCCGGAACCATTGGAGTCCAACGATATTGATATGGAAATGTTGGTCGTAGACAGGAACGTGAAGATCATTTGAGTGTATAATTTTGTTTGTTCTTGGGAAGTCATTTTATAAATAAAGCCGTGCTCAGTGAGTTTGTCGGCTTTTGTTCCTTCGTTATTTGCCTCGTCCATGTTCCTCATGTAGCTTCCTCACGTTTTCGCGCTTCCGATATAAATGTCTCTTCTTATTTCTCTGCTTTCTCTGCATTTTTAATGCCTTTTCTCTCTTCATACTCTAGTCGACTTCGGCACACGCTGTAGTGGCGACGTGTGTGGTTAGTCCGACGATGGGTACAGCTGTAACACCAGTTTCGAGTGAGCAGAAAATCATGAACTTGAATCCGTTGGTGCAAAGAACGACAGGAGACATGTTCTTGAAATGCACTGCTGGAGGTACTACTCCTGCAACTGATTATGGCTGACCACGCTCCTGACCCGAATCCATCTCGTCCAGTGAACAAGCTTGATGCACATCTTGAAGCTCCTGTGGTGGCCCATTATAAGGGAAAAGGACCACCATAATCTCGATCTACTTCTTTGTATCTTCCAAAGTGGGAAGATAGCACTACGATTTTTAGGGTATTGAAGACGTGAACAACTCTTCTAAACTGGAGTACACTCCTCGATACAGGAACTCTTCTTCTAAACTGAAGTACTAGTACACTCGATACAGCAGAGTTCATCCGGAGGAGCACGTCGTGCTATCACTACGCGAAAACCCGCTGTTCCGCGTGCCCCACGACGCAGTCCGGATCGGTCTGCCAAGAATATTGGACTTGGACCAGTTGACGTAGCTACTCCTCGAATCGTAGCTACTTCTGCATCAACCAAAAATTCGAACAAAAACATGGCGATTTTATGGAGAAGAACCAAGACCAACATGAACATACTTAGACACAATATACGACCCAAGATAGCAGCACCCATACTCATCATCACAGGTCTTGCTAATTGCAAGCTTGTTTGTAAATGTGGCCGCTCTGTGGTTCTCAAGACCAACATGAACTACATAGACACATGCTTTTCATCTAAGATCCAAAGTACCTCTTTCCGAATAATAAATATTGGGTCAATCACGACTTGTTGTAAGAAGTTGAAGTAGTCTTTCTCTTCTCACTGTCGTGATTCTAGTAGGGCCACTGGTATTAGTTCGTTTGGTGTATGCGCTTGGGTTCATAACAAAAACCCCTCAAGATCATTCTAAGAAAAGCGAACAATCTGATGCAGCAAGTCCACCAAAACAATTCGCTGAGCAGCATTCTGGTCAATGCACACTTATCCGAACGAGCCGCTGCAAGATCGACAATGAGTCAACTCAACATCAACTACCACTTTATGAGAAGAACATAAGTTTTGCTGTTGCGTGTTTTTTGAAAATAAAGGGTCACTACCAGGGTATTCATCATTAATTTATTTGGTTGAACAACTTTTCTTTTAGAAGGAGTAGTGTATGGTTCTAGTATTTGGTAACCTGAATTCGATCACAAGGATTCCCTTCTTGTTTTCCTCATGATCACAATCAGGCTACCAAATACCAACGCCATTCAAGTAGTAACTACTACCTAGTCGTGGTCGTGGAGGTGAGAGAAGTTGTAGGTTGAAGATTGATAGCATTGGAAATGCCTGACAATGAGAAGATGTACTTATATGTCAATCTCTATCTCTAATTCCCGCCCAGATCAACAGCATCAACCGATTAGCACCAAGGTTCGAGGGGTTGTAAAAACAGGAGGGGCACCTAAGAGGGCACCACGACCTCCCGCGGTTCCAAAGATGAGAGCTCCACTCGTTGTCAAAGCTGAAGTTGGTGGAAAAGCACAATCTACTTCTGCTTCTATTATGTTGCCGCTGGTGGGTCTAGAGGCGGATCAGGAGGAATCCATACATCATGATCTTGATCATGTGCATGCAGCAGATCATCAAGCAGGAGAGGACGAGATGGACATGGATATTATCCACGATCAGCATCATGAAGCAGATCATGAAGTAGATCTTGAATCTACTTCTGCTATTATGCCACTGGTGGGTCTAGAGGCGGATCAGGAGGTAGTGGGAGATGATCTTCTACAACATAAACCTGATCATGCTCATGGTCATCATGATGTTGAGCAGCAAGGGCTGAATCAGGAACTAGCAGATGTTGACTTTAAAGAGGTGCTCAAAAAGGTTGATTTATTTTCATCCTCCAGTACCTGTACCACGACTACGACTAAGAGTACTTTGCAAAAAACGAATTGGACGATCGCACATCAGGGATTACCCGACTCAGATGCGGAGTGTCACCGTCGTCTTCGCGCCGCTTCATTCGCGAGATTTGACGTCAACCGCAATGGCTTCTTACGTCTTGTAGAAGTAGAAAAAGCAGTAGAAACCTTTCTCGACGACTTGCAGGGCACAACGAGCAGTCTGGGGGAACATCAAGTACAACAAGGTGTTGTCCCCAAGATGAACATGATCACCCTCTCCCTGGACGCCTTACGACCAATGATCGCACGCTTGTACGAATCCTGTTTAGGCGCAAATCCAGTCTCGGGACACAAAAACGCCGGTTTGTTTCCGAAACAGTTCCAGCGATTTCTGCAACAAGTGAAGCTTGGGATGGAGTATTCGATAAACTACTGAAATAAGCAAGCAACTACTTAAAATAAGCGAGATACTAAAACAAGAGCAACCTTGTAATGGCTCTGTTATTTCAGTTAGCTACTCGCTTATTTTCACTTTTCGAGTAATCTTCTTCTACTCTCTCACTTTATAATTTAACGACGAATGGACTTGAAGTCTTCGATCATTACTTGTCAACATCTTGGGACTAGAAATCACTTCCTCGTCATACTTCTCATGACGACCTTACAACCAACTTCTACTTACGAGGTTACACGATCTTTTCGGTGTTCCGAACTGTGATGAGGGACGACGGGTTCTTGTAAAGGAAGCACTGGAGAAGTTAGCTGAGTGGGGTGTGCCAGATTACCGTCTCAAAGCTCAATTTGGCAAGCTGGTGTCTGCCAGTAGTAGCGTACTGTTGGAGGATCTTTGTTCCTGGGCCATTAGCGAAAAGAGAGCCAGCGAAACTTTTTCTGTTTCGACTGCTATGCCAGAAGACAACTACAACGTTCCACCAGTGGCAGAGAATCGCTATGTGGAAGAGGAAGAACAGATGATAACATCTTCTCCAGAGGTGGAAGAACGGCAAGAAGGTGCAGCTTCGGGAGTGCCGTCGGCTTGTGCTGTTGAAGGTACATTGGTATTTGATAGATTCGGTTTCGTGTCGTCGTCTACAATGAATGACACTTTAGTTGTACTACATGCTTGCTTACTTTTACTTTTCATGTTTCATTCTCTTAAACTTACTTGAACTTGCTTAAACTGTGCTTCATGTTTAGCTTAATCTTTGTACATGCTTGCTTACTTTTCATGTTTCACGGTCTTAAAGAACTTAAAGCTTTAATCAAACTGAATGATTATCAGCTAACGCAAGCGAAAGAAAGATGAACTACGAAGAGGATCCTAAGGTGCACCAGCTGCAGCAAGAAGTGGTCGAAGAAAGAGACCAGCAGGACGACGAGAAGTTGCAAGCGCAAACTGTCTCTGGCGTGCAATATTTCTCTATGGATATGGACCCGCCATCCCCTATTAGTGCTAACGACGAGGGTCATCTTGAAGACGATATGTTTCCTCTCGCCGTGGAGGGTGTAGAAGGGGACGAGACCGTAGGTGTAGAGGGAGACGAGACATCAAAGTTGAAAAATCTTTTGCAGCCGCTTGAAGGTGGCAGGAAAAATCTTTTGCCGCTTGGCAGAGATGAAGAGGAGACTCAAGAAACTGAGAAGGATGAGGGCAAAGAGAAAGAACCAGAGCACGACGTAGCTGTAGCACAAACAGAGACTGCCGCAACAGCAGCGTCAAGTGGCAGTGGAAAAAACCGCAAAAAAAAGAAGAAAAAATTTCAACCGACTGATAGGGCCATTATGTAGATGAATCACAGGGCTCTGGTTCTGCCGAAGCTGGGCTCATTCTCCTGTATGACAAGACGAGCTCTTTTTCATATTAGCATCATGGAGGAAAATAACAAGATCGAAATCGGTGTCCATAAAACCACAAAAAGTAGGAGTTGAAGATGCTTTTTACTGTCGAGAAAGAATCCCATCATGATTGAAGAGCCAGACAACATCCCGAAGATTCACTCCATTATATCACTGACATACAATTACGTTGTTCTTGCAACATCGTACGCACAACCTCAACCTACTCACATGGTTGTGGCGACAAGATGAACACGCTCAGTGCGTGTGCGTGCCCAAGAACAGCGCAATCCTCGTGTTGTAATTTTAGCAGCCATGTCGTGCTGCATGCAGCATGCCTCCTACGAGCGAGAAAAACTAGACAAAACAGATGTCTTGAGAAGAAAAAATCAAAAAAAAAACGTCGTACCAGATGAGTTGTTGAAGCGCACTGTGCAAAAGGGTTACCTCTACTTGTAAAATGCCTCTGGTCTGTAACAAGAAAATGTGCGTCGTGTTCTTCTTCTAAAGACCATGATTTCCGATTTGTCAACAAATTGGGGGTCTGCACTAAGAAGAACCTAACACTAGCCTGCGCAGTTTTCATGCGAACTACATATGGCCCTGTCGCTTGCGACGTCTAAAGGCACTTGTTGCAAAACACGCGAGCGTATGTATGTAGTGGAAGTACTGGCAACGACTGCACACACGACAGATAAGATGAAAAATATTGACGTAGAAGGACAGCATAAGGACCACAAAACGTAGAACAACCAGAACACGCGCAACAAAAGGTTGGGCGGCGAATTGACAAATCATCAAAGTCACCTTCAACATAGAAACGGTTTTCCTTCTTGGTAGAAAACGATGTGTATGATACGGTTTGGATATTTGTTCATTCGTGCTGGTTCGTGCGTTCTTGTCGAGCATGCAGCAGCATTTGTTTAACTGATTTACAGATAATTGGCATGCTGGGATGTGGATGTTACAAGCAGTACCTTTTCAAACCGCATAATTTCAACTAGCTTTTCGTTTACCAGGGTCTTCTACTCCATCGCCCACACGTCAAATTGTCATATACTTACGCAATCCACACAGTCTATTAGAGACTGTTGTTCAAGATCATCAAGATGACACACAGTGGGAATGATCGATTTTTTGCCGCCCTTCTCCGCAACGACGTTCACCCACTGACCGCGAAGCATCCTAAGGCGTGCATTAGCTACAGCGCTCTCGACTCCGCAAGAGTGCACTCGCTGGCCGGATCGAAGAAGGTAGTACTTAGTACTGTCTTTTTCCTTTCTTGTGATGATGAGCAGGATTCAGAAGTCGCTGTCTTCTCTGCTTCTTTTGGTTATCGTCGTAGTAGATCTCAGTTTGAGTCGTGTTGGAGGACAGGTGGTAACATTGAAATGAACGTCAAATAATTAAAAGCCCGACTTCTATTAAGCAACATTCCTACATTATCAGGGAAGCGATGCTCCGCAGGCATCCTATTCAAAGGCCTCTCTGGCTTCCGCGAGAAGCCACGTTTCTCTGCTCTCAACGGCTTCTACGCGACGACGACCGCGCTTTGTACCAGGTACTGACTCTGACCTCTTAAAAACCTTAACCTAGTAGTACTATGACTCTGACCTCTTAAAAACCTTAACCTAGTAGTACTATGACTCTGACCTCTTAAAAAGAAAAACCTTAACCTAGTAGTCCTCCAATCTACTTACCTTTTCAACTACAGTAAAAGTTCAGGTGTCCAAGCTGCCGATGCGTTGAAGAAGCAGTCTGCTCAAGCCGATGCGGAGGTAAACCAGACAAGTCGACAAGCTGCCTTAGACCACATACGTCGACTTAAGGAGGAATTGAGAAGAGCGAAAGAAAATTATGGCACTGATCGGCGTACTCTTTGTCTTCACAGTCAGGATTCACTACACTCAGGAGTCGTACAACGGCATCATGCGACCCATATTTGCTAGAACTATATGGTTGTCAGGATGAACAGAAGCGCCAGCTGCTGCAGCTGCACGCTTGGCAACTGCGTACTACCTGATGGCCACGATCTATTCAGTGTGTATGATTCACGACTGCAATGCTTGGAAAATCGTTAAGTACTCAAAATACGACTATCAGCAGGTCTTCACGCACTCCTTTGACAACTTGTGAGTTTCATGCGCATCATCAGGAACTCCCCTCCTGCTCCTTCTAATACCCAGAACTCGCTGAATTCAAGGCAAGGTACGAATTAGAGAGAAAATGGTCGCAGAAAGTAGCCGACCATCGAAGAAAGAAGGATGGGGATGTGGTGAATTTTAGGCGCACAATGGCAAAGGAAGACCAAAACATGCGCAGAGAGACGGATATTATTCTACGTAAATTTGTACTTCTTTGCTTGTGGTTCAATGCTTGTCAAACGCCGTCTGGTCCAATTATCATCATTATTTGCTTGTGGTTGTGGTTGTTGTGCTTCAATGTTCATCACGAAAGAGAGTCGTAGGTGTCTTCATATTATGCTATAGTGTATGAGTATGATCCTTACTTGGTTGGAGTCTCTCTCTCTACCATAACCATTGGAAACTTTCTCTCTCTCTCTCCGTCATTGGAAACTCCCTCTCCGTCATTGGAAACTCTCTCTACAACTACCCAAATTTTCAGGCCAACTCGCATATGAGGAGTCCCTTGCAGAGGTTCAGGGAGATTTGTTTGATGATGGAACGCCAGCCGATGTTGAGGGCGTGTAGAGGATCGGGAAGATGATATCTCGTAGCTGTAGTGCCAGCTGCTCTATCAGTAGAACTCCTATCTATGACTTTGTCTATTTGAGAATATAACTCGCACTTATAATCTACCATAAGGTCGTAGTCGTTGATCATTACATTTGATTTTTGATTTTTTCATCTACCAGTTGTATCATCTGCGAGATCTTTAATATTCATGTTTATCTTCCTTATGTCATCAACAGTGATTGGAAGTAGAGGCATTATGCAGCGACACGAGAAAGGACAAGTGTCGATGAAGAGCCCTTACTGGAGCAGGATCACTGAGACCATTAGGCAGCAGGTTTTGTCCTGCAAGTCTTGTACAGCAGCTCTCGGTCTGTAACAATCACTCTTCGAACTACTTGTATAGATGATTTTTGTTGCACAGTCCCATATTGTTCAAGTGCATCTTGCATAATTTTTACCATTTGCTCGCACCAGAAGCAATTGTTGAAGGAAGATGACCAACATGGCAGTAACATCATAAGGTTTTGTTCAACTCCTGCAACGCGTGGTGAAGGAGGCTAGCTGCTGTAGTGTCTCATCGTCAGCGAAAGCGATCTCGTACAACATCTCTTGAGCAAGAACATCTTCACCATCACCTACTTAGACCTACAGATACAGTTTTTAAATCTCTCCCAAATCCAGTGAGGACGTCGAAAGCAACACTTTCATTCTACATTCTTTCTACTATTTACCAGAGGTTGTGGATCTGCTGTTGCAGAGTAAAACTCGAATCCAAGTAGAACATACTGTAGTCTAGTCCTCGTCGTGCCCACATACTTTCCAGTGCTCTCTCGTGCCCACATACTTTCTAATACTCGCCAATTGTCGTAATCGTAAAAACAAGAAGAACCATTACGATAAGTAGACCAATTCACAAACAAAATGCCGTCCATCAAAGTCTCCGAGGCAATCCGTGCTGCCGAAAAAGGTATGGACTCAGAGTTTGACTCTGCGTGGCGCTACAATAATTTTACGACCGAAGAAAAGTGTGAAATCGCAGTCAAAGCAGCGGAGACCGGCAATGCGCATGCTTTCAATTAAGGATTTTCGATCTACACCCTTCACTGCCATCCTTGGCTCTTGTCCCATTAGAAAAGAAGCCAGTGGGCACGTTCTGAGGAGTGTACTAGTAGTTCCGCAACCTCTAACTCGAGGAAGCTTGGCGTTACAACAATTTCTCTACTACGGAGAAGTTCCGCATCTGTGAGGCCGCAACAGGAAGTGGTAACAAGGAGATCTTTGATGAATGTTGGCGCTACAATAATTTCGGAACCGCGCAAAAGTTCAAGATTTGCGAGGCAGCAGCTTTATGAAAGAACAGACAAATGATCCGAAGGATGACGGAGTGGTCCACTAAGACGAGGGTAACCAGTTCAAGCTTTGTATGCTCGGATGCAATCCTATTGGTAACTCCACTCTTCAAATCAAAAGAGATGCCGATACTCGGCACTTTATTTGAACTAAGTTGGAAATGGTTGGACTTGGAGACTCCAGGTGCTTGGTGCTCACTGCTCAGGGGCTTCCGTTTTACACATTGTTCACAGATAACAAGTAGGATGTCTCTACTCCTGACTAGTAATTACTTGTTCCTATTATAGAAGACCAGTAAAATAACTACTTGCTCCTATTAAGTTAGACCTGAAAGTTTCTAATACCCTGGAGCGGCAGCCAAGGGATTTTTGCTGAGGCGTGGCGTTACAACAACTTTTCCACAGAGCAAAAATTTGAGATTGCCAAAGCCTCCCCTCCTGGACACAACGAGAACATTTTCGACGATGTTTGGCGTTACATTATGGCCCCACAGACATATTTTTACTATTTACTATGAAGACTACGCATAGGAATACTGACTTTGAAAAGTGCTAGGTGTAGGTAAATCTCATACATTATTATGAAGTAGTAGATATGATAACTTCTTGCCTGACTTTTCTTTTTTCGGTTTTTGTTTTTTCTAGCGAGGTATGCTCCACCAACATTATTATGCAGACTACTTCTGAAAGAATTGTTCCTCATATAATTACTTTACATCAAGTCGAAGTCAAGAACTATAAAATCTATTGATTGCTTCCGTTATTTCACAGGCGCATCAATAAGAAACTTCCCAGGCTGACTTCTTGAGTTCTGTACTAGCTGTGAGTCATGTAGACTTCTACTTAGACTTCTTTTTTGTTTTTCCTCCTTCTTTCATATCAAACAACTTTTCCACAGAGCAGAAGTTTGAGATCGCGAAGAACGCAGCCTGGCATCGGCAGATGAAAATGTTCGAAGCCTGCTACCGCTACAACAACTTTTCGACCCAGCAACGAGAGGAGCTGAAAAAGAACTCCAGATCCGACGAAATTTCGAGATTGCTTCGCTAAATGTTCTTGAAGATGGCCCAAGAGCTGGTGCGCAGAGCTCGTCTTCTATGTACACCATTTAGAGTACTAGTTCGACGTTGTTGATCCGACTGATACTGAAGAAGGAATGAACAAGAAGGGCAAGAAGGCAGTAATGTGAACGAGGACAGCCGATTCTTCATCTTGTTGAAGATGTTGCTCTGTACTTTTGTAAATTAATCGGAATGTATCATCTATGACGCCCTTGTGGCAGTCTGCACTGAACTTTGTGCGAGATAAATTGTATTGTATTGCTCCTTCAGAAAGATGATCGATGGTGTTGTAGCGCAGATGTTGGTTTTCTCCATCTCGAAAATTGCGTTTTTCGAGCTCGTCTACTTCCAGTCTTGTTTCATCCACAGGGTTGTGGAGAAAAAAGACAGAGAATATATCTCGGTGGAAACACTTTGAATATTAGAGCAGAGGCAGTGCATCAACATCAAGGGATTGAAATTCAAACCAAGACCACGACCTACCCCTACGGGGAAGGATATAAACGTACGCACCTAGCGTCCTACAAGGAGGTTAATGTACTCCACCTGCCGCCAGTTTGCGAACTGGATAACACTGAGGCCACTGCTCTTTCGGCGGTCTTGGGATACAAAAAAAAATAAAAGTAAGAACTACAAGAAAAAAAAAGAAGCGAGAAGATCCCCTGAAATCTGAAATCTGTGGCATCTCAACGTGATGATTTTCGATCGCGGCGCCGTGCTGTCAAAGACCTCATTACTCACTTTTGATCTCGTCCGAATAGTCTTCCTCCTCCACTCATATATATTCGGACGAGGAGGAAGACTATTCGGACGATTACAAACGGACAGCTTGACTGGATGCCTGATCCCGAGGTTCCTGATTCCTGAGCTGTGGTGTGATAGATTGCATGTGAGTGAGTTGTAGTTTTACACAATAAGCAGAACATCACAAATTATCAATTTCCAACCATCTCTCCAAATCCAGGGTAAGGCATCCAGTCAAGTTGTCCGTTTGTAATCGTCCGAATAGTCTTCCTCCTCGTCCGATCTGTGGTTGTTGTACTTGTATCGTTGTAAACGTTTTCATCTGTTCTAGTAGTACTAAGCGACGTTGAGGAGGTTATAATAATCTTGGAAGAACATGATTAATTTCAGCATGATTTCGGGTGGTCGTGGATTGAGCGCCCAACGGTCCGGTCCGACGCAGCGAAGGAGGCAATAGGATGGATCATTTAGAAATAGCCGTTTTCCACACACTGGGATCTCATAGAACAAGTGGGCTCTCATTATTACTCTCATCTGCATCTTCTGTACGGAAAAGCGTGGTACCAATTAAAATCACGATCTTCTGTGGTTCCGCAACGTTTCCGTCCCTCGTCCAATCAAGAAACAAACATACACACCAGGGTTACGTAGAGGCGGCTAAGTCCACGACTAGAGTGGAATTACCTTCAATATCTTGCAAACTTTCATAGCATAAAGAACACCTTCTTGTTCTTCATCTTCTACTTGTTGCAATCAGATTTTTTAATATCACTAATATGTAAGGGAAAAAATTATCACTAATTATAAATACATAGACAACTATTAATCAATTATCTTTACAATACTAGAGTCCTTTGCTGTACAACCAAAAAAAATGACATTCCTACGTTTCTGTGGCGTACTAGCCTTCCTCAAGGGAAGCGAAGCCGCTTTCTCATCTGATGGCAGCGCTGGCCTCGATGTCGTTGAGGGCACCAAATTGCACCATGCAGCTGAGTCGGCAAACCTCCATGATGAGAGAATCAAGGACAACAACAGCCTGTCCTTGTGCGGAACAGCCAAGGATACTTCCTCGAAGTGGGAACTGGTCATGCCATGGCGCAAACTGAACCGCCTATACGCTGAGATGGAGCAAGTCTCGAACCGCGTAGACCAAAAAAATCAGGAAATCCGCACTCTGGAACACAGAGTAGTGTCCTTGCGCACTCAGAAGGAATTGGAGGAGAAAACTCTGGAATGTCAGGCTAAGCGCAAAATAGAGCAGCTGGACGACGCCAGCAAAAAAGAGATTGAGGCGTTGAAGGAACACTACAAACGGCAAGATGAGCAACTGAAGTTACGATGAACGATAAGGGTAGGAGTCGTTGAAGTTGAAAGAGTTTGTCTTGAGGTCTTTTTTTAAGAATTTGCTAATGAAAATGATAATGCTCGTGCTAAGATTCTTGACGGTCGTGTTTTTAGTCCAACTTATATTTTTTGGTACAACTATTCAATTGACAAAGAAATGACTTTGAATATTTGAATTCTTGTTTCAACATCTGTCTTTAGTGAAAGCCGATTTGGAAGAACAGAAGGAAACCTTTATTAAACGATTATACAAGGGAAAGCGATCGTTGTAGGCAAATGGAGAAAGCATGAGAAGAAATGCAAAAAAGAAGGAACATAATTAGAAATAAAGTGCATACCCGTCGAAAGACTGGGTATATCATCATCATCATTACGTAGCCATTTTGGCTCAAGGGACTTTAACACACCAAGAAAACGAAAAATGTTATCCAGCTGCAAACCCGTCTCTCTGTCCTGTGACAAGGCTTTTTTTCATCTCTTGTAAGATAGATAAGACTTTTGACTCTCTAAGGTTCGCAAGCTTACGGCATGCAAAGGATGAAATGCAGAGAAATCTGGAAGCTGATAAACTTAAGGCTTATATCCTAGTCCATTTGATCTCGTGTCGGTGTGTGATGAAGCATAATGACAACTACACGTGTGTGATGAAGCTTTCATTCAAGGGGAGAAACTAAGTGGGTAAAGGTAAGCTTTTATTCACCCACGTGTACTAGAAACGGAAGGTTCTCGTCCGGATGATCTCATTTTCAGAGGCTCTCAGGATGCATCTCGAGGGAGATGATGGGTTACTTTTACTTTTAGTCGTGAGTTCTAATCAACGCGAGATGGAAAAGAAACTGAAAGAGGAAACTCAGGAAAAGAGACAGCGTTTCCAAAAAATTTTCGAGGATGACATGGCTGATGTGCGCAAACATCAAATAGAGAAAAAACAAAAGCTGGAACAAGAGTGTTATGGGGCGACAATGTAGTTCTAGTTTGTTCCTTAACAGCGACCACTACATATATGATGTGCGTTGTTTTTTCTTAATATGGAATTCAAGGCGTTGAAGACTCTGAGGCCCACTTCCTCGTATCTAAGTACTCAAGTCTACATGATCACAACATCCACGTCTACTTCGCTTTTTCTTCCTCCTCTAACACCTCCGCGAAGTGTCGGACCGCTTGGACCAGGAACGGGAGAAATTGGGAAATTGCCAGAACAACCTAGAATCTTCCGAGAGAGAGCTCCAAAGACTATCCAGCTTAGCTGATCGGAAGAACGAACGAATTGAGTCTTTGAAGCAGGAAGCAACCCAAGTGGCCGATCAAGTTGCCGAAGCGCGTGAGGCGGAAAAGGTACTGCTATACTATATTTTGTTCATACATCATGTACCGCAGCACTACTAGTGCAACTGCAAGGACCTGTGCTACTACTCTGAAGCATTTCAACATTTAAACCACATGAAGAGGAACATAAAAAGCTACTTCACGTACCATTAGTACGGCAGAGCTTGAGGTATAGAAATAGATACAACTACATGCTTTTGCTTTATCAACTCCGTTATAAATACTGATAGGTACTGTTGTCACTGCAAGCGAATAACTTGACCTTTCTCAGAAGCTAATTTTGCGTCCGCCATGGGCATGCCTAGTATCATCATCATGATCGAACTGCATATACAACGACAATATTATCAATTCCACAGCTCGCTTTGCAAGCCGCCTCTGAGTCTCGGATCCGTGTGGAAAAGGACTTACGCCCTGTGATGGAGCAATGGCATAAAGCCAGCATCGAACATGAACTGAAGCGAGCTCAACTCGCCGAAGCATCCGCGTATCATGAAAAAATAATGGCGAGAGTTGAAAACATGCATACCAGTAAGGTTAAGGCTTTTCCCAATCCATCTCCAGAAGCATCTCAGGATTCCATCAGAGGCAAACGGCCTCAAGAGGAGTCTCAAGAAGATGGATTTGGATTAGGGTGAGCTCTAATAAAAATGGTGGTGACAAGGGACAACACGGTCAAGGAATGGCCGCTCTGTTTGAGGTTGTCGCGAAAACGGAACGAGCGGAGGCAGAGTTGGAGCGTTTGAACAAGGACTTGGCGGAGAAAACGAAAGAGCTAGAAGACAAGAAGAAAGTCGTGGACGAAACGAAGCGATACCACGAAGAATTTCTGGTCGAGAACGCAGCCTACGGCTGGACAGGCAAGGCTGAGGGACTGATGCGCGCCAACCAGCTATTGGAGGAGAAGAACGCTGCGATCTCAATTGCCGACAGCCAACTGAAAGAGGTGGAAGCTGCATTGCGCCAAACAAAGGACATTAAGGCTACTTAGTTTATCTTCACTGTTCTCGTGGACAGGAGTGTCTACTGCTGAGTGTTGGAGTCCCATCCTTTGGTTTCTTAAAGGGGGAAGAAACCAATGGGGAAAAAGGTCCCAGCTTCCTTTCTTAATTTTTTTTTACTATAAATATTACTAGGGTAGATTAAAATAAAAATTTACAGGAACGACAAAACAAGGGGGACTCAGACTCACTGAACCAGGCATGGTGAAGAGGTACTTACTTTCTCTAAGGGCCAAAAGATCCAACTGGAGACGGATTTGGCGGAAAAGCAAAAAGAAATCGATGGTCAGGTGGAGGCCTTCGAAAAGAAGATGGCTGCTTTGGATGAGACACGCGAAGCTGAGCGCATCCGTGTAGCAACTGCCTTGAAAAGCAGCGAAGAGGCTACACAAAAGCATGAAGAATTCCAACAGTGTGCTGAGAACATGGAAGAAACGCTGAAGGAGAAACTGGAGGACTTCGAAGCAGAAGCCGAAAGTCTGAGAGAGGAGTTGAAGAAGAAGAGTGGGCTCGTCGTGGAATATCAGGAACAGGCCTCTTTACTGGCCGAGACAAATCGGGACCTTCGCCTGAAATGCGCCACAGCAACCTCCAAGCTCGCTTGCATGGAAAAAGCTGCTGAAGCTAGAAAGCAATGCGCCATCGCGAAGAAAGAAACTAAGGTCGCTACGAAGGTCCTCAAAAAAGAACTGAATAGAAGTAGGATGAGCAAAAAGAAAGCTGGTTCTTCAGGGTCGTCACCCTCAGGAGCAGGTGCTGCAAAGGTGATCAAGAGAGGAAATGCCCATCGTTCTGTCGTTCAAAGTGGTGAAGCAGATCAGCAGCAGCTGGCGCTTGGACCGATCTCCCAGTCTGCTTCATCTACTCCCTCTTTCAACAAGATGTTGAAGATGAAGGCGAATCAGTGGAGAATGTTGCAAGATCGGAAATTAGAGGCGAAAAATGAGCTTCGAAGAATGATTCATGCAGCTAGTGAGAAGCGTGTGCAGGAAGCAAAACATGCTGCTGCGGTGGACAAGGAATGCTCAGAAGACCGTTTATGGAAAGTCGGAGATTTCTTTGATACTTAGTACTAGTAGAGAACTACAAACATTAGCATTATTTTTACTAGGTCGTAAGGCACCAGATGCTCAAAGAACAAAGTACTATTATTATTTACATAGCGAATCATGGAGTACGAGTAAATAGAACTAGTACTAGAAGAAGTACTACTTCTTGTACTAGTTGTACTGTCCTTCATCACCCCCATCGCAGGCTTTTCTAACCCCCATCGCAGCCTTGCTGGCACAAGGAAGATCCAAGGATGACTTGATCAGGAACCTGAAGTGTCAGATCGACTCGCTACAGAAATGGCAAACTCCAGAAGCTAAGCGCCAACTACTTGAAGCTGTTACTGCTAGTATTGGTGGTGAGGATGCTCAAGGAAATGGTCTGCAAGATGGTCAGGGTCAGAATAAGCGCTATAAGAAGTCATCTTCTCTCAAGAACATGTTCAGCGTTGCTGCTAGAGAAGGTGATGCTGGTCTACCAGGAGCTTCAGGACTGTCTTCATCATCGTCATCAGGAATTGCGTTTTCCGACGATCCTTGCGAGAAAGAGATTCATCGAGTTTTTCAGATCAGGGCAAATCAGGAACAGATGGAAGACTTGTTGAGGAATGAACCGCACAAACTGCTCTACAACGTGCCTGACGACTTCGCTGTGCGATACTACCAGGGCAAAAAAGCGGACGCCAATTTGACGGAGCAAAAAAAACGTGTGACGCAGATGAAGAAAGAGAATGTTGAAAAGTGCTGGGGTGCTGCGTCGAAGCAAGAACGAGTGGAGTTTACAACGCGGTACAAGATGGATATCGCCAAGCCACTGGTCGATCAAGCTTACCGAGCCATCTTGCGCGCTGCGGATCAGGCGCTAGAATTGCACAGACTGCAAAAGGTCAATCCAACTTTCAATAGCAGGAATTACGAGAAACTTCTGGGCTTGGACGAACAACCACAGGATGCGCCGCGAGATAACCAGGCGTGGAAAACGACAATCCTGAAAGATCCAGGTCAGATGGACGTCACGGAAAAACAACAGTGGCTTAGCCTCGTTAACCGACGCCGAAAACAGAAAAATATCCTCCTGCACACGGATAAAAATGAAATTATGGTAGTTGTAGTGGATCTCGTGATCTAGGCTTAGGCGACTGGAGGAGGAAGACGCGGCATGTCTGAACTTTCATCTACATCTTCTAGATGTAAATAGGTAGTTGAGGACAACTTGAATTCGGCAAATTCATTCGTCATGCCGAATTCCCTTCATCCACAAGTTTGCAGTATAATTTCTATTTTCTCGATCATCTTCTATCACAAGAACTCAAGAACATCTTCTAATCATCATGGTGGCTTTATCTTGAAGCCTGCTGTGCTCGGAGAAGGAGTCCAGGCTGATGGAGAGGATTTGGATAGCGTAGATGCTCTGACAAAGGCGATGGAGGAACAGCTGAAAGCCATTAATCATGCTGCAGACCAGTTGAAGTTAAGGCTTGATGTTATCTCAAGTGTTACCCTGGTCCATCTGCAGCAGTGTCTTGAGTGTTACCCTGATCCATCTGCAGACAAAGCATTTTGAGTAATAAGGTTTGTTGCCTTGATCTTGTTCAACCTTTAGATTTTTTAGTACTACATGTTGATCTACTTGAAGCTATCTCATATATAATATTAGCCTTTCCTCTTTCTTTTTTTTCCTGTTTTTTGTTTTTTATTTCAATTTCTACTACTTAGATACTAGGTCAAGGTCTACTGCCCCACCACAAATATTATGTCCTCGTCGCGCCTTCTAATGAAGTTACCTGCTGTGCTCCGCGAGCTTCCTGCATACACCAACCCCGTGAAGAGTGGACATGGATTAAGGTGCGCGCAGCGATTCTGGACCGAATATTATGTCACTATCCCATGTGGACTAGTATACTGACTGGGGACGAGCAGGGTCGTCCCAACATGATCTTTTGATTTCTTATTTGGGAAAGAAAGAAACAAAAGGTGGGATAGGGAACCACGACCCAGGGCATACCACTCAGTTCCCTCCTCGATTTGAAAGGGAAAATAAGGGGAAAAGGGGAAGCCACTCAGCCAGAAAATAGAGTGAAAGAGAACTACTTACTAGCGCTAAGAATCCACATTGCGAGACGGACAAAAGCTCAGCGGTTACAAGATTCGCGCTTTATACTTCTATGACGCTGCGTCAGGAGCTGCGGAACAAAAGGAAGCCATGAATCGTGGAAACCCAGAATCGAATGATCCAACGCGCTACACTTTGAGAGGCATCCGATTAAGGCTCTCAGTAATTCATCTATCACTAATTCATTCGTTCTTGAAACGTATGTTGTGCGGGACAATTGTGGAGGAAAACAACTCGCCTAAATACCTTTCAAGGATGCAGCTGAAAGATGAATAGTGGATAGCTCTAATCCGATACGACCAGATGCTCTATCTCGATCAACAGAACGAGCGGCTGCACGTTCTTGGCAGTAGTTCTCTTATGAAGCCAACCTAAGTAGTGTTATAGAGTAGTCCGTATTTCGAGTCGCGGGTTGCTCGAGTTCTCTCGAGTTGCCACGAGTTGCCGAAACGCGCCGGCCCAATCCGGAACGAGTTGCTGCCGGGTTCCTCTGGGCAGCTTGCCACTTTGAAAGCGTAGCACTCCGCGGCGGTATGGCGGGCCAAGATGCCGCGGAGTTCCGAAGAAAGTCGCGGCCTGTTGTCTCTTGGCAGGTCTGCCGTCGTCTGCATTGAAGAGACACGCCCCGGCTGAGCTCCTCGGGGCTTGAGCTTCGTGAAAGTAACAGGGCGAAGCTCGCGGCTTTTTTTGTTTGAGTGGCGCGGGCCCGTTCCTTGCGAAGTGCAGCGCTTTCGTCGTTGTGTCGCTGTCTCTGCATAGTCGTGCGCTGGTGTCGGTCGTGGTCTGGCTGCGTTGGTTTACTTCGACAAGAATCCTGGGGCCTGAGATTCGGGAGTATATGAGGGCGCCCGGCTTGTTTTTTGAACGAGGCCCCCTTCAGCAGCCAGCCTCACGCCGTGGCGCCCATTTTTTTGCGCTGTAGTGGACTTATTGGGTAGCGCGCCGCCTAGTGAGTAGCTAGCATCACAAGCAAGACCCTCCTGAGTCGGTGCATCTGAAAAGAGTGGCTTTATTTGTGTGCTTGTTTTCTAGGGCAGCAGCTTTACTAGATAGGCGCGCTAACTTAGTAAGACAAAACTATGAGGGCAGGGGCCCCGGGTGGCGCTGCTCCTGTCTACCCCGCGCATGCAGCGCCTCGCAGAGTGAGAAGCGACGCTACTGAAGGCGTTCGCTTTTGGAGGTGGTTCGCGCTCCTGGGTAACGTATCGGGCGCAGTGAAAAGCTTTTTGGTATGGAACTCGTTCAACTCGAGCAGCTCGACCCGATACCGGGCGCAAAGAGTCTAATTCTATAATAAGCACCTGCAAATACTAAGTTTTGCGCTGGTCTCGTCCTTGTTAGTCGCCGTCTAGTACATTCATCAGCATCATCTTACGAAGCAAGCCTTGTGAAGCTGAAGGGTGAAAGAATACTTACTCTTCTTTCATGTGTTGTTTAAACTTTGCTCACTTCCATCACTTCTAAGCCTCAGTATCGCAGTGAGGAGGTGGTCTACTACCAGGAACAGATGGAAGCGCACACAGATCCACAAACGGGAAACACCAATGATCCGGAAACTACGGAGCCGGCTAAATATATTTATATACGCATTTCCGTCGTTCCTGGCGGCGGAGGCGCGGCTGCAGGAAGAGGATCAGTTTTAGCTATCCAAGGTTGAGAGGAGTCGTTTTAGCTAGTACGGTTGAGACGCGGATTCGTTTTAGCTAGTATTCAAGGTTGAGAGGATCAGTTTTAGCTATCCGCGGAGAAACATGATACTCAGGACGAAGGATAAGAGTACTCAAGGGTGAAACATTTTCAGGAAGGATAAGGGTATTCAAGTATAAGGGTATTCAAGTATAGGGGTATTCAAGGTTGAACCCCTTTTCATCGAAAGGAAACTGAGTAGGTTCTTGCTGTTTATCGTAATTGTAATTGAAGAAAGTAGTACTGGAACGACGACTACGAGCACGAGTTAGAAGTACTTCTTAAGATGTAATAAAGCATCCGCGTCCGCGTGATAATGAAGCTGAAATTATTGTTATTCTTAAACCACGGCATGATATTACTCTTCCAATGTTCTTGAAGAAGTAGCTACGTTTCTTGTTGCATTACTAAAAATAAGTAGTTATCTTTCTTGCATAACTTACACATGCACATGGACATATTTGATTTATGTCTGGTTCTGCTTGGTTGACAGACTCGTCAACCTATAGTTCATATTCAAACTCTCTCCCGGTTTCCTTATTGTAGATGATATTCTTGAAGAAGGGAAAATAAATATTTTTTTTGGCATTGTGAGTATATTTCTATTAATTTGAAGATAGAGGTTGTCGTTTTCCTAATCCGTAAGTTCTTTCGGTTTGCTTATACGTTACAATGATACTGATTGTTGGAGTTTCTGATTCTTGTGATGTCGGTTTTCTTTGTATTGCTTGTACCACGAAGCTGTGGCAAGAACCAACAAGACAAGAAATGAACATAAGAAGAAATCTAATAGCGCAAGCGCATTGAGGTTTCCATCCGATAATACACCATCACTATTGATAGTAACTACTGGCAGTTGTAAATTATATCTGAAAGAGAAGTATTGGACGTGGACGTGGAGGCACCTGGAGCTCGTTGTTACTGAATTGTTGCTCTCGGTATCTTCGTTGTGTGCAGATTATAGCATGCACACCTCCCGCTCCCACATCCTGTAGGAGTGACGCAAGCTAAGATGTTCTCTCCACACAGTCTTTCGATTGTAGTCCTCAGAGAGACGAGAGTAGAACTTCTGAGTAGGTTCTTGAAAGTAGAGTGAGCGTGAGGTGAGGGGTACTAGTGGAACAGTGTAATGACAGCAGATGATCCGAATCCTTTATCTAATCCCAAAAAACAGGAGGTGTACCACTACAACAACTAGTACCGCAGAGCCATGTCCCCCTCATCTAGTATCGCACAATTACCTGCTGTATCAATCAACAAGAACACAAGGATGACCTCCAGTCCCACGAATACTACTTCGTGTCCTCGAGTTGCAGTGTGTCTTTCGGGTGCACTTCGGACATTTTTGTTAAGGCTGTAGGTAATGCGTCTCTGACTGCGTCCTTGAAACGTATGGGGGAGTACTCTGGCAGACTTTTCAAGGATGCAGGTGGAAGATGAATTACGGAGAACGTTAATTTTAGGAGCTTGGCCGACTTTTATCAAACACGTGGCACACGAGAGTTGCGTTTTTGAGTATTTTGCTCACTTCAACTGGGATCCGGTCACCGATGTCGAAGCCGCCAGAGCGATCTATCTATGATGATTCATGGGGGCTTGCTATAATAATACTAGGATACTACTACTAGGAAGTAGGTGAAAAACGAAGGTTGTTGTAGTTATGCATGGTGGGTGTGTACGTCCTCGTGTAAATCATAATCATCTAGTCAAATAAGAACGTCAAACAAGAACAATTTGAAGTTGAACTACGTTGATGTTATTGAGGTGAACGTTAATCCAACCAAGGTGAATGTGGATTCTATTTTTTATCTATAATCCTTCCGACAATCGAAGCAGTCGACGAAGCTACGCAATCTGGAGCCTTGCATTTCTTATCGGATGAAACACGACTAGCATTCCGGGATGCTGTTGCGCAATCGCAAAATCAGTCATCCTCACCATCAGAGGGAGAGCATATAGATGATGCAACAGTGCCATCAGCAGAGGGTTTTTTCTGTGGTAAATCCTCTTCCTCATCCAAGATGGTTGTAAATACTGATGACGACACGAGTAAAAAGGACGAGGAGAGGCCATCTATATCTACTAACACCACGAGCACCAGAAGGAGACCAGGCTGTCTCAAGAGATGCTTGGTGAGCACAAATGACGAGACAATCGCGTCTATGTTCAGGAAGAGCAAGAAGGAGCTTAGTGCGTTACAAGAGGTGAAGCAAGAAGATGTCATTCTGGATGCAGCCGACTCTGTTCTTAGAATACCAGTTTCTGGAACTCCTTTCACGGCTCCCAAGAAGACAAAGACTGCTGCAAGCATCGACTTCATCAGCAATCTCGAAGCAATAAGTAAGTTGCCCACAGCGAAGGGAATGATACCACTACGCATCATGGCCATGGCAGAATCTATGGAACTAGCACAGGAGCAGTTGAATCAGTATCTTGAGGAACAAGTTGTAGAAAACCAAAGCCTGGAGAACGACCATGAAAATGGGCAGTATGACCTTTATATCCGAACCAGACCAGATTTGTTTTGGAAAGCGGATCTGGATTTGAGGAAAGCGGGGATATTACTCGTCGACCACCACTCTGACACCACAAGCGCGGACAACAAGGACAAGGACATTTTCACCACGATCTTTCTCCCTTGGTATTCCTATCTAGAAAAGGAAGGGCATGGCTTAGCCTGGGATCAGTTTGCGGTGAGTGACTCTCTATACGGAATCCGCCTCTACAACAGTTTTAGGAAGCATCTCCTTGTGGAATTTGAGAGGTTGAATAGGGAAAGCGATTCCACTGCTGAGGTGGATGAAGATGTCGGAATTGAAGATACAAGTGCGTCGGAATTGAAGAAGTGCAAGGATGTCGAAGATGCAGCTTGTGATGTACCCGCAGCGCAGGGTATAAATCGAAGCAGCAGAAGATGGACTGCAGAGGAAAAGAAAAACGCAAGCACCAGGGAGCAGGTCTCCTCCCCCGCCAAGTGTCTCACGTCTGCAGGTTCGACACCTGACATGATCACTCTAGGTGAACAAATTGCGGCGAAGAGGAAAGGAAAGCAACTGTCTAGAGTGGATCTAGAATTTTATCCCGAAAGGCAACTTTATGATCTGCTCAAATCGAAAACTGCACAACAAGTGAATTTACGAATCCTTCCTGATTATCACGCGACTGTTCTAAGAAAGGATGAAGAAGGAAACTATTTTGAAGCTGATCCTTTTGGTAAACTAAGACATCACTTTCCAGCGTTTAAGTACCCATCAGTGGATAAAGACACTATTAGAGGCGTACCTGGGGGTGCGGCAGTGCGGTGATGATGAAAAGACTTCGGAGTCTGAAACACTCTACCGCGACAACTCGCCACTTATGCTTCGTCTTTTCATATAGGTGAATGTCCATCACAGTTTCATCACTTTCCCAAGAGTGCGACAACCACCAACAAAAAACTACACTATGCGCAGATGAGGCTTGTTCACCAGCAGAAGCTCAGGGAAAGCCTACGCCGTTTTGAATTCATCAGAAAATACTGTAAAGCTAGCACTATCCACTCGAACTTCTTCACCAGCGATCCACTCGGCTTAGTTTTTGTAAACTAGATGTGAATCTCAACTGAGCGTCAGTAACTTTGTATGCTTCCGGTATTTGGTAAACCTGAACGAAGTTTGATCATAAGGGAAAACAAGAAGAGAACCATGGAAGCCATGGCCTCCACCAAACGTATCTTCTTGCTTCGACATGGGCAGGGCTATCACAACTCCACCGGTCGTGACATCCCGGATGCTATGCTCACGGATTCGGGTATCACACAGGCAAAAAGTTGGAGCAAGGACATTCAAAAGTTCAATATCGAACTGGTCTTGGTTTCGCCTTTGAGAAGGACACTGCAGTTAAGATTCAGGGCTTTCGAGTCTATAGTGGTCAGCACTTGTAGGCTATGTATAGTGTATAGTGGTTCAGCACTTGTGCCCTATAGTTCTGGTCAGCACCATGATGAGCCCTCGACTCATCGTAACCTTCGCCCGTGTTTCCTAGTATCCGCCTCCGCGACCTGATACTGAGCTACTATCTAATGAAAGCTACTAACTTCAATCTAGACAATTCCATCATCCTTCTTATTTGTAGAAGCTGAGCATGCCTACTCTAATCCAAACAGCCTGCTACGCTTTTTCTGCGTCACAGACGAAGATGAGACCTTGCAGGCATGCGAGGGAAATGTGGTGGAATGAGGACGTGAATAACTTTTCACCTCTTTCAGAGGTGGAGAAACTTTTGTTGGCTCTTCCACGTGGGAAAGAACTTCTGTTTATGGATCATGACGGCACTGCAGCGGAGGAAAAACATCAAGTCGATAAGGATGCAGTTACGACAAGGACAACCTTGTTAACCGAAGCGCTGCGCGATCATCCAGGACAACCACAGGGAGAGCATGAAAGTTTGGGAAGATTGCGTGACGTGTTGAAAGATTTAGAGGAAGAGCGAGTTGCGGTCGTCACGCATTGGGGTGTGATAAACCAACTAGCGAGAGCCAGTGCGAATAATTGCGACTTAGTGGAGTGCGAAATGCGGGTTATCGCTGGGAAAAGGGTCGACTTCAAAGTTGTGAAAGTGCATCCACCTCCAGGAGGGCCAGAAACAAGTTGACTTTGACGCTAGTGGCTTTGGTGACCCACCGACACCCTGATATATTTACTCAATGATTTCAATTTTTTCACGCGAGATGAGTCGGTTCTTCGCAATTGAACTAGTACAATGATAAGATCTACTCTCGCGCCATACCTCGTTACTCAACATGACTCGTGACCACTCATGGTTACAACTCGTATTGGCCTATCACCGTGTTTACTGAAATATGGTTTGTTCGCGGTCGTCCTTGGAGCATCTGTAGCGACGCCTCACATTAATCTGAAGAAAACATGATCTTCATCAGATGTTAGTCTGAAGAATACATCTGCAGAGAATGCGCCCTCATCTTCATGGGTCATGTCGTAATGCAAATTTATTGTTGGAATACTCCTGGTATTCCAGCTGCAAAATAGTTTTAAGTAAGTAGTTCTGTAAGACTAAGAGAAGATCGACCACGGAGTACTAGTTGTAATCTACAGTGATGAAGATGAAGACTTCTGGTGCTACTAGGGTTCTTCCCGGAACAACGACCGCTTCAAACTCAATCCGAGTTTCGGTCATTCTGGCAAATGGCGAGGTTGTTTTGGGTTGTCATAAGATCGAGAGGAGCAAGACGGTGAGGGAATTGAAGGACGAACTTGCTAGCTTGACAACGCACAAACGCTTTGACATACAGCTTTTGGTCGTCTTAGACGATCGTGGAGGAGGAGAAGAACAACATGATCTACAAGAACTCTCTGGTCGTGCATCTGCAGTTGTCCCTCGTAGTGCTTTACTAGAAGACGGGAAACAAGAGGGCAGCTTGTTCAAAGATGATGGAGAAGGAGAGGAAGAAGAGGATGAGCCTATATTTTTGGATGATCTCGATGAAACATTTGGCGAAGTGGCGGAGCTGCTTGGTCTCGACAGCCGAAGTAATAAGGCATTGCGAGGACAAGCGATGGAAGAGGAAGATGAGGTTCAGAATAGGGACCACGATAAAGAGGACAATGATCCGGATCTCACTCTCTATCTGATTCATAGTGCACCAACCGTGAATAGATTTGAATGTGAGTCGCATGCCGAATGGTGCCGCATGGCCAGCATATTGGAGAACTTTGATGCAATTCAAGATGATGAGGCGTATGCGGAATTGAAAATCTTTCTCGATCTCTATCCCTTCCTGATTAACTGGCAGCATGTGGTAGAGACGAGGAAGCAGAAGAACGAGGTCAGCAGGGAGCCTGTACGAATACATGAAGAGCCTGTCGTCCCCAAGAAGGAACAAAGGACGATATTTTTGAGCAAGAAGGAGCGCTGCAAAAACGAGGACATCATCAAAAGGAAGAAGATAACGGAAAGTTGTTCCTACATGCCTGATATCCAGGTTCCTCGTCGAGGCAAGGCCTCTAGAAACATGAAGACCCTGCTGAGTTTTGCCGTAGATGGATGCCTCGACGTGAACAAGCGCCAAAAGATATGAGGAAGAGGATATACTAACTTGTAAAGTGCCAGAAGTTCTTTCATCAATATGTTGTAACATCCATGAAGTACAAGTAGTAGATGATAAGCAATACTTAGTGTAGTACAGGACAGTCCTCCTCCTCCTCTACTGTGTCAGAAGTGTCTGTGGACTAACTACAACAAGTGTTGATTACGTATTTCTTGTACTCTCGTCCCAGGGTAGTTTCAAACACTTTCCATGATGATCTCAAGAAACTTCTGGCAGAAAGATCTTTCACCTTCATAGAATTGCGTGGATCTCCTGCTCTCACGTGGTTCTCGGCTCCATATTCGGCACGCGCGTGGTTTTTTGGTTGATTGCGCGCAATCAGCTGCTGTCGATGCCTTAGTGGAAAAATTTTAAGCTGCCCCAGAGAGATGAACAGACACAAAGAAACTAAAATACAAAGGGTAGGCTCTTCATCTACCTGTTAACGTTAGTCGTCAAACAAAGATGTTGATGTTGTTGTTGATCTTGATGTTCTTGACTTGATATAATGAGTTGTAAGTATTTCTAATATTTGCACGAGATCGATGAGCAGATAGAAACTTCATCAACAAGAAGATGTATCTTACAAATTTACGCATACGCACCATGCTCCTATTTTTGTTCTCTTCTAAAAATAGAAGCGTGCTTCGTCGTTGAAGAACAGGCCTTTGTTGGATGTCCAGAACTGGATCCATAGGAATAGGCACATATTCGAACACCCGATGACATCAAATGAGTGCGCTCTTCGAGATCGACATCGACATCTAATCGATGTTATGTTAAGGCCCCGGGTTGCACTTGCGTCTCAGTTGCGATTAGTCGTCACTTGAACAAGAGGTGGCTGCATATCAACGATGAAGTTGGCTTCTCAATGATTCCGCATCGATCACCCTCGAGGATGGCGTTCTTCTACATTCTTCTATTTGTGAAAAATGGCTAAGGAGGGACGGCAGGAGAGGGGCTCAAGAAGAGGAAGAGCTTCAAACACGGGGGTGCGAGTGCGGTACCATTCTAATTGCGATTGCCGCCCGGCCTAACTTTCCTCGTTCCTTAGAGGAGGAAGAGGTGGATCGGATAGCGAAAGGAGAAAGTGTAGAGACGGTGGTATCGCCTCTAAACCTGGTCGAAGATTTCGCTGATTTTATTCCACCGCTCGGGGAAGGGACTGAGCAGTCATCTGCATTCGATCTTCCGATACTAATAAAGACGAGAAGCAGGCAAGTCCAAGAAGGTGAAGGTTCATCTTTACCTTCTGCAACCATCCAGAACGAGCGCAAGGACGCGGTGAACGAAAGGGCAACAGAGCCAGATGATGTGGATGGTGAAGGCCGTCCACCAAAACCATTCAAAAATAATGGCGATTTTTGCGATGCCTACATAAGTCAATATACCGGAGATGTTCGATTTTTCACGCCGAAATCTATCATTGCTTAAGCTGAAGGTGTTGTATTATATACATATAAATATTTATTACTCAGAAATTGCAAGTTACAAGTAGGACCTCCACCACATCATGAAGATAATCGTCCCGCTTCCTCCTGGTGCTGCACAACTGCGTCGATCCTTGTCTCTTTTTGTACCTGTCTATCTGAATAAAAATGGCCTCCACCCGCTGCTCTCCGCTGCACATTGCGCCAGTACTAGAGTAGCAAAAAATGAATCTTGACATCTTCATCTTTTTGTCATTTTTCAGAAAACAAGCCAGATCTAATCCTTCAAAGTACACGACGAGAACAAGCGACTTGCGATGGAACGCGGGTCGAAACTGGGTTTCATCCCATACTTAGCCCAAATGGGTACCGTCTTCGGAGAGCATGAGAAGGAGGCGATCGAAGCTTGGAGAAAATTGTCTGCAATTCTATTTATGATATGCGTATGACTTTCGGATTCGGTTACACTTACAGTTGCTGCTTGAATAATAACTCCTCCATGTACATGTTCGTCTGGCTCTTGTTGTATGTTAATCCTCGTGTACAGTGATCTTCATCATTCTTCATACTGAACTAGTGGTCTTCATGTTCATCTTCTAGCTGTGATGTTATTATAACGTATCGTAATAGACTTAGACGTTCATCCCCCGCGCCGAAGTCCTAAATGTCCAGTATAGGGTCTATGACAGTGGGAGAAACTGCCAACTAGTGCACGACTTTTGCCGAAGATATCCAGAAATGGTAAATTTTCAGAATAACTACGCTTACGGTTTTGCGGACATGCCACAGGGGTACGGGTACGGCGGATATGCGACCTTAATGGCTTTCGTTATGCAAGATCTCGTGCTAGTAGTGAAATTGAAAATGACCAAGAAATAGTATTAAGATCTTCTTCTCCATGCGCTCCAGGAGCTCGCCATTCCCTTTCCCAATGAATCTCGATAAAAGTTGTAAGGTCGTACCTCAGTTTTGGACCTGGTGGTCTCCTCTGGTAATGTGAGAAAAGGAGAGGGTAGAGGAACAGTGACCAGGGGATTTTTGGTTGCTGCACCAGTCAGCATCTCTATCTCATACATTCTAAGTATGCGGGCATTGACTCGCCAGCTGCTGTCGCTATGCGACTGCGGAAGGAAGCAAAGAAGAATAGAGCCAACAACGCGAAAAGAGACAAAGCCTATCGTTATGGCTGTAGCTAATTCATCTCTGACTGCGTCCGTGGTGAGTGTGGGTATGCGTGAGCATTTCTCCTGCAGCTCCTGAGAGATGAACTACGGAGAGCCCTAATCTCGTTTGAGATACATACGAGCGAGTCAGAAAGCAGCAAGTGCAGCGAGACGGAGGTCTAGGAGGTTGGAAGATATCGCGAACGGTGGTGACGGCAAAGGGGATTTCAAGGACAGCGAAACGGAAACGGACAGTGCGGAGATTAAGGCATTCACCTTGAAAAAAAGGCATAAATTCATCTTGAAAAAGCTGCATTCTGTTTGGGTTTGTGACACAAACAGCACGTTTATTGTCTGCTTCAAGGGATCAGTAGAAAGATGAATGGTTCCGGTATTTGGTAACCTGAATTTGATCCTACGGGAAAACAAGAGGAGAACCCTTAGGATCAAATTCAGGCAACCAAATACCAGAACCATACAAAAGAACAAAAACAAGTAGATTGATCTAGATGCGCTTCACCTTCTTCAGGATGGAATTGGAAACGCAAACGCAGCAAGTTAACATGTCTAAGAAGGGCAGTCTTCCATCCTCCACTTGGCACGACAGTAGCGAAGAAGAGAAAGATGAAGAATGTAGGAACGCCACTTCTGCAGAAATACTTCTCAGATACGGCGCTCGCGTCTACACGGTGCACGGCGGTAAAACTACCCTGGGATGGTGGTCTGAAGAACGCTTGGGACGATGGATTCGGATACAACAGGAGCAGGACACCAAAAGTGACGCGTTTCATAAATATTAAGGGTTGAAGCATAATTTCATTTATTTTTACAAGCCTTCTTCACTTGAGATTGCTACTAGAAAATGAATTTATTTTGCTTCAACCGTTAAAAATACATGTTAGGTCGCGTCAAAAAGCCTATACCTTATCCCGAAGAAAGAGAGGGTCTCTGGGGAGCAGTAGTTGCACAGCGTCAAGATGAGCCTCTGTCACGACAAGGACGAGTAGCAGAGAACGATGAAAACTTCAACTTCTCAGGAACACAGGATGAATATGATGCCGAAAATTTGAGCATGACGACTGGAGAATCTACTTCGTCAAGTACTAGAGCCCTTCCACCTCCAGGACACGATAACCCTCTGAGACGTCAAGCAATCGCGACCACAAGCGCAAGCGTTTCTTCTACTGGCATAAAAAAAGCAACACGAAAAAGTGACGCTTTGGAGTATGGTGCCGAGTATCAAGATGTGAGTATTAGCATTAGCTGGCCATTCGCTGTATACCGTAAAGCTTCGCTTCCACTAGAAACAACATACGACAAAGACAAACTCGCTGGCGTACTAGATAAAGCGACACGATATTTGTGTGGTGCAGGACTTGGAAGTGGTGTATCTACATCTTCAAGAACATCTGGCACGACTACAAGTGCGGCACTTTCATCTTCGTCTGCCTCTGATCCTTCTTCTAGCAGTAGCACCAGTGCTTTTCTTGTATCCAAAAAGAACAGCAGGATCATGACACGACAACAAACGCAAAGTCGTGAACGCGAGCCATTTGTTCGCGAGCTAACACTACAGGCCCACGGAGCAGCGATGGAACTTCGATTTCCCCTCCTTGCAAATCTAGTAACGAAGATGAATGAAGGAAAACTACAGCAGAACAAGAATGCTTCTCATATGGTGAAGATCAAGGCGATTAAAACCAAGTTTCGCCCAGATGATCCTGAGAATGTAAACGTAAACTTTGCCATCCAAACTCTCCTCAAAAAAGAGATGAAGAACATGACCGAGCACGAAATGAACGTCCAACTAGGACTTGAATCGAAATCCTGTCGTGCTAACAACAAGGATCAGGCACAGCAAGATCGTTCACAGCAAGATCTTCAGAATGAAGCTGCCAGCGGCCGCGCTCCGGCGTGGGTGTACCAGGCTATCAGGAGTGGAGAAGCAAAAAAAGATGAAAGTAGCAACCTGGCTTTCCGCTGGCATGATGGGCAACAACTGCAAAGCAAAGATCCTCTCGTCCGAGATCTTGGGCCAGAAGTTGTGATTACCTTGGTGGCGGCGTAGTTGTACGTCTCGTCGCAGATCTTGGGCCAGAAGTTGTGACTCAGTACCTTGGTGGTGGCGTAGAGGTGGACTAAAAATGACGCAGATGCTGTGGTAGTGGTTTGCCTCCAGTCGTCATGTTCATGCTGACACAGCACCTGCTGCAGAGGAAAATATAACTGGCATCACGAGCACACATCTTCAACCTTTCATGCACGATCTTGTGTTTGCCTGTAGTCAAAGAGTTCAAACGTATTTCATTTTCAACACTGTCTGTTTCTTTATCCATATCCTCGGCTCATTCTCTTCGGGTTGTGCACAAGAGCAGCTACTTATGCAGAAGTACTGAGAAACTGGAATGATTATGTTCGAATGAACCACGTGAGGACGACAAGATATGCAGCAGCTTATCCTGGTCTGAAGGTGTTCCAAAAATACAGACTAAACCTACTTGGATTGTCCTGCTTCTGCAAAATGTACATGTTGAGATGATCTGTGATTTTTGCTCCCCTGAAATGCATCGATCACCGCCTTCATTCTTACCTCCGCGTTGTTCTGTTGATACTCCTTGGAGCACCAGGACCAGCCCTACTAGGCGCCCCTGACGCTGGCCCTGCCCCTCTGAGATCCTCACTTCAGCTCCAGGCGCTGTCATTTCTGACGCCTCCGCGGATCATGTGAGGATAGTATCGTACGGGATCCACCTCTATTCTCTAAAAAGCCTTTATTTTTGATGGAGGGAGAGGAGTGGTCTTGTTCCGTCAGCAACAAATTTGAAGTGTTGATGGAGTTCTTTGATGATGGTGTAGGGCCGAGGCGGAAGGTCGATAATATGCCAGTGGTGCTGATGTAATGTTGTACATTCGTTGCACAGGCAGGCGTATATCTAATCCTGCTTGGATCTGCCGGTCTTGGTTGTCCTCCTCCTTCTGCTCCTCCTGGTCGGTAGACCTCAAAATTAGAAGACAGTTGCAGTTCCTGATGTTTTTGATACTGTTGTTGCTCATCCACCACCAGCCTGTCTTCTTTTTCTCCTTGTCCTAGGGCAGAGTTGTCAGTCCGAAAACGGTGACCGAACGCGTGCCAGCATCCAAATAATGCGCATATGCATGTGATCACAACTAAGCCTATGATACCCAAACCTCCCACGTCTGCATCGAGTCCTGGTTTTCGACAACAGGTGGTCGTTACAGCGAAGAGGGGTTCGTTTAGTACTACTTGCTTTGAAAATGCTGCTAGCTTCCTAGTGGAGAGGCCAAAACCATGATCCAGCTCATCATCTCCATCTGCTCTGTCTTGATGATGTAATAAGTCACTACGCAGTCTTCCAACAAGCTTCATCTACCTTCCCTTCTACCTAGTCTTCTAGCTCTACCTTCCCTTCTATCTGCTACCATAAACCCAAAAAGTTACTACACATCTGCTGAATATCGGCCGGCTTTATAGTTTGCGTCACCCTTCACCCTTGCAGCTTTTACAGGCAAGAAGTTAGTCACTTGAGTAACCCGCCTGGCACACCTGTTCTCTCTCTCTCTCTCTTGCTCTTTACACTGCTTGTTGTAGTTGAACAGTGCAATTTCAATTTCCCGACTTCGCGAGAATCGCAACTCCTCACGCCTTGCAACAAATTTTGAAATTCTAACAAAGGAATCAAGAGTCTACTTTCGTCACTGCCACAAGATTTCCTCGAAATGCACCAGTTAGCGCTAATTTACCCGTTAATCGAGGTATCGGATCCTCAGGATTCCTCATGGGACACGAGCCGCCCTCCTCATCATCTCCTCCTTCGCGTTCCAACATAGGATCCTTGAAAAAATTGCACCAGGGTCGAGGCGGCGGCCCCTTCTTTGTGTCGCAAGGAGCGTAAACGACATCTTCGCCTCCGCCTTTCTTGAGCCGATCCAGTAGCGCTTGCAACTTCTCCTCTAACTTACCTTTCCCTGCTCGCAACCATTTTCCCAAGGCAACTGTTTCTGCTTCGAATGGGCTCAAAAGCCGCTCTGCCGTCTGCAGCTCCTTGGCCCTTTCGGACTTTAGAGGTGGGATCGATGCTAGATAAACTTCAATGTCAACAATACAGCGGGGGCAACCTCGTTATCGTTTTCTAGGGCTAGGTGCCGGAGTCGCAAAGACATGATGGTGCCTCATGAGGATAGCCTAAGGCAAAATGGAAGCGAAGATCGACAAAGACGATCAATCAATGTTGACTAAGAACAAGTACTTAGTTATTAGAGCAGGAGCCTTAACTCTTGACTATACAGTCCCTTTTTGTGCGTGATATGTCGACACTCCGTCACAGTTTCCGATATCCATTCTCGAATTTTGTGGGCTTCTTGCTCACACTGACCGAAGGCCTTGATGTTGCTCCGCAATGCTGGCACAGCTTCAGTCTCTATGAGTTTGATTGTCTCTGGAGTGTCTGGCCTCGTTTGTTCTGAAGATTCGTCTGTATTAGGATCTTCGCTTCCACCAGCAGCTTCGCTTCCACCAGCAGCTTCGCTTCCACCAGCAGCTTCGCTTCCACCAGCAGCTTCGCTTCCACCAGCTCCAGTACCTATTGCAGCACCTCTATCTTCCTCGTCCGCGATCCCCCCCTTTCCACCTTGGATTTCTTCTATCATCGTGTCGATCTTCTTCAACGTCCCTTCTGGACGAATTGGGATGTACAGCGAGGATGTGTCTGGCACTCCTCCGCCAGCATCACCAGCAGAACGACCTGCCTCATTTGAAGTAGCTCCAGAACCTTCCTCGTCTTCTCCTTTTGCTGCAATCAAGAATTCTCGTATTCCTTGCTCAGTGTCGCTTATTTTTGGACCAGAACTGGCAGATCTTGTTCCAGGAGAACCAGCATCAGCTGCAGTACTAGAGCGATCCTCGTCATTTTTTCCCACCAATCTAAGATCTGACAACCCACTAGGCTTGGCCGATGCGAAGGTCGCAATGGCTGGCGTCGACACACAATAATCGTGGGATGGCGGCAGTGATTTCGATAGGTGACCGTCGCACGGGTGATGAAAGGAGGATGGATGAAAACCCTTGTTCTTGCAGTTGTTACAAGATCTAAATGAAGTAAGTACATAAACAGGACAACAGCGCTACTATCAAGCACATCACGGACATATTATAAATTCCAGAGTATGTTCGACATTGATGTCGTCGAGTAAAGGGTTTTCAAACTTCGCAGATTTCATAAAGCTGTTTGCTGCTAAATAGAAACGGAGACTCGGAAAGCGGTGGAGGAAGTGCAGGTTCAGAAGCGTCTGTCAGCGCGAACGAAGTTGTGGCCAAATTGTTGATCAGGATCATTCTCGGAAAGTCGTGGAGTTGGACCATTGATTAGGCTAGTACAGTGACGCGAGATATCATTTGTTTCTAAGCGTATTTTTTGCAATGAAGAAACCTACAACTTGTCCTTTTCTTGTATCTATTGTCTAAGTCGAGCAGGCAGTAATGGGGCATGGGTAGAAACACTTCTTCGTCATCCTCGTCGGCAAGAAGTACCGAATGAACTATATCTATGCGAGAGAAAGATAGATTCAAGAATAGACATCAACACCGATTGATTATATCATCTGAGTGAATTATTACCTTCATCACATCATAATGACCGATGTCGATTGTCGAGCGTGAAAACGAACATGATACAGAAACAGACTCTAGGAATTCCGATTCACTGTGTCCGACGCCGACCACACCAATCAAACACCGTGCCAGCAGTCGCGGGCGCACCAGATCATAGTACTGAAGATCAAGATGCATGCTGCAGTTATTTTTATTGCTCCCCCAAAGACGTTATAGTTGACTGTGGCTGTACAGAAGCATATCTCGCGACATTGATGAGATTGATCATGTTCGCAGAATGTCTGAGACTGAGTCTTGACTAGTACTTAGATCACTAGCTCTTGTAACTAAAATTGTTAGTTGTAGCGACAATCTCCTCATACGCTTTCGCCCATCCCCTAACGAATCAATAAAGAAACCAAAGGGTTCAACATTCGCATCTGTGAAAATCAATGATTTTTTGTGGTCTATCTAACCTCCTAAGTAGTAGTCCGTCTTTTCCTACTCACAACAACTTCAACGATGCGAAGAAAGTTCCAGCCCGAACCTGATAATTGCGATGAGGTTCCAGGGACGTACGCGACGTCTTCGATCAAACAAGAATATTGCTATTATTGCATGTGACTCCCCCCCAGTAGAATTTGAATTACTTGTAACATAAATATAATGGTGCATTTTCATTATTTAATAGAGATAGATCGTATTGTTCGTACTAAGAGACAGCTGCTGACGACTGTACATTTCATGAAGAAAGCGTTCCTCAACATAAACATATTTGGATATTGATGATAACTCACTTTAAAAGTTCTGCATAATTTTTGCTTATGGAGGTTCCACCTGAAAAAAGCTGAAGAATTTCATTTCTTTTTCTGTGCAAATGACATTGACAGCATTTCCTTCTGCTCTATGAGCAGCATCATTAATGCCCGAACATGATGCAAAAAATGGACATGATATACAAATCTCTCCTGTAGAATCCGCAAAGATTAGAATAGAAGAACAGTTAGATGGTCCTTTTTCTTGATCCCCATTCCATTTCCTTTTCTTATTAAAGACTTATAAAGACATTCTTGCTTTTATGGAAAAGTACTCAATAGTCAGTAATATGTTCTTGACCTTCTCATCATCTACATCTTCTACTAATATCCATGACCATGACATAAAGTACTTACCGACCAAAATAGAAGTAGTACTGCAACGAGCCTACCGAAGTACTCTTTCTCTTACTGCTCTGCGTCTTCGGCCGCCCAGATCTCACCGTAGGTGGCGTTCAGGACATCAGGGTCGCCAAAGTGCTGACGCATGGTAACGACTTTGCCGTCCTTGACAGTCCATTCCATCAAGTCCGTCAAACCAGCACACGAAGCCTCCTTGTACTTCATATCGTACTGCATGCGAATGTAAACCTTGCCGGAGCCCTGTTGTTTTATTGTGACGATCATTCCTGATCCTGCACTTCTGCTCATGTGCATGACCTGATCTACATGAACAATCCCACTTATTTTCCTGACCATCCTAATGTGGTGCTTCTTCAGTCATTGTTGCTTCTCTCATGAGATGACTTCGGTTAAGGTGTACGTAGAGAAGCTATGTCGTTACCTCAAGTAGAGCATGCTGTTATTGTGGTGGAGGGAGTTGTTTGGTATTGATCACTCTGTAGTATTGGACGAGTTATATTCATCGTTCTATAAGATTGATTTTTTTGATAAGTCAACAAAGGGTGGAATCAATGTTGAGTCATGATATTGATTTTCAGTGAACCAGTACCGGCGGTCCCGGGAAGAAGGTTGGAGCCATGTTGGGAAAATCGCAGGCATCCAGATACTCCATCCAAATCTTGGCGTCATCCACGCCGTTGTATTTCTTGTACTTCTTCGAAGCTGGTCCGCGAAAGTCCAAAGCCACATCAGGCGACCACACTTGCCTGTAGAGTTTGATATTTGGATTGAAAGACCACGACTAAACTTTAAAATAAGTAGTTGTAATCTTGAGTTCAAAGTGTTAAATAAAGACGGAACAATAGATTTCTCGACCTACAAGGTTTACTAGTAGTTTAGCTTTAATTCTGCTCCTTGTTCATGTCTATTTTCTCTAACTACTAGAACAAAAAGCAATACCAAGTCCAAGAATGGGGGAAATGGCCAGATAAAATAACTCAGAACAAGTTGTACAAAACATTGGCCTTCCACTCATCTGCAGGCAAATTTGTTTTGTATTTTCCAGCTCCCCAGTTGCCAAACATTGTCATAATCACTCCCATATTGGCCTTTTGGTCACCGGTTTGATAAGCATCTTCATTCAGTTCCTTGCCCATCTTTTCGTTGATTTCGCCAACCTGATCATGATTGTTTTGAGGTGGAGGTTGGGGCTTGATGATGCTATTTTCATGAACAAGATGATGATGATCTCCATTGAATGATTCTGGTACTAAGTAGGTGATTCATGCTGGTCCTGGTAGGAAAAAAATTTAAAATTAGAACTTGATCATCATGCTCGTCCTGCACAAAATAAAACCATATTACCTTTCCCCAGTACTGTTTGCAGGACTTGATCTTAGAGCCAGAAACGTTGAAAACGAAAACGTCAGTGTTGCCGTTCATCACGACGTTCTCACCGTACTTGGCATCATACTGCATGTACATGAAGGCCATGTTGCTTCCCGCCTGTTGAAAAGGGGGTTTGGAGGACTAGGATAGAACGATTAGTTCTACAGTCGTGTTGAGGGTCGAGTAGTTCTACTTCTGTCTCTTCCTTACTCTTCATCGTCGAAACATCACTAGAGAAGTGAGAAATTGACTTTACCTGATTTCCACAAAAGAACTCCACCAACATAGATAGAACAAGAATCAGAAGAACAAAAAGGACAGGTAACTTGTAGATGAAAAGATACCGGTCCCGCGATGAATTGCGGCACCATATTCGGAAAGTCGAATTTCTCCAAAAATGCCATCCACTCTTTGAACGCCGCCACACCATCGTACTTCTTGTACTTAGCGAGGTTCGGACCTGTAAAATCCCACACGCAGTCCTTGGTCAACACAGATTCCATGTTGGCAGTCCACTCACCCTCCGGCAGGTCGGTCTTGAATTTGCCTTCACCCCACATGCCGAACATAGTTTGAACGACCTTCACACTGTTCGCCTGATCAGCCGTCAGGCCTGAACCTTTTGCACCAGCACAGTTGCCCATCTTTTTGGTGTTGTTGAGGTTTCTTTATAAATTTGTAGTTTTCTTGGAATTAGAGTGAACATGAATTCTAAAGCTTGCTTTCACTTTTCAAAAAAAGCTTGTTGTAAACAAGACTGGGCGCAGAAGGAGATAGAGCAGATCAGATCATCTTAATCTTTGACTTTGGGGAGATGCAGCACCCAATTTGGTAATTTTGTGGCTGTTTTTTTGATGAATTTCATCTGCCACTGCTCTGTTTGCTTGCTTGAATCCGCACTACCGTTTCTCTTTTTTTGGCTCTATCTTTTATTTTGGGCTTGTGAGGGAAAACGAGGATGATGAAATCTTTCTTACCGTTTTTTCTTTTCTGTCTACTGGCAAACTTAATGTTGGATGGTCAACTACAGTGACCTTCTCGCTCATGAACAGGTGTACTGACGCACAAAAAGCCCTTTTTCCTTTACCACAGGGACTGCGAAGTCAGTGATCTCTGTTACTTAATTGCAGTAAAGATAAAGCGCCAGAACCGTCACGCAGCTGGAGAAGAATCCTCAAGTGCGATATGCAGAAAGTAGCGTTGAACAAAACCAGTCGTATAAGAAGAAGAACATCAAGTTCAACCAAAAAAAGATAAGTATCTATATAAAAGCGAGAAAGCAACACTGCAAGAACAAGAAGGTAACAAGCCAAAATTGCCAAATATTACCTATTCATTTGATACACCAAGAAGAAGTATTATAGATGAAGAGACCACGTGTCAAAAAGAGCGCCTAATTTTAGCTAAAAGTATATCTCGTCTGGGTCTTGTTCAGGAGTTACATCGATCTTAGGGTACTGACTATCTGCTCCAACAGCATTTTTATGCTGTTTAGATCAATAACGAGCGTGAGAGTAGAGTCACCAGAATGCGAGCCGTCGAGATAAGACAAAAAATTCAATTGCCACTATGGTGTTGTTGGTCTCGACTTAATTACGCTGCCTTGCCGTGCGTAAAAACAAGTGCTTTTTACCCTTGACCACATTGCTTCCATCTTCTTCCTCCCACGCTAGCAGCTAACCAGCATCCATTTTCTTCCCTCTCAGCTAACCGGCATCCACTTTCTTGCCTCATAGGGATTAGGCACATTGGCGTTATGCTTCAAATGCATATGCTGGAACTTCGCAAGTGGTCCCCGATCTTGTGGCGTGATCATGTTCCCAGCCGCGTTACGCTGGTCGCGAGAGACTGAGGGGATGTTAGAGATAGCTCGTCCTTCAAGTAAGCCAGTATCAATCTATTTACGATTACATCCTTCACTCTAAAAATCGGCCCTCCATAAAGACATGGACATGACCACTGAGTGTGAGTTACTACTCCGGAAAATAGTTTTTAGAAGACTCATTTATTCTTAAATTTTAACTTTCATGATAATTAAGTGATAGCCTTAAAAATCCGATACACCGGTGCACTCTTGAGATCGATCTGCTTGCCCAACCCTCTTTGAATCTTCGTCAGCACGATTCCTCCAGGTCCAGGAGCACTTGGGTGTCGTGTCAGAGTCTGCTTGTTTAGCTGTCCTCCAATTCGAGTTGCATTCTTTTTCGTCGCTCCTGATGAAGCACCAGAAGTGTTCGTCAAAGGCTTCGTTATTGTTGGCTGATCACTTGTTTGCTCTCCAGCACCTGCAAGAGCAGCACCTAGACTAGTGGGAAGATTTGCTCCTCCCGTTTGTGTTTATGAATGGTTCCGGTATTTTTGGTATAGCCTGAATTTGATCATAAGGGAAAACAAGAAGAGAACCCTTAGGATCAAACTCAGGTTATCAAATACCAGAACCATACAGTTTGACCTTCCACTCCGGGTCCGTCCCCCTCCGCACCTCCATATCCTGCGCGTAGAACTCCACTCTTCCCGTTAGCCGCAGAGGACAGGCGGGAAGAGTGGAGTTCTACGCTCCCAGGTCGTGCACGAAAGGCTGCTGCTGCGGGACTTGTCTGCGGTCGCGGGGCGGTGGGATTAGAAGGAGGTGGAAGTCGTGAAGATACGACGTACTTGCTCCAAATCGTTTTCTGTAAGCAAAAGAGTCTTATAATTTGATAGGACTTCCTTAAGGTACTAGTAGTTGATCATGTCTGAAATGAAAAAGCTACTCAGGTGGAACGCATGCTCAGAAAAACCCGAAAATCTTCACTCATAACAGGCCTCTCCACCTCTCCACTGTTCGGCGCACCAGGGACCTTGAATCTCGACGCTTTGCTAAAACTGCGAATTGGTGCTGTTGCTTTGCAGGACTCTACCTGTTTTCCTAGGCCAGGGTTCGGTTTGGTCGAAAGGGAACTCACAGGATCAGACCCTGGGAGAGCAGGTTTTCTGGCTCCAACTATCAGAAGGTTAGAGGGAGAGGTGTTGAAAAGGAAGGATGCGGATGAGAATGACGGTGCTGGAGACTTCTCGAAGATAATCTTATGTTGCGACACTGACAACGCACTCACACTTCTCAACATCTTCAAAGCAAAACAAGTCTCATCTTCTCGTCTGTGGTCCTAATTTTCGTCTTTGCTCCCATCGTGTAATGTCGTGTATACGTTGCCTTGACAAGCCTGTCGTTTGGATCGTAGATTGCCCCAGGACTCTCTCTTGCGTAGAATTCTGCATTTCCAGCACCCTTCGACACATTCGCGCCGTTCTTGGCACCAGCCTGAAGATGCAATGGACATGGACATGGAGGAGTGTATCTCGCTGGACTACAGCTGATTATAAATGAAGAAACAACTTGTTCCAAAGCAACAACCTGACGAGTACCTCCCTCGTCTCTTTTCCAAACACTGTCTGGCCCTCCCGTTTGTTGCGATACTTGTCAAACTTCGGTACAATTCCGTGTAAGTCGTTGTATGTTGGGCCATAGCTTGGTATATTGCTCGCTGATCGCGGCCGTTGAGACGTTCCGAAGGTGCAGCCTTTCCACCTGTCGAGCAAACTCGTGTTCAGATCATACGTCACTCCTGGCGATGTACGACCTAAGAAGTCCGTGTTTCCGCCTTTAGCGATTAGATAAAAGATGAAAGTGCTATGAGTATGAGTCTTACACTTGATGAACATCAACAACTTGATGAAAGGACAAGGCCTGAAGAGCTAGATTCACTACAACTACAACTCTTGTTCCACCTCCTTAGTTGCTCGTCGTCCCTGTCCTTGTGTGTACTAGAATCACAAATTAATACTACAACAACAACTGCATCATAAGATCAAGATGTCTCCACACTTTTGTCTCGCTGATCGACTTGCGCTTTTTCCGAACCCAATAGCTGCTGCTGTTGGCCGTTGACTCTCGAGCTGCCGACCCAAAGCACGATCATCGAAAGACTCGCCTCTCTGCCACGGATTCTCAGCTGCTCCTCTATTTTTGTCGTGTTTTGAACCTCCAGCAGGAGCGGTGCTGCTGGAAGAGCCCCCTACTTGCTGGTGACCTCCGCCGGGGCTATGCCCAGCACTGCTTGCTCTGCTCTTAGTCATGGTCATGGTGTCTTTTTTTTGCTCTATGTTTAAGAGTAAGTGTAGTAAGAGGTTGAGGTGTATTGAAAACATTCACCTTATAATTTGTAGCAGTAGTAAGTATGGACGAAAGAAGAAAGAAGCTGCCGTGGAGTCGGCACTGCAGTCAGAGCACAACAAATGTGCAAATTTTTCCATTTCTTTGTTTTCTTGTAAAAGAGAACAATTGGTTTTTTCCCTCTTTTCACGGGGCGGTTTCCCTTCTCGACGGTTTCTGTGCAATTTTTGTGTGCCTGTACGACGAAGTAAGTATATTTTTGTAACATCCGAAGACGACGACGAGACCAGTTATATATAACAAAGCCAACACTCCAGTGGACTATCTGGTGCTGGTTCGCTGTCGCATCAATGACTGGTCAGCATCCGTGCTATGTCTATCGGGAGTATCACGATTTGCTGTGTCTCGTGTCGCATGTTAATGAAACAACTTCAGAGCGTCATGATGCTTCCTTAAGCAACCACACTCAGAAGTTCTGGTTTCAAAACACTAAGAAGTTCTGGTTTATGCGGCATGAAGACAGGATTAGAAGAAGTTGCGTCAACATTACTTAGTTATGTGTCTGTGACTGTGTCATGATGTCGTGGAAGATTTTATTTTCAAGAACAAATGTATGATTGAATATGCTAAAAGGTGTTGACAAGAAGTACTCTCTTAGTTATTCCCTATCCCCAAATACGCCCGATCCTGTGCAGTAAGCGTGCGTCCTGTCGGGTTCCGCATCGCTGCTGCAAGGTCGTCTATAAAGGAAGTGCATGTGTAGTCCTCCATTTCGGCTTGCCTGGGGTCTGATCTGATCACATCTCGCAAATACCCAAAAACTCCCCCGTAGAATGCGCAAAGAAAGCCTACCACTCCTGCTGGTCCAATGGCGTGTGGTGTTGCATGCACGAGGGTGAACTTTAGCTTGGTAAGCAAAGAAGAAGAAGATGTAGAAGATGTAGATGTTGTGGTCGATGTGCCTAGTACAGCTGATGCAGACGTTGAAGATGATGATGTTGCTGCACCACCACCACTTATGCTGGCAGTGGAAGATGAAGCAGTCGTGCTAGATATTTGAGCGGCCCCTTTCGTGCTCCACCATTCATAGGCCCCGAATGTGTAACCGGCAAAACAACCAAAGCAAGCGCCTGACTTCGCCCCCTTGACTCCTGCATCGCCGATCGCAACGTCTTCCGTGAGTGTGAGTTAGAATGGTCCACTTACACTGTCACTCAAACTCAAAGATCAATGTCTTTCCGTTTCGGACATCCACATCACGACCTTCATCCTTAAGAACTATACCTCGGATTATCGACTTCTGCGGCGAAAAGCTGTTCACGCCAGATAGTCCGTGTGCCTGTGCCATACTCGATGAGGTTTGCCAAATGAATCACAGTTCTAGTAGCATCGGCGTTTTCACTCTGCACTAGGAGAGGCGGACGCACAGGTACGATTGTTAAATTCTCAGCTTCTGTTTCTGAAGGGGGCTGTAAATTGAAGTGGGTAGTCGTAGTTTCTCATCATGCAGTAGAGGTTCAACTTCAGTTCCCATTTACCCTCGTGCGGTGAAGAACGAAGATAGGTCGAACTTCAGCATGATGAAAAACTGTAACCATACTTAACTGAAGGTCGTGATCCTGCCTCTGCTTCTTCATGCGCAGCGCGATTTTCATCCGTTGCTTCTGCTCGTCGCGCAGCTGCTGCAAGTCCTCTCCTTTTCCACCTCCCTAAAGCATTTATTGATGCCGCAAGATCAGCATCAGTTGATTCCTCATCTCCCTCATTCATGCCGAAGGGATCGTCATTGTTGTTGACATTCCGCATATCTTCCCCTTCTCCTCTGTTCATCTGCGAAGATGATCCCTCATCGTGGTCCATTGCTCTACGTCTTGTCAGCAGGAACAAACGCGCGTATTGAATCTGATTCTGAGGATGGATATATCCAGGATCTTCAGGCACTGTGATGCGAATCAAAAAACGCCACGCTCCACTCCCCAACATCTCCTGCAAAAAGGTAGCTCCACCACAGATACAACGTTTGAATAGAAGCGATTGGAGGACAGAAGATGAACGTGGTGGTCTCGTCACTTTCTTGTCCTTCTCCTTCCGTCCAAGGTCTTCTTCGCCCAGGTCACGTCGTCCACCCACGTCGCCTACGCATTCCTCTTCTTCATCCTCCTCCCCCGAAAGACCCAGCCTCCTCACGTCAATCTCGAGATTATTTTCTATCGCCACTGCAGTCATTCTCGAGGTCAAAAGACTCGTTACGTCCTCGACATAAGAAACCGACAAGTTAGAGCGCACAGTAATTCATCTTGTTCCACCGGCATCATCTCAGAAGCCAAGAAGGAGTCTGAATCTGAAACAAATCAATATCTGTGAAGATGAATTGCTTACTTTGAGTCCTCTTAATCAAAACGAGCGTCCGCAGATCGCTTTGTCGGTAGTCTATACTAGCGGGTCGGATGATTCGGCCTCCCGTACCATAAACTGTGGCGAAGTTCGCCAATTTTCGATCGGAAATCTTGATCTTGATCATTTTTTTTGAGGATGTTGAAAATTTAATATCAATATCTCTCAGATACAGATTATCTGAAGTCTTATAAGTAGTAGAGCACGTTGTCAATTTCCTGAGCAAGGAGGGCTGGGACCACAACCACTCGGTTTTCTGGGTGCTTCATACTTTCACATTTTTGTTGGAGTGTTGCTTGATGTGGTGGGGAACTGCTCTGATGCTCTCCAGCGAACACACATGGCTACTTATTTCTCTCTGCTCTCCCTCTCGCTCTCTCGATATTAGGAGTGTCATCGTTGTTATTTTCCTGTGACGGCAGCATTTGTTGTTCTATTTTTCATCTCGTACAATTCTCGAAGGCCGTGTCCTCACGTCTCCCGCCAGGAGGGCGCCTTAAAAAAGCTGAAGTTGTTTTGTTGCGTAGAAGAAGGTGACGGAGGAAGTTAGTAGACGGAAAATTACAACATGAAGCCATCTCAAGTTTGAGGTGCCAAACAAGGCTCCACAACATTGGATGCGCAAAAAATCCTAAGATCTTCCAAATATGCCTTCAACCGATGAGATTCATGATCCTCAAGTGGTACAAGTAAAAAGCATCTGCGCAACCAGTGTAGGAATGGATGACTTGGATGGACGGGTGTTTCTTCGGTGAGAATGGTACTAGACTTTGATCCTCCACCAGGCAAAAGATTCAACCCACGCCCCAAAGGAATGTAGCCTCCCTTCAAATTGTAGCCAAGAGGGCCTTCTATGGGCAAAAACGGCACTGGATCATTCGGACTTCGGATGTTGATGAAATTGCGATTCTTCTCGTCTTTCTGCTCACGGCCATCTTCCTCCAACCCTCCATAACCAAAGTTGGTCAGGAACTCACCTCCGGGGCCATCTTCCTCCAATCCCCCATAACCAAAGTTGGTCAGGAATTTCGGTGCGCCAAAGGTTGTCACTTGTTTCACGTGGAACCCACGTTTCTGGAGCTTGAGACCGATGATGCCTGCGGAATTAGAGTAGATGAAGCTCCTAGTCCGATCATGATGTGTCTCCATGAATGTGAAACCTCTTCTATTCAGAGAAATCCTCCTCAGCCTCGACTTCATTGACGAAGGAGCATGATTGTAAACGACTCATCGTGTCCGTGCGTCCAACTGATTCATTCACTCACTCATTCGAACCACTAGCAACTCAGAGCTGCCTGCTTCCGTAGCGACCCGAGTAGAGACGCGGCGGCTATATAAAACCGACTGCTTCGGGCGTGAGTAACGCCTATGGCAGATTAAATAAATAGAACCGAAGATCACGACATACTTAGTTTTAAGCCTTAACCATCGCGCCCCCCAATGAGTGGCCGTGTAGATGAATTTCTCCCTCCCGATCTTGCAGTAGTGGTTCCAAATCTCGTAGCAAGACGTTCGCCTTGCTCAGAAACCCCGCGTGACAGTAGGTCCCGATCTCCTTGTCGAAGATTTTTATGGGTTAGAGTCAAGACCGGCTCTGAGTGCAGTAGGATTCTGTTCTATCACTACGCCAACGACTACTTTTCACCAGAATGAAAAGGCAGCCTCTAGCTCTACGTCTACTATCTACTCCGTTATAAGTATCTATGTATACGTACAACCCAATCCCAACGACCGTTCAGATTTGACAAAAAAAAACACCAGTTCAAGCTCCACCCTCTTCATAACGATTATTCAGATTCCGAAGCCAATCCGATGTAATCGTGGTTCCGCGAATGAAGACTTCATACGAGCGCTTGCCTGTGCGTGGACACAGTTCGTAGTATAGGTAGTAGCACTCACGTCTCATTGCTTCTGTTTCCGCCAGAATTCTATCGACTGTAGGCCTCTCGAAATTCTCAGGCACCAAAGATTTTGCCAATTCACTGGCTGCAGTGGCTGATGTGGTAAGGTGTCGTAGGACGTTATTTTGAAAATGGAAGTAGTTTTGTTTTGCCTTCTCTACAACTGCTGTTCCTTGTTGTGTTAAGAAGACCTGGCGTCCGTGTCCTTGCCCTGCGCTATAAAATTGCTGCTCTTGTTGTCCATTCGACTTTTGCTGCTCATGCTCTTCCTTGTCTTCTTGAACCAGCACTGCGAAATAACCACTTTCTTCACTTGAATCCCCCACGTCCGTCGAAAGGATATTGACGTACCCTCCATCAACGTAATCTAGCTGGCGAACGACGATTGCGCCATAGAGACCTCGCTCCAAGTGCCATCGACGGATGTTGTCATAGTCTAAGCGCATCTCACCCATGATGTTGCATCTTTCACCTATTGCCAGCAGACGCTGCGCTTCTTGTTGAGGGATGAGCTTTTCTCCTCGTGGTGGAAGTCCTCTTGGTATTCCTTGTATTGACGAGGTGGTGTCTTCGAGGATGGCATTTTCTACCTCGTCTCCTTCTTGGAAGCCAGGAGGCACTCCTACTTTCTTCCCACCTGAGTCTGTCCTCGTCGCTCCTTCTCCTTTTAGTAAAAACCCTTGTTCTTCTTGTTCGGTCTTTCCCGTACCCCTCCTCCGGCGACACCATTTCTCTGTTTCTTCGAGTTCGCGCAACTGCGTTTCCAGGTGTTTTCTGGCTACTTGCCGCGCTGCAAGTAGAGACCCAAAGGGTACTACACCATACTTGAAGACCCTTCTCGGCACGGTTCGCAACAATGTCCGTCTCCATCCTTTGCCGATCATAGAGGGAATCCTGCAGAATCTGACTGTATTCACAATGAAAAGTCAACACCTACAACAGAATACAACTTATGGGAAGTGTTCTCTTTATCTCCGACGAACAAGGTAAGTGCGACGTGTTATTTTTGTTTCGAGGATAGTACTTTCCTTTTTTCTTTTATCATTGATCGTGACCTTCCTCGCTAAATGCTAGTCTTTTCGTACTTTTGCCTCCTGTAAAAATAGGTACCATTATACTTAGTATCCTACGGAGAAAACAAACAAGGGTGTGTTTTTATCGTTCAAGCCTCAGTCAGTTTGGAGTGTTGTTGATGGAAAAAAAGTGCATGGTGCTCCAGGTTTCTGTTTCTCTTACTTGCTGAATTATCTGGCTGAGTCTTATCCGTCAGTTCGAACCGAAAGCGAAGAACAAAATTAAATCTCGACTTCCGAAAGCAGCACTGCTCGATTGTAGTTAGTGTAACCACCAGACAAAATCATTACCAGAGCATGCCTTTGCCTCATCCTTCGAGAACAAGTCGTTCTTGGAAAATCAGGGGAGGGGAGAATACGAACGGGGTATATTAAGGGAACAACAGATAATATGGCAAACTAGTGTAACTTTAACATTAACAGCTTAACAAGCATTCATCTTTATGGTTCACTTTCACAAAACGCGAAATTTATATGATAACCTCTCCTCAGGCGTGGGATGGGATACGCGAGGTGGAAGCTGCACGATGACATTTTTTGTGTCGAGATGATTGAATCAGATGACCGGGAGTCGATCATACCAAAAATTTGGGTACAAGAAAGAACTGTCGCGGCCATGGTTACTCTAGAGCAGGGGAAGTAGTTATGAGATTCTTCACGGCAGGGGCAGGTGTAGGGTTCTTCACGACGGAACCTACATCAAGAACATCTTCAAGGTCTCGTTCTGTTTTATTCGAAGGGTCTTTACTAGAGGTTTTCGAGGTATCCTCCTCCTCATTTTTGTTCTGCGCAACACCACTTCTAGAAGAACTACTTCCTCCGATATCTTTTGAGGGTCGTCCTCCAGGTAGAGAGCAGTCTGACTCCACTTGAAGTTGTACACCTCCTTGTCCTTCTCCCCTTGTCCTATAAGAGTGAAGCAGAGTCTTGCACACCTGAAACAGCCCCACATAGAGAAAGCACATGAAGTAGACTAGACCAGGTCCCGTTGTCGTTAGGCCCAATTCCTGTAGGAAGAAGAGGTTTGTCGTAGAAGTTGAAGTGTCCTCGTCTTCCTCTGGTGCAACAAGGTCGTTGAGTAATTCATCGGGTGAAGATGCTGAAGAAAGACTCGAGGAAGATATTCTTCCAGACCTTCGCATTTTCTTGTTGTTTTTCCCCTGCTGATGTCTTTTCGATGTCAAAACTAGACGCAATTTGGATATCTTTGATCCTCGCGATGATGATGATGATGTTCTTGATACAAAAGGATTTGAAGATGAACTGGTACTGGAACTTGATGAAAGACGAGAAGAAGTTGTACTTGTTTTAGCAGAATTAGAGCTAGTACAGCATCATTACTCATTATGGCATCCTTGGACGAGGCATCCTTGGCTTGTTTTTCGAGTAAAAAAAGCGGCAAGGATGGTCGCGTACTGAGGATGAGGATGCTCTAAGGGTAGCCGTAATAGAAGTCGTGGAACTTCTCGATGTCTTCTTGATGCGTTGATTGTCGTCGTATATCTTTATTGTTGACGTATGTTTATTCGTAGTCTTGTCAGTTTGTAGAAGCATTGGTGCAGATTTACTTGTGGGGCACCTCTCCACGTCTCCGTCCTCCGCGTTACAATTCTTCTTTTTCCGGAAATGAAGACGAGAAGGGAAAAAATACAACTACTTATTCAGGTGGGGAAAGAGGAAGAGCGTTCTCATCATGATCATGTCTAACATGGACAGGCTGAGGCTGACAGAGACCACTAGTGCTGCTCGTATTTGTTGTTTCCCCTGAGAAAATGTTAAAAATGTTATTTCTCAACCCCAAAAACTAAAACTACTACTCAAAGATCCAAGTGATAATTGTTCCATACTTCTTCGCTTGTCGATCTCGATCCAATCGTTGAGAGGATCGGCACTTCTATCTCTTCTCCTGCGCGAATCTTCACATAGATACGCTTCAGGGTACCCTTTTTGCCGGTTTGGAGATTAGAGGAGGAAGGGTATTAATTAGGGGAAAGAGAATCTAGTTCCAGGACGAAAATATGCAAATGCGTTTGAGTATGCAGAGGTGACCGGTCCTTCATCTATCGTTTAAGACTAGGTCAAAGAACAATTACAAATTTTGTGACATAATCTCCGCTTCGAATATCAAAGCTGCAGGCGTGCCACCTCCCATCCACTTGGACATGGCCACGTCCATGAGCAATAAGCGCCCACCACACTTAATTAGAGGCTTGCCTGGCTCACCGCCGATTAGCGGAGTGGGGGTGTGACCCACAACAAGACGCTCAGCACCTCCAGTTCTAAGAATCTGTTGTACCTCACGACACACAGCGCGAGGTTGACCTGATAGATGGAGAAGGGAGTGTTACTTTTTCTTTTAGTGGTGGAAGATATTAGAGATTTGCATTGGACTGATTAGATGAAGATAGAAGAAGAAGAAGAAGAAGAAGAAGAAGAAGCGGGGGCCTATCAGTTTCTAAAACAGTGAGTGTTGAGTTTTTGGTAAACGCATCGGCCCCGGGTGCGGAGCGGTAACGGATGAAACCCAAACCAAAGCAGGAAGAACGACTCCAAAGTAAAGACGAGCGAGGGGTCACAAAGTGGTCCGTAGTGGACCACGTCCAGCAGAACCAACCACAAGCAGATACCCGTTCCGGGTACTGTCCAACAGAACCAGCACCACGGGCACAAGAAGTTGACAAATATGAAGACGACGAACCAACAGACACCTGAAGAGATACTGAAACCCCTACCGAAAACACCTAGCTCCGCACCCTCCCAGCACAAAGCAAGCCTCGCGGGGCGAGATTGCGATTGATAGTTAGATAGATACCAAGTAAAAGAGGCAAGCGAGCAAACCACCGTGGAGGAGCGATCACGCAGCCACCTCTAAGCTAAGCCCCCACACAGACAACGACAAGCCCCGAGCCGCGACACCCAAAAGCCGAGAGCATCTGGCAGACCTGTTAGCCTCCGGGGCAAGCCGCTGCAAGCCACAGCCCAATGCCAGTGGCTGGCTGTTGTATCTCAGAACCGAAACCAAGAACCCGCTGTAAAATAAAACAAACAAAACACCGCACACGCACACGGCAGAAAAGAACACACCCACCAGAATGATGCCGAAGCCCACAGCTGCGGCTGCCGCCGCGCGCCGGCTTCTCTGTAGCTCACCCGACGCTGCAGCTATGAAGGCACAGACACGCCCGCCAGCCACCAGCTAACCTAAGCGGCTCCCTGGAATCTGTTTAGCCATCAACACCGAGAGAGCCCCTCGCGGCGTATTCATAAATATCCACCAACGCGACACACCCCGCCCCGCCGTCCTGGTTTCGAACTTGAAGCGAGCCCAGAAATAAGCCACGCAGGCTATCACGGTTCTTCGAGGTCTTTCCTCCTTGACCGAAGGACCAGCCTAGCGCTGGCGCTTCCTTTAACTTGCCCAAGGCAGTAGCCTATGTCGGCTAGAGTTAACGGCCCTAGCAGAGCTGGCGCTGCTCCCGTCGAAGGAGAGATGAAAGCTTCGCGCCAGGTTTTGAGTGGACTCGCATCCAGAACTGTGTCGAGGGGTCTCGCAAATGCTGCCCCGCTTGTAGCAGGGGAGTCGCAAGGCTTCGGCTCCGCACGCAGACTCTTCAAGCACCACGATCGCGCTCAGAAACGTCGCCGAAGAAATGTCCACGGCGTCCCCTGGGTCCATCACTATCGCCCCCAGTTTTGGGCTGAGCAGCAAGCCGACGCAGGGGCGGCCGCCCCCGGTGCGCTGGAGCATTTCGCGTAGTGGCTTGTACTCGGTTGCTCCTCCCCCCTGCCCCTTGTCCTCGTCCAACGCGCGGAGTAGCGTGTACGCCTCCGCAAGCGACTTTTTTTCCACTTTGCTCTGAGACATTTGAGGACATGCCGAGACTCCGACTCATGCTCATGGCTCTGCACCAGCCCCAGACTCGTCTGGCGCTTCCCTCCGTAGGTGGCAAAACTTGCCAGCCAGCGCGGACGCCTGCCGCCGTTTCCGAGCAGCTCGGACAGTTCGCCGAGCCATTCGCGACCTGGGACAGTTACAGTAGACCAGACCCCGGCAGCCCTGCGACTCTTAGACAAGGCAAGGGCGCGCCCGCTGTCGGGGCCGGGCAGGCCCAGCGTTGCCCTTGTCGCCGCTTTTCGCTGTTCTGGCAGCGCGCTCCTGCTTCTCGAGTTCCGAAACGCGTCGGCGCGCTGCTTCGTCCACCTCCTTCCCGTGGCCATAGACATGCATCGACGCGCAACAAGCAAGGACGGCCCCCCCGCGCTGCTCTCGGGGTTCCCTTTTTCGGCCAGCTCCACGACACGCCGGCGCGCATCCGTCGCGGCGTTGCCGCTGTTTTCTTCCTGACATGGCGGGGAGCAAAAGCATTCGCCATCGCCGTGGGCCGTCGGGCCGTCGCGCGCGTCTTCTTCACCCTGGCCGGCCTCGCCGCCGGTAGCGATTTCCGTGCGCTGAGGGGAGCTGAGGCCTGCGGTCCTCGCCGCTGCTGAGGCGGCACGGCGTGCCAGCGCTGCCGCACGCCGACCACACTGCCAGCGGCCCCGCCGTAAAGGTATGGGGCTAGCGACCATAACATCAGCAACGCCGACGCAGACGCAGTGAAAATTCAGGAGCTTACGTTTTTTTTTCACATGAAAGCAATGCAATCAAATACCCTGAGCCAAATGGCGTGTCTGCAGAATCTCGTTCAACAGGGGCGTATCTAGATTGTTGGCCATCAGCATGGCTTTTCCTGCCTCCTTAACAGCCTGAACACTTCCGTACTGTCGCAGGGTTTGATGTGTTATTCCCGCATGGACAAAAAGCGTCTTCGACAATGGCACGCCAGGGATTTGTTCGAGCTGTAAAATAAGTTGTCAGATTTTGATACATGTTAATAATATGTGGAGGATAGGTTGATTGTTGTTGGAGAGGATCCACTTTTAAGATGGTGATGTTCAGCTTCAGTGATACGAGCATATCTTGGTGATACAACTAGTGTAGCATATGAGTAAACGACCTTACCGAAATGACGTCGAATTCTTCGCGAATCATCTTTCCGAGCTCTCCTGTAGGGCCAAAAGAATGCATTCTCTGTGACCAAGATCCGAAGCTCATCAAGTCTTCGCGTGGAACATACTGTGCGAACGGTGCGTTGCTGTAGTAGAAGGTTTTTGCTCATAAGCAGGAGTGGGCTTTCAACATGTGATCGTGATGTTGTAAGAAATGAAATAAAAGAAACTGTCAGTACTATAACTTTTACATACAAGTATAAGTTTCACGGTAACGGTCTAACGGTACAGATGGTGTAAGTCTGAGTCCTTACTACTTGCAGCCTCATTCGAGCTATCAGAAAAAAACAAAACAGCACTGTATAACAAAACTAGAAATAGAGTTCTCCTTACGCATCAACGCCCATGATCGTGATCCATTCGTGGTTTCCGGTGAGACGTGTCACGTTGTATTGTTCCTTCAGTTTTTGGCTCAAACGATAGCATTCTTGAGGCTGCGGACCGCGATCAACTAGATCACCAGTAAAAATCAACTTGTCTTTCCCTGGATGAATCGGCTCGACGAAGAGGATTAGAAGAAGCAGAGGGATTGTTTTGTAGAAAGATTATGCTTATGGATGAAAGGTTCTCCTTGCGTTAAACTCGTCAGACATCGAAGATTATTCGGGAGGGGCGACGTCGTAAGTGTGGGGTAGTTTATTAGCACTTGATCGTGGTTAAGGCTATCTGAACGCACGACACAAGTCTACAACGAAAACTATAATATTTTATAAGTAAATTAGTGACTAACTAATGACAGCGCCTACAATCTAAACAATTCATCACCCTTCTTATATTAGATAATGTTCTTGTCTCCCGTTCGCCTTAACTTCACTGCTTCCTGCATCACATCGAAATCGCCGTGAATATCAGGAATCATCAACAGCCTGTGCATTTCTCCGGAAACTTGTGTGGATTGAAGAGACGACCACATTGTTGTCAGGACGATGGAAGAGACGAGACCGCTCCTAGCAGACTTCCTTGATGATCTAGGCTCCTTTCTTCTCATTTTCGAAGAAGTAGAAGATCTCGTCTCCCGTATACTAGAGTGAAAAATCTTGTTCTTCTGACATCTCGATGTTGTGGTAGACGGAAGAATCATCCTTCTGCTTGTCGGTCTATCCATTTGTCCGTCTATCCGGCTAGCATGATCTTCTGAAATGCCTCTTGTGGAAGAGGAAGAAGACGAGGACGACAAAGACATATTTCTCCACTCACATTCAAATGATGGATGGAACAATGACAATCGTGAAGCTAATACATGAAAATAAGTCACTAAGAGAGCATCATGTACAGCGAAGATTTAGGAAGAACTGGTAGAAGTTGTTTTTGTCTTATCGCTTTCGCTGCTAACTCAACGACCCCACCTGAAATAGTTGCGCACCAAGAATTGAGGTCGACTCATGCTGAAGGCATTGGCATAAGGCTGGCTCTATAGGACGTCAACAGGAGTGACCACACCCACCACAGAACATGACGAGGAGCGGCTAGACTATAAGCTTCAACATGGTTGTACATTCGATTTTCTTTCTCATGAAGTTGTTCTTCGTTTATTTCTCCTTGATTTTGTGATTGTGTGCTGTTCGATCTAAAAGTGGTCTTTCGAGACTCGTGCTGTCGTTATCTTCTACACCATCGACACTCCAAGTTTTCAGAGCTTTCCTAGTCGCATAAGCACGCCAGGTAAAGAGCAACCACAAAGCTCCTGGGTTGAAGAGTGTTCTCCCCAAAATGCCTCCCAAACTGTACCATGGTTGCGCATATTCATACTCAATTTTGTCATATACTTCTGTCACACTTATTACATTTGGACCAGAACTAGAAGTACTACTACTAGGATTAGTATTTATATTTGGGCCCCCACCAGCACCACTTCTATCTGGTGCAGGAGCTCTGAACTGATGTCGATGGACCCACTTCTGCATTGGCGGCCCATCTACCATTTCGTCCGTGAAACCGCTCGTTGACACATCTCGGTGGACCGCGTGCCACCGAATAGGATAGCAGAAAGCGAGGTAGATTGTTAGAAGACGAGGAAGTAGGTCCTCCATCTACACTGTCTAGTACTTTTGCTAGGTAACATCACGCAAGTTCACGAGGAGGAGACGCAAGTTCCTTCGTCTGGGATTAATTATAGTAGCTGTCAACAACGGGGCTTTGTTGGGGATACTACAACTGGTCACCAAGAAGTAGCAGGAGTGGGCGTAGGACTTGGACAGATTAATTGTCCTCAACTTGCGTTAAATGACAGTTGGACAGGTCATTCGTCCTCGTCGTTCATTAAGTTAGATCATCCCAAACCACTCAGCCATGACATAGTAAACCGCAGTTCAGCCCCATCACTCATACGGGCCAAGCGTCTCGCAGGATCAATTTCAACCGCACAGCCTGGAGGACTAAGGAGTGGGAAAATCTCAGACACATTGGTCTGATGGAAAGCGGCTACGCGGGAAGGGTCATGCCCATGGACGAGGAATGAGGACTCGAAGGTGGGCATTGTTTTTTCTTTTGCGTGTTTATTCACGATCAGTCTGGTCGAACTCGAACTCTGCCTGTTTTCCAATACGAAATTTCAAGTTCCTGAATCATGCTATAGTACTGCTGTCAAATTATAACTTCTCCTCAGAAGTCTATGCAGTTTTGTTCCAGATGATTTTCATGCGAATACAACTCGTCGAATAGGCAAGTGTGCTACGGCCCTGCCAACTAACACACAGGTCGCGAGCCAGGCACAAAGTCGGTCTTCCAAATCGTAGTGTCCTCGTCCTCACACTAGTACCCCGCCCTTGGCGCTGGCTCTGGTAGAAACAAAAAGTCAAATATTTATGCGAATCTTCATTGGTTTTGAACGTCAGTATTCGTCATCCGCTACCAATCATTTTCGCAAGCTTTGTTCTCAAAAAGCTCAACATCAGCTATAATTTCGATCTGCAGATATAGGGCGACACTATGTTTATGTGGAACATATTTGAAGCTCGCTGCTTCAAAGTTTGTAATCAGCTATGGTTCGTCGCTAAATATTTTCATCGATGATGTAAGAAGGCAGCGCAAGTACCTTGTCAACAATGCTTGACAACCAAAAGATGAAACTGAAAAACAAGCAGGCACATCTTCTCACACGACACCTAAATGTGATCCCCTAGTTTCATCTAGATCTAATTATGCTACTGCTAGGTCTACAAAGCAATCGTAGCAGGTAACGAGACATTTTCTAAGTCTGCTCTGGAGAATGCGGCTTTATCGACTTTGCGTTCCTCCAGTGTCGAAGCAACCTCAGCCCACGTGTTCAAAACCTCTACGGCGGGTCCGATAACTTCGTAGTACTTGCGGAGTTTAGAAGAAATGCAATGTTGTAAGACACCAGGAGGTCTGGAAGCAAGTACTTAAGTACTACTTTACTAGCACTAGAAGGGTGTCGCTCCGATTGACATGAATCGACATCATGATACTAACTTTTACAAGGCGAAGACCCTGAAGAATTCGTCATGTTCTACTTCTAGATGCTTTATTCATAAGAAGTGCTTGATGCAATAGGCGGCCGTCTCGTCTTGCTTTCAGCGTAGACACTGCAACCGGTTGAAGGAAGGGGTAAATTGACGTGTGGGAGATACCGCTTGGGTGTGGATCCAACTCCGAGAGAAGGGCGTAACGATTAGAGGTACATCGATTATGAAAATGAAGGCGCGTAAGATTGAGCTAACATGATTTGCTTGCAATTGCAAAGAACGAAGAAGAACTGGAAAATACAAAATGATAGAGGAGAACTCTTGATCATAGCTAATTCTGCTGCTGTGATCTCCTGCTGAGTCGAGTGCCGGAGCCGTCTATCAGCATCATCCAGCGTCACTTCCTTTGAGGAGTCTATCGTAAGACTCGCAGCAGATGCAGCCTACATTAGACAGAATCACAGATATAGCTGAATCGCGTGATCTTGATCACAGGCCGTGGGAAAGTACAGATGAAGCCTTCCCTTCCTCAGGCATATTGAGACAAAATGAGAACATCAAACTCCATTCCAGGATGAAACCCCAAATTCCAGGATGAAACTCCAAATTCCATAGCTCTTCCTTTACGTCCTCAATGAATTTCGAACCCGCTTTGACCATCCAATCTGTTGATCCGTCCCAATTGTTCTCCTCTTGGCGATGCAAAAACGTTCCCAAGCGATCGAAGAAGCGCACTAAGCCACGTCCTTGAAGTTAGAAGCAGTTCAAGCAGTTCCACTTCGTTTATATTACATCATCCTGATGTAAGAGTTGTCAGGGAGGTATTTCTATTTTTACATGTTTCTTTGAGTAGTACTACGATTCAATCATCTGTGTCCTCACGATGACCAAAAAAAAGGGTGAATTGTTCAATTATGTTCCTATCGAGGACGCAATAAAAATCTTTTTTTGCCATAAAAATACACAAATATCTTTCTCGCCAATTTCCACGTTGGTACCACTTTAGCCGACGTCATGACCAAAGCACCCAGCAAAAGTGCCCATCTTGCAAAGCGTTTCTCGATTTTAGGTGTCTTCCAAAGGCGTTCATCCTCGCGTAGAACCAAAAACGGTGAACCAAATGAACAGAGAATCGAATCTTCGATTTGCGCTTCTAGTGAGTTGGCGTTGGCTGTGGCGATGATGCTGCTGGTAGTGTGGTCAAGGCGATGGGGACAAGTTGTGCTACCAGTAGGTGTTGTGATGTTCTTGACTTTATTCACCTCCTGGAGGTTCTCGCGGCTTGTACAACTAGAAGTCAACAAAGACGATTGCGGCTGCTCACCTGCGCAAGAATGAGTAGCTGTTCCGGAGACGAGTTGCTCCATGCCTGCTGACAATGACAGGAGAGTAGTTGTTTCTCCACTTTCATCGTCATCACTTCCGCCAGCGAAATCAATGTCGTCCTCCTCGACAAAAGCTTCCTCATGCTGCTCACATCCCATATCTACGTCGTCAGGTTCATCACAAAGGATCGTGGATTGATCATGATCTGGATCTCGACCACAATTTAATATAGATCCTCTTCCTCCATCTCGACCACAATTCATAGATCCTCTTCCTCCATCTCTCCAAGACAGCCTCATAGATCCCATGCGACAGCCTGGTTCAAAGTTTTGAGCGTCAAAGTCCCACGCCGTATGGTGAGAAAAGTCGTAGATCTCAATCCCTTTAGCCAGGTACCTCTCGTAGAAGGGATCGAACGCAGCTAGCATCGGCGCTTTAATTTGAACGTCAACCATACCACGAGCCAGATCGAACCGGGGATTAGAGCCGCTCTTTGTAAGACTTTAACAATATGTACATTTAGAGAACACAAAACAGAGTCGTCATGAAAACGAGTCTTGTACACCTACACTTCTTACCTAACCGCAGCACTATTTGTGCTATTTCTCTAAGCAGTAATGAATGAATGAATGAATGAATGTACCGACTCCAGGGGTTGGGAAGGGACCACTATTTTTAACTATTTCCTTCTACATAAAAAGCAGACCGTTTTCGTCGATCACTCTAGAATCAGCGTATCCAATGCCTCGTATCAGGCGTGCTCGCAAAAACGATGGCGCCCAATCGCGACTAGAATAGACACTCATGGTCTGCAACTTTGCACCTACGGAAGGCATCCTTGTTACCACTTTGTTTGCAGTAGAAGGCGGGTTCATGATCCTGGAAGACGTAGAAGATGAAGATGTGCTGTTTGCTTTCTGAACCTGAAGGAAAGGTGGTGCTGTATTAGAGCTACTGGTGGACACGGACATCTGTTCCCCAGAAAAACTCGAAGAAGATGCTTCAAGGTCCGCGAGAAGACGACTTCCTCCTGTGTCCATGTAGTAGGTAGTAGAACTAGAAGGTTGTTGATCAGCACCAGAAGATTCGCATGTCGTAGTCGGACCCCGATCATTAGGTGCTTGAGCTTCGACATGCGCTGGTGTAGGAAGTTGCACAATGAACGGACGACTTCTAGAAGGCACTACTCCGGTGATGTGCATTTTGTCTAGGAACGTGCCAAGCAGGCGTGCATGTTGTTCTAGGACACCAGAAGTTGCTGCAGTAGGCGCTTGAGGCTGTTGATCATGTTGTAGAAAAGTATTAGCGCGACCACTTCTTGTAGATCTTCGTGTACTTGTATAATCACGTAATTTCTCTGCATACAAGAATTCGCCGAGCATCTTGTTCACGCGCTTTCGTTCTGCTGAGATTTTGGAATTGAGAAAATCAGCCAATGAGAGTTCATGCGATTCAAGCCAGGCACGAACCTCAGAAGCAAACTCCTGCATTTCGCGGCGCGAAAGGGCTTCTTCGTCATCAGCTGCGACTGCATCTTGACTAGAAGTTGCACTAGAAGTGTTGTTAGCACTCGTAGCATCGTTGTTTTTATCCTCTTCGGAAAACAAAGCTCGTAGTGCGTGAAAAATGGCATCAGAAATGCCGTCCATCGCAATCCGGTAGACTGTGTCGCTGCGATAGACCGAACATTGCAATGCCGTGCGGTCCAAATTAACGGAAAAATCAAGGTCACTCCAGTCGGTTGGCAAATATTTCTTGCGTAGTGATTCCAAGGCTGCGTTTGGATCACTTGTTCTCGAGATGTGGTTCTTATTCTTGTAGAGTTTTTGATATCCTTTCTTGCCTTCAGCTTTGCGTTTGCGAGACGCACTACTGGTTCTGCGTGAAGATCGAGAGCGAGAGCGACTGTGAGAGGATCGATGCTTTTGCTTCTCGCCCTTTGTTCCAGCTTTTTCCTTATGGAGCTTAACTTCCTTCTTACTGCTCTTCTTCAACTTGCGCTGTAGCTCCTTCTCGCTTCCACGTTGCTTATCTCGTCCAGCCCTTTTGCGTTTCTTCTTGCTCTTGCTGAGTTGAGACTTTCCCCCCTTTTCCGTCTTCTTATTGCCCATAACCTTCTTTTTGTTCTTCGTCAGCATCCTTATTTTCGTTCTCTGTCGATTGGATGATAGAGACGACCCAGCTTTTGAGATTCGTTTCAGCTTCTGCAATTTGCTACGCCTAGGAGTTGTATGCTTCTTTCTGTGCTGTCTGATGTGCGTTCGAGTTGTAGGTTGCTGGAGCTCGTCCTCTTGCTCATGCAGCTCATGATCACTCTGCATAGCGGCATTAGAAGCTTCACTTGTTGTCGCGTAACTAGACCCACTAGTTCGTTCGCGTCTAGTGCTGCAAGACGCTTTCTTTGACGAGGACGAGAGAGAAACCAATGAAGACTTTGTTGTGCTTGTTGTATTTGACCCAGTTCTGTTGTAAAAAGAAGAAGCGGCCTGATCGTCACATGCAGTCGTGTCTACACCATCTTCGTCATCACCATTCTTTTCGTCTTCATCATCAACATCCTGCTCTTCCTCTTCGTTGATTTGCTCAAGATCTTGATCTACTTCGTTTTCAACATCTTTTTTCTCCTCATCATGATCGACCCCGCGCTCCTTAATTTTGTCTCCACGAGAACCCTCTTGTTCGTCTACGCTTTCCGCCACAGAAGTAGTCCTCGCCTTCAACGTCTCCTCACTCAACAGCTTCAGCATTGCAATCTGAATGAGTTTGACATTATTTCCGCCTTTGAAAACCAACTCAAAGCATGGGCTGCTCGTAACATCAGCAACAGAGCTAGGAAGAGCCTCCACAGCGTTTCGATGCTTGGTACTGACCGAAAGAACAACATCTTCAACGAAAGCTGAGGTGGTGGTGCCTTGATGCTTGTGTTTTTCCTTTTCATCAGCTAAACAATCACGACCTCCTGGTGCAGCAGAATGATCTCTACTAGTACTACGTCCACCTCCATGATGTTCTTTTGCTAAATTCTCTGGTATGGTGCTAGAGAACAAGCCTCCACTTTTTCCTTTTCCAAAACACTCACGAGAACTTGCAAAGGCCCGCGAGCCTGCTGCTCCCTTACCCTTTCCACGCTTTTCCCGGTCCTCTTGGTATAAACTTCGGGAGCAATGATGCAGCTCTGGTTTTCCTTGTGCGACCTTGCCTTTCCCTTGTCCCTTGATGCGCCGAAAATCTTCACTCGCACGAGCTCGCGCAGCCCTGTAAGACTTCTTGTTAGAGGAGAACAGCACAGCGCCACGCACGGGCTTTCTAGTGCAGACAGCCACACTGACACAGCCCCGCCGGCGCGCAGGTGATACATAAAGAGGCTGGAGCGTGGGGCGCAGTCCCCTCAGTCACCCTCGCCGACCATGGCGGCAGAATAGGCGCGGCCGGCTAAATTTTCCTGACCATGCCGCGCCTCTCTTCAGGAGCTAGGCGGGGCCTCCTTATCGCTTCTGGTCTCAGATGAAGCGACACCCTGCCGCGCCTGCCCACGTTGTATGCCGACCGCGGTCCCCTTTCTCTCTCCTTCCTTGCTGGGCTCTATTCACATGCCGCCCGGCCATGGTTCGCATGTCACTCCTTTAAAGTTCGAAGCTATACTTTGCGAGAAAAATAACGAAAGGAGAAAAGAGGCGCCAAGGCGTGTGCATCCGCGCACCCCACCGGATGAAGCACCCCCAGCCGCCCGCACCCCATTCGGATAAGCACACCCAGCCGCCATCTCAGCCCCTCCAGGCTTTGCTTCTCCCCCTCCTTTACTTGCTTAGACTTTAACCACCGGAAGGCGCGCGCCCCGGCAACGCAAACGCAGCCTCGTCAGCCATGAGCACGGCGCATTGTTCGGCCAACTTGCGCGCCTCTTCTTGCCGCAGCGTCTGCCGAGCTTTGTGATGGAAACCGGTCGCGTACCCGCGTGCCCGATTTCCATGGCAATAGCCATTGTCAGGTGCAAGCTTCAGCAAGGGTGGGCGACTAGTAAAGGAAGCGCATCACGATCGCCCCCACCCTCTCCATATCAGTCATGATAAGCATTGATAAAAATAAACTCGAAATCCAAGGCCTTAATATCATCGCAATCCAGCTCATTAAACTCCATCGCGCCAATCGTCGTGTTGTGCTGCAAACGTGAAGCATCGAAATTCATCCCCTTTCCCTCTTTGCGAAAATTCTGATGGAACTGGTTGATGTCTCGAGAACGACCAAAAAAGCCTTTCTTGCCTTTGGAAGATGTACCACAACCTTTTCCTTTGCCTCGATGATGTGCTGTAACGTTCACACCTCTTATTTCTCCAGCCACGTAGCCGGAGTCAGCAACGCTAGTAGTCATACCAAAATCTTCCGCACACGTTATAACAGGTGCAGGCGTAGAGGATCGAGAGCAAAGCAACTGTAATTGTTCTTGCTCACAGCTCAACTCGTGCTCCACGATAAGTTTGTCCAACAAGTCGTGAAATTTTTCGACGCTATCCATCCGAATGCCATTGAGGTACGTGATAACGTTGCCCGCACGTAGAGACACAGGGTCAACTTCGTCGTAGACCACATGGTCGATTTTTTTGATAGGAGTGTCGTCCTCAGTCGTACTACTCTTGATGCCAGTTTCAGCTGTCGTGAAGATGTCTGGCTTCATGCGCTTACTCACCAGTCCGTCGTGATCCACATCTACGAGGATTTTGATGCCCTCCTCGGGCAAGTATTCCACTGAGGCACCGCGTAGAGCCTTTACTAGCTTGATCCGATACTCTGTGCAGCGACGTTTTACGTTGTCTCCAGTGAGCGAAGATGAACATGCTGTACTCGTTGAAGTGCATCTATCTCCACAACCACCATCAACTCCATCTCCACCATCTTGTCCGCAAGTTGTAGGAAGAAGTGCTCCTGCTCCTCTAAGACTGAGTCCTCTACGAGAAGATGAAGATGTATTCTCCATCATGATCTTATTCTTCGTCTCCGGTGTCGACCCCTGATAAGCCCTGTCACCTCGGATACGGTAGGACAAGGATGAAGGGTAATCTTCAAACCGCTTCGTTTCCTTCTTCAGTCTCGCAGTGACGAAAGTGACAGCTTTTTCGAAAAGAAAGCTGAATCTGCGGAGCCCATCCTCGTTGTGGATCGGAAAGAAGTCTTCGTAAAACTTCGATGTCAAGGCATTGAAGAAGAGGACGCGGAAATAAGACAGGAAAAAGCGTGCTTGAAAAACGAAGAGCAAGTCAGACCAAGCTTTCAGGCTCATGCGGGATAAACGAGAATTCTTAGACCTTCGCGGAATCCATCCCGGAAGCCATCCTGGACCTACTCTTCCCTTTTTTTAGAGAGGCTCCAGGAGGATGCTTTTCAAAATGGGAGATTTCCAGTGGCCTTAAAATTCATCTGTTCGTCGTCATTTGCTCGATCGTCGTGCGATGTTGTTCCATTCCCACCGCCAGCCAACAAGAGCGATGCCATAGCTGTGCTGGAAGATTGCTCAACTTTTCCATCATGTTCACGTAAAATGTCTTTCAAAGCGACAACACCACTTCGCAGGTTGAAGCCGCGTTCTTTGACACGCAAACGTAGGCGCAGCAGCTTTTCCAGACGTTTGGCACTGCCAACAGGATGTTGATCCAAAATCCGCTGGATGCGCGATAGCAGTGTGAAAATGCTCTTCACACCGAAGTCCAGGTCCGCTCCGAGGGGCACAGTCTGGCGTAATAAGTAGGTGCGCTGGAAAAGCTTCTGGTTTTGATGAGGTTGCTCAGCGGATGAGCAGGGCTGTTCTTGTTCAACATCGAAAAACTCAGCATCTTCTGCAACCAGAGCTTCCTTCCAGCTGTCGACATACTGCAGGTCATCACTAGAAGTACCGCGGATGTGTCGACTGCGAGCATTTCTTAAGAGTGAGGCCAGACGTTGTTCGAGAGGATCTCGGTCTTGTCCTTCATCCTTGGCGGTGAATGTTGTACTAGGAGCACCAGCAGCAGTCCCAGAAGCATGAAAAGCACTGGCACTGCAAGCGATGAAAAGCCCGCTTGACCACAAGATGGCAGCCCCTACTAGCGCTGAACGAGGCATAACAGCTCCATGTGTAACAAGGAAGAGCTTCATCGTTTTGATTTATTGGATCGTATGGATTTCAAAATTGTTATTTTCTCGTGTTATGCTTGGGCTTGTTTTTCTTGGAATGTAGAACAAGTTGTTGTACGTAGTTGTTGTAGTTAAAAGGCATAAAAATCTGTCCCTACACCTACAAAGGGCGCTCGCTCACACATCCTCCAATTCCAATGTCTTCGCCCAAAGGCCCGGCGCACCAGCTAGAGTGGGCGCAGGGAAATCTTGATTACTCGCTGTCTCACTTTTTCTCACTCTGGTGCCCTGACTTCCCGCAGCATGATCACACCTTCTCAAGCATACTTCCGTCATGAACACAAAATGTAAGTGCGTAGGGTGGTGAATTGCGTGCGTAAACATATTCACTTTCGATATCGATATTCTGGCGAATATGCCAATGCTATTCATTGCCAATTTGGTCTAGTCTGAAAACTGAAATAACCGAGTAACTACTTGAAATAAGCACAGTTAAGCCTGAAGAAGGAAGAGTAGCCTTGACCTTAAGCTACCTCCCTTATTTCAGTTAGTAACTCGGTTATTTTCAGTTTTCGAGACTAGAACAAGAAACTAGGTCAAGAAACTGTTCATTATTGCATGACATAGGTAGGCGCAAGCTCATTGTCATAGTCTTCAAACTCGTCTTGTGGAATGTTGCTTATTCTTATTGTATTCTTATTGTTATTTTCTCATGATGCTAGTCAAATTTTCATCAAAATAATCTAGAGTCAGTCGTCGTCGCCGCTCCCTCGTGTTGAAAAAGAGTACATAAAAATGGATTGAGATATTGAAAGATCTGCGTAGCTAGGAAAATAACGGAGATTATGAGAGGTTGATGCTAGTACAGACTGGTGTAAAAAGTTCGCTGCTATTCATGCTATTCGACATAGGTAGATGATACGACTCGTCTAAGTGTAACACAACGAACAAGCTCAAAAGTAGATCATCTAGTGCACAACTGCGCAGAAAAGTACACTTCATCGCAAGTGAGCGCGAAAAACCAATCATGCACAAAGTTTCGTACTTGTCTTTTCTTAAATACCTAGTCATGTATCTGAAAATACTGCGGAATAGTTCATTGTAATGGTTCTGCTACTTCTGAATACTTTACAACAGTTCAAGTGATTGTCTTGGTAATTGATTCACGTCAGATTCAGTTACAATGTAATCATCATACAAGAAAGAATGCGAAAACGAAGTACGAAGTAAGGGTAGTTGCTTGTGATTCTTGAACGTTTTGCAGACATCAATATCAAAGGACCCAAGCAACGCGGCAAGGAAAGCGAGTCTCATCAAAGGATACAGCATGAGTCTTTTGTAGTCTAGGTGGGGCCACTTTGTTTTTATGGGAGGTGACGCACTGGGAGGCGCAAATCAAATAATAACGAAAACATTAGCAGAGGAATATACTTCAAAGCTCATCCAATGAAGATCCATAGATGTAATCGTAGAGCTATCAAACTCGAATTTGTTCATTGATTCTTAGTCCATTTTCGGGTTACATCAAGTGCTGGAATGTATTTCTATTTTTCTCATAACAATCGTTATCGTAGTTGTAGTTCGACAGAAAAGCATTCGCAGTTCTTAGACGAGTAGCCACACCCAGGTGCCCGTGCTCGCAACTACTTTCCTTGGGAACCACGACCAGCAACCTCATGATCCCCTCCTCCTCCTCCTCCCCGTTAATCACTGGCCCTTGGCGAGGGCACAGCACTGCTATTTGGCGACCTACTGCTTGTTTTGACTCCCGGTTCCAGCACTGGCATATTATTGATCATGATTGTTGGAATGTGACTCGTCGTCGCGTTGGAAGTACTGCTAGAAGATGTTGTAGTCAGACCTCTACTTCCTGATGATGGACTATTTTTAGCAGAAGAACTTCCACCAGCACTGCCAAGTCCACCTCCAAGTCCTAGCATCCTGCCAGGTCGTAGGGATTGACCAATGTTCATGCTGTCTGCTCTCCCACCCAATGGGGAAAAGGATGATCCCCTTGTTGCCACAGCTGCTCGAGTGTTTAAAGGCTCTAACCCAGTTGATGGAGATCGAGACCGCTGTCTAGGACCGACCGTGGGAGGGGATAGAACTCGTTGAGGGGAGAGACTCGGTGCACTAGGACTAGCAGATGTCGTGCTGTTCTTTCCGCTTGGTCCTCCGATATCGGTGAGAGCAAAGGTGACATTCTTCGAGCCTGCGTTTTTGGAGTCGAAGCCATAGTCTGCTACAAGTGAAGTGCGAGGTCCTGGGGCAAAGGAACTACTCGAAGACGAGCTACTTCCTGGCCCTGCTGCTGAAGAGACTTTCAACAAGTTCCTGCTAGACGCGTCAAACTCAGAAGTTAGTCGGTCGTCTTCGGGTGTCGAGATGGCTTTCGACGTCCAATTTGAAGACCGCAGAAAACCTCCGCTGTCGCCTGTCGAGTTGTCTCTATCTCTTCCAGCACCGGATGACGAAGAGCCACCACCCGGTCCTCCTCCTGCCGCAGCACGCTGCAACATAGTCGACGCTGTGTTCGCTTCAGACGTGACTGTGAGACCAAGGAGTTCTCTAGGATTCTTGGTGGTTGCTCGTTGCTGCGCCAAAGCTGCTGTGATGTCATTGCGATATTGCTCAGCCTCCGTGTCAAGCTGGTTCTGCGTCTTGTAGTTTAAGTAATTGTATGGCCCTGCTGCACCGGATCCCGATGCTGCAACCGATCCGCCATTACTTGTTCCTCTTCCCTGCCTCAGGGTACTGCTGTACTTCGGCAAGGTTGACGCAACCGCGTCGTAGGAAGAGGTTGTCCAACATTTTGTGTTCTTCGAGGATGTACTTCCTCCAGGTCCTGGAATGCTGTTCAACAAAGCTGCTGTACTTGAGCTGATGACGCCGACATGTTCATTGGTGTCTTTGGAATTTGCCTTTCGTATCAGGTGATCGACGTCGCGTTGCCACTCTTTCGAAGTAGACTTGAATGGCTTGTAAGCTAGGCTGGCTTGGTTAGTAGATGAAAATGGCAAGTTGTAATTCAAAAATTGTGAGATCACTTTCTAAGTCTATTAAGCATCTTCTTCTGCTTCTACTATCTCTATCTAAGTAGATATCTTTCCTCTACTGCACCTTCTAAATCTAAGATTAAGTGCTAAGCGCGATCACGACAACCTCTCTCATCCTGAGCCTCATAATCATACCTTCCGGATTGATTGCTCTGGGGCTCGCCGGCCTCAACCTGTCTCCAGGACGCACGTTTATCATCGGCCCACCTCTTGGAGAGGTCATGGCATTCACGACGTTTGCGGCAGAGGCGTTAGGCGGAAGCCCGAGGCCGATGGAGCCGACAGGACCCACAATGGTATGCGGCGAAGAAGCACTATTGGTTCCTCTTGCACTCTGGTACTGAGGCCCACTGGCGGAGTAACTGTGGTTTTGCCCGATGCCTGCTGGTTGGTTGCTGTAGACGATGTCTCGCAACTGTTGCTCACTGTTCGCACTACTCCTCAAGACTGAATCCGTGTTGCGCAGTTGCACCGAGTCCCCACTCGGATACAAGCTGTAGCGGCTAGAGCCAAACGCTTCTCCTAGAGTGTCAGGATGTCGGAACTTCTCTACTAGATGCGACAACCAAGTTAAGATATTGGTTGCAGTGGTCAAAGATGTCTGTGGTGCGGATCCTGAGACTGAAGCCGCTATGCGCAAGCGGTGTGACAGCTCGTCCGCCACGTAGCCCAGATAGGTACGGATCTCCTTTAGATAGGCCTTGTCCCTGTTGTACTGCTGTTCCGCTATGGCGGAGCCGCCTATGTATCGTGAGCTGGGTGGTTGTGGCATAAATACGATCTCCACGTCTTTGTCCATGGGCCCAGTCTGAACCACGCTGTCTCGCACTTCCTCCACTCCCCTGACTTCGCCGCTCACCTCGGTCTGAGCGGCTGCCTGATAGCTCAGAGTCTTCCGAAACGCGTGAAAACCTAACACCAATAGCATGTTGTCATTTCTCGCTTTGTACCTTGCTGCTTTCAGTTCGCCCTTGAACACTCGTACGACGCTCATGGACATCAGGAGGCGTTTCAGCAGAGCCAAAGTGACGTCCCAACCTCCGCAACTGCTCGGATGCGAGTCAAACAAGTACTGTAGACCCTCCAGTTCGTGCAGATCGAGTAGGTAGTCGAATCGTCCTCCGTGGTCGTAGCGGGAATCTACTGCTGCCAATGCCAGTCTCTTCTCCACGTCTAGTTTGATGCTTCGCCGCCTGTCGTAGTCCTCGTACCATCTATTGATCGGCAGCGAACGACGAGCGGACAAACTACGACCCGCATGATGGTAGCCGAATTGGTCTATGTAGAAATCGTCGTCTCCATTCAAATCCGGCACCTCTCTACTGCGCGACCGCACACGCGAAGGCGAGTGCCCAGCCATGATAGCTTGGTGCGCACGGTCTTGATCCTCAAACCGAACTTCGCGAGACCGACTGTTAGACCTCCCTCTAGAGGAACGGTGCTCGTCATCACTTGGTGCAGCATGCTGCTGGTTGTATCTTCCGCCTGAAGAACTACTAGATGAAGGTGCACTATTCTGCACAAATAGCGCATTTGCGCGCTCTGTGGAGAGGACGTTGCGGTAGTGTGCTGCCTCTCCAGGTGGCGGAACCACGTGGATCCTGTAAGGCATCTCACGCCCCACACTGGTGACACGCGTTGCACTGTTCCCACCAGCTTTGACCACGCCACTCTTAGATCTTACTGACTCAACGTTTTCATCTTGAAAGAATAGAGTCATTTTTGACGTATTTTCGCCTTTTTAGAAAACTTCTTCAAACAAAACGCTTGTTCTGAAGATGAATCCGAATTTCAATTTGAGGAGGAGGCCTTAATAACACTATCACCTCTCCGCCCACTCCGACTCGGTGACATCGCCGTCTCTTCATTCCACATTTCTGCATAGTATCTGCCAGGCTCGTCTTGTTCTCGAATCCTATTCCGACGTCTTTCTACGAAGAAGTCCCGGTCGACCGGTGAGCTGCGCTTGAACTCTACACCACTATGCGACACATGCACATCGGTACCGTCACGCAATCGATGCAATTCTGTGAAGTACTGAGACCTAATTTGGCTTGCGTCTAACCCTTGATGATGCAGGTAACGCGCAATCCAGTTGCGGTCTCTAAGATCCCTTGCTTCTTTTACGATGCGGTCCACGTTGCCGCTCCGAATATCTTGCATTCTGGAATGATAAAACATCCACGCACGCCAAACAATGAGCAGCAAATAGCGGTTCTGAATGCCACTGTTCTTGCGAACCAGACAACTGAGGGAGAACTTGTATTAGAGTTTCATCCGGGAGTCCATCCTGAGAGTCATCTTGGGCCTGTTTTTCCCTTAAAGAGGTGCCCCAAGAATGGATTCCCGGAAGATGGATTCCCGGAAGTCTTAATTGTAATCGTGTTTCCTGTTCTCCATGAAGCGATTGCCTTTGATATCGAAGACTGAGGCTGCCCAGAGGTCCAGATGTTTCCGGATGCGATTTCGCTCTAAATGATTCGAGACGTAGCGTTCTATGGCGCGTACCTTGCGCTCTTTTTTAATCCAGTCCTGCCAGCATTTGAAGAGATCGCCCTTTAGAAGCTTCGAATCCTGTGCCCCCATGGCGAAAAACATCTTTCGGATACGGCCTTGCATTTTTTAGAGGGGTAGGTTGTTCATTCTACAGGAGAGATGAAGATCATGCTGCAGCACGTGGACCAGCATAAGTGATATTCTACAGGAGAGATGAAGATCATGCTGCAGCACGTGGACCGGCATAAGTGATATTCTACAGGAGAGATGAAGATCATGCTGCAGCACGTGGACCGGCATAAGTGATATAATTAATTTACTCGCGTTGCAGCTACCATATTCTAAGACCTCGAATGATAGACCTTTATTTAAAACATTTATAATATTACGATTTTCTTAATACACAGTCACAATTCCTTAATTTTCCTGCAGGAGTTGCATGTTTTTGTCGGTGATTTCTTTCTCGTGATACCCGTCCTTGACACATTCTAGCCAAATTCGCCAACACTTCTGGAGACAACCCGCTCGACTATGATAATTCACTAGTGTCATGACGTTGCTCTGACTCTTTGACTGCGCTTTCATGTAATTGTCCAGCTTTTTCTGGAAATTCTCCTGATTCCTTCGCCCCGTTTCCTCGATTACCTTACTGCGCCAAGCCTGGAAATGGGCTGCTTTTGATTAGAAGATAGATTAGTCAAAAATTGGATTGTCTTCAGGAAAGTTGGTTCTCTCGACAAAGCTGGACGTGTCAAGTCTTGTTAAGACTGTGTCTGGGTTTTTGCTTTGTTGAGTTGCGCTTTTTGGTCGAGAGAGGTCTAAATCTAAAAGTAACAGGCCCAAGGCCATAATTGCTATCCCTCGTGCAGTACCAGGATCCCAAATCCTGAGCACAAGCGACAATCTTGGCCAAGTTGCCCTGCAAAACCTCGATTTTCGCTTGCGCCATGTCATACTTCGTCTCCGCCATTTTGAGCTTCATCTCGCCAGTCTGTTGCGTTATCATCTTCAGCAAAGCGTCGCCGTTTCTATCGAGCAAGGTTTGAACTAGTTTCTCCCATCGGAAGGAAATGCGGAAGATTTGATGCTCGGCGTTCATTTTCTCGAGATGTCCCATGCCTTCGCCTCGCATCTTGTCCATATTTTCAGACATGGAGTACTCACGCCAAGCCCTCACCGCTTGTTGTAATCGCTTCTTCTCGCGCTGTCCGCGCCAGAGGTTGTACAGATGGTCGACCTGTTTAGTGGTGATGATGAATTCAGTCAGACAATGACGATGACGATGACGTGAGGGATGAGGGATTCTACGTCGAACAAGAATAAGTAGTTCAGACATTTACGATGGAGATATTAATACCATTTCCGCTTGCGTTTTTCCCTCCTTCGTCAGCTTTTTCCATTCTGCAAAGCATCTATTTGGCCCACTCAAGAATGCCATGTCTGCCACTACTTTGTTCATCATCATTTGCATCCGTTCGCCATGGAAATTGTTGAGTTCCCTTCGAGCTCGTTCCAGGACTATTTCCGCACTCCACTCCTTGAAAACTTTGAGCTTCGTCTGGAACCCTCGTCTTGTTCTTAGGTGTTTTACGCCGTTCTGCGAGAGGTTGGCCGCGTGGGGGTTAGAGAAAAAATTCAAATGATCATATTGAGCTGGCTGAGCAAGAAAATGACATCCAAAATAATAAACATGTGATCTGTGAAAATTGTGTAGTACTGCTTCCACGCAAGGATGTGTGTCACCATGATGAAAAGAAAAACCTAGTAGATGACTGTTCCTTCAAATCAATATCAATCAAGAAAGTAGCAACGAATAACAACAAAACCCTTAACTTTCGCTGCTCTCAACTGCCCGTTCCAGCATTTGGTAAATCGCCACATCGAGAACGCATGCCTCAGACTCACAGTCTGCTTCCAGCGGTCGTGGAACCATTCTTTATGCTCGGTGAACCTCCTTCGCATTCTATTTTTCTGCACATAGGACATCTTCCAGAGCTTAAAGCACTGTGCAGCTTTCGACCTTATCCGGTCGGCAGCGACGCGCTCTGCGACTAATTCACCGCGAGTGTAATACTCGATATTGCTCCTCAAAACAAAGCCACGCCAGACAAGGAAGAAATCTTCCTTACACCTGTCGGCGAAAAAAGCGACGCGTCTTTTAGAGCTACCCCAAACCCATCATATAATTTATCTTGGGGTGGTTTTTTACGTTTATCTTGTACTAGGTGCTTCGCCCTTGATGTTAACACATGATATGGGACAGTTGCTGCAGTTCCAAGGTGCTTCAGATGAATGGCTTAGGGTTAGGGTTGTAAGCCTTAAGTCTTCGTATCTTCAAATTCTTCACCACTCGTTCTTTCCATTTCTTCATTGTCATGGCCTTGACCTTCTGATCCTTCTCCCCTGTTGTCTTGGCTGCTGTGCCACCAATGAACGAGAAGAGTCTTGCCGCAGTTTGCTGCTTGTACTCAAGATGCGTCGCCTGTATCGCGTTTTTCTCCTGGATTTCACGTGTGTATGTCCGCCACGCGGTAAAGGTGACCATGAGCCGCATCTTAGCCTGGCTCCGAGCAGCTATTTGCTGAATGGCACGGTTTCGGAGGCCTAGCTTTTCCCACTGGACGCGCCAGGCGATAGGGAGTTAGAGGAGGACGCATTAAACATCTTAGGTTGAAGAAAAGAGACGAGTCTTCTAGTTCTATATGTGTATCTACTACTCTGACTTTATAAAGTACTAGCTTACAAAGCAGGCAGTAGTAGTAGCTGCAAGTAGGTGAAAGGTCCTGAATAAAAAAGTCAGCTCTTGCCATAAAAAAACCTCTGTTTTACTGCCCGTCCTTCCCATTTTTGGAGCGCATTTTCTTTAGCCTTCTCGCCCATCGCCAGGCCTTGTGCAGCTAGCTCTTGCTGGCGCTTACTCAGAGCTTCTTGTCGTTGCCTGTGATGTTGTGGCTGAATGAAAGAGTATTGTTAACTTAAGTAACGTCTACGTCAGGAAGGATAAGCCTCAAAAATGACTAGAGACCGACAAGGACAACTACAGACCTGAGTGAGCCGTTCACTGTGAACGCAAAACCAATCCTACCAGAACAAGAAGAAATAGCTGCCAACATCAATACCGCAAAGCCTCCCGCTCCTCTTCTCTTTGTACTCGTATGCCCTCATTCCACGCGTCGAAGAGATCACGCCTTTGCTCTCGATGTATGTCTTTCTGGAATCTCTTCACAAGTCTGTTATTCCACTCCTTGCGTTAGAGAATGATCTCAGCATGACTGAGTGCGACGCAAGAGGATGCAGCTGTCAATTGTTTCATTATCAAGTATTATGCGAAAAATTCGTAGCTCGGACAAGTGGATAAAAAACGGGTTAGAACTGCGTACCAATCCAAATGCGAGGACTCTAAAAACATCAACATGATCTTGATCTTCATAATCCATTCTCGTTTCTCGTCTCAATGCTTCGAGTCCTTCTCCCCACGCCTTCACGATAAAGGTCTTGATGTGTTGCCGCTTCATCTTTATCCTCAAGTTCCACCTTTCCCAGGCGACTTTTTCCGCATCCTTCCTTTTTCTCAACTCTTTCTCCCAGCACTGAAACATCCAACTCAACAGACCGGCGTCAGCCTCCGCACCCTTCGCTTGGTTACGCATGGCGAGGTTACCTGTGAGAATATGACGACGTCAAGGACAAGATGTCAATGTGGTTGTTGAGCGTGCATGTCGCGTACAAGTACTGCAGGGAGGCCTGTGAGAAAAATGGCGTCGACAGCAATATGTCATGTGTGTGCCCGCCCTGTTATGATCGTTCTTGATCACCGTAGATTTTTTTTTTTGTTTGCGATAGGACTATATGCCACCACCCTTCCAAACAATCAATTAACATGGTCAACTATTCTTGTCATCCAAAGTACATACTGGGAGCGCATAAGACCGTACATTCGGCCACAAATCTACAAATGACAGCCATTAAATATGAAAATACTCATGCTTTTCTGCACTCTCTCGAGCTTCTCCTTATCTGCTAAGAGTCTATTGTTCAATTTCTCCTGCTCATTCGCGCTTATAATCAACTCCTTGTCGGTATCCGCTTTCCACAGCTTGAAAATAACCAGCAACGTCTGGCGATCCTCCTTGTTGTAGGCTCCTTGCATCTTCACTTTAGCTTGAGGCCGTTAGATGATGATAGGAGGTCTTTTTAAGCATATTATATGGAGGAGTCTGGTATGTAAGTCGTTCATTATCAGGCCCGCCATACCGGTCTACTAAATGGTTAGGTTAGGTTATGGTTCCTGCACATCGAGCCCCACCGGCACGACCAAGGAACTAAGTATAGATACTTAAAACTACAAGAATCTCGTCAGGGTCAGCTTCGCAGGCCATAATTCACACACCACAGCAAAGCTCGCGCTTTTTTCTCCCCATCGACGTATCTTCGCCAAGCGTGCAAAAAGACATTCTTGTGATTACGCCCAAAAAACAAGCATGCTGCGCGAAATCTATGCTTATTCGCCTCATGAACCGTCTTCGCGATTTGAAGCGCGAATAGTTCGTGCTTCACAGACATCGTGACATCTTTCCAACCGGCAAAGGCAGACCGGACTAAGTTCTCGCCTTGCGACACGCCTAACAAGGCACCTAGCTTCGTCTGCATCCAGGTCTGGTGCTTGCTGAGGGAGTATGAAAGAGGAGAGGACCACGACGTCGAGGGCGGAAGCAAATAGAAAAAATGCTGGTCATACCTACAGAAGATTCAACCCATAGAAGGAGTGGTTGAATCTTCTGTAGAATTCAGGAGGAACCAGAAAAAATCGTGATATTCGTGAAATTACATGCTGAAAATCATTTCATTTTGAATTTGTCTGATATTTAACAGTGGTCTCTGACATGACACATTGTTGAGCATCTCCTGCCATAAGAGTCTCTGCGACAAATCGATAGCGCCTGCCATATCGTCGATTTGTGATTCCAGGTGAGCACGTTGCTCAAGCCATTCGCCTTCCTTTGCTTTTTCCTTTTCCTCGAACCGAACGATCAATGTGTCCAGCTCTCTCTTTTGCTCGCGCCTTGTTAGAAGGAATCGGTTCAGTGTTAAGAATCGATGTTGATTCAATCAAAGTGAAAGTTTCTTCCGAAGACGACCATGCTCATGCTTTAGTGTGATATAGAAAACAGCCCTTAACATCAAACTATCCCTCTCTTGCAATCGCAGGCCTTCTCGCAGCTTTTTCATCATCCTTGAGACGTAGCCACGCATCAGCACGACATCTGCATGCGTGGCCTTCATTGGTGGCATTTTCTTAGAGCTAAGAGTTTTTTGCCACATTTCCCTGTTCGCACTCGTACATTAGCATTGAGTTAACAACGAGTGCCATTCTCACGAAAACCTCCTTTTCCTGTGAGCATTCAACAGTGCTCCCGCATGACATATGCTGAACACGACTGGGGATGGGATACTAAAAACCTAAGCCCATTCTTAACTATGATCGGTTTCACAGGTACTCTAGTCCGCCGTCCAGGGTTGCCTGGGCTGGCACTTGACCGCGAGTGTGGCATCGGCGAATGCGAGCACGCCCTACCCGAACCCGCCTTGTGGGGGAGGGGTTAGAGAGAGAAGTGGATGCAAAAGAGACCGAGCCTTTCAAAGGGATCGTTGAACTCTCTTTCTCCTTCTCGTCTGCTCATTGACACCTAACAATACATAGGGACAGCTGATACCCTTTACCTTTAAGTTTCTCTCTCATCCATAACAATAGGGATTGAACCCTTCCGGGTACCGCGTGTTTTTACTCCCATGCTGTGCGCGAACAGTGGGTCTCTGCATTCCCTGAAGGCCTGGCGTCCCTGCACTTGGTCCAGAGACACTCGTTGAGGCCATGTAGTCCTGCAACGCTCGTTCCTCTCTTGCGAGGTCATGCATCGATGCAGACCCTGGAAGCTGTGGGCTCCCCGCACGCGGGGAGGTTGGTGAACCGGCTGATGAAATAGATATAATTCTTGTGGGTACCATTGAAATTTTTCGAGTGATATATTTTGTATCAAGAACGTAATGGCATTTTCACGCGGTATTGAACTGTTTTCCTCCGCCACTGCTCTTCCTGACGAAACTGCTTGAAATTGAAACATAGGACGAGTAGCTAATGAGGTGACGAGTCTGAGAAGCCTCAAAGTGCAGAATTGAGTACCCGCAGAGTTCGCATTGGCTCCTGCAGCACGTGGTATCCGAGAATTGTCAACAAACGGTAGCTTCTCTAACTCCTCCTCCAGGACTTGCGCAAAATTCTCTAGGGAATAGAGAGTCATCTTCTTGTTGTCTCCCTATTCATACTCTGCGGTCCTCGTCATTTTGTGATTTTCGATCGTTGCTGGACATGCTCTTGTTTTTGAAAAAGGTCGTGATAAAAACGATAAGAAAAAACTAGCAGCATCGATTTCCACTCATATTCCACGACTCACTCATCAATGATGAAAAAGAAAGTTCAAGTTACAGAGGCTGGCGTCACTACCATCATGAAAATTCGCTCCTGAATCGCTCCCCCTAAATTTCAGAATTCGATTGAGTTGGTCTTGTGGGTCGAGTCGTTCAACTTCAAACTTCATTGGTTCGCTTTCTCTTTCAGGTTTTGGCATTTTTTTGCCCAGTTTTCACCACGTTTTTTGCGCACATTTTTGTCCATTTTGAGATTCATCTTAGTGGATGGTCCATTTTGAGATTCGTCTTAGTGTTGAGGAAGCTTTTTGTTCTATTTTGAGGCCCACTTTGGGACTTTCGATGATGTCAATTGACTTGCAGGTTCTGAGATTGTCTTTCCCTCAGTAGAAGTTACTCTTGTGGGTCATCGTTCTCTCTTCGCTAGTGGCTTTTCTGTCGGGGACAGAAGCTCTATGTATAAGCTCTTGTTTGATAGGCAGAATCAACACAACCTGCATGGAGCTAGACTCATCGCTGTTGTCTTCTATGAATATCGTGCTGAGACTCTTATTTCTGCTACTTCTTCATCGGCACCAAAATCATACACTATTTGACTCACACATTGATGTCGTCGAGATCGAAGTAGAGCAATTTCTTGCACGCATCTAGAAATCTTCAGCCTAAGCCTAGCTTCATCGCAAAACTCTATGGGTGGAAAATTTTTCACAAAACTAAATCTATGGGAAAGTGGTTACATGATTACTCCGACTAGATGGGACCCATATTTTGGTGAGAATTCATATTCTTTGTCTTTTCTCTATCTTTTCTTTTGTTTGTCTTTCTATGTAGTTTCAAAAATTCGTTATTTTCCCTAGCGAGTATTCAAGAGAACAATAATTGCGGATGATGCTTCTCAAAAAAATGACTTGCTAAAAAAATCTCCTCCTCCTCCTTATACTTATAGTAGCTACCATTTAGTAGGGTGCTAACGTAATTTGCTGAAAATTCTCCTCCTCCTTATAGTAGCTACCATATTTCATTTTCAGCAAATTACACCCAAACTTCCTGTCCACCAACTTCGTTGTTTGTTCCGGTCACAGTCACCTGCTGGTGCTCTTCCTCCTGCACGGCCATATTGACTTCGCTTGGCTTCTTCGCCTTGGCCAATCCCACACGCTTTCCAGCGTAGTCAAAGTTGGCGTAGTACTTGCGCATGAAGGTATCGCCCAAAATCCAGAGAGGACCACGCGGTGGTGGCACATCGATGGCCAGGATGCCGACCATGCACTGGCCTAGGACAGCAGGAATCTTCACGTCGTTACCGTCGAGGTGGGGATTAGAGGTGAGTCGTTCTAGTTCTTGGATGTTGAACCTATGAAGATTCATAAACTTACATGGTTGCTATAAGTTTATACTTTCAAGAAAGGTGAAGCTTACGGTAAGTACTTAAGATGGATATAAATAAAGGTGTATCAACGTGCTGATTCTGCACAGCACTGGTGATCATGTCGGATATTTTTCTGTAGAAGAAGTACTGACGAACACTAACACATTCCAGGAAAAAAATCACATTTCCTCAATGAATAGCCATAACAAAATCGACGCCGTTCAGGGTAAAACTCAGCTTCCCAATATCCTTGTCGCATGGAATGATCAGCTTCCCGAACACCGAGAAGGCGCCGATCTTAGCTGCAAGCGCGTTCACCTTAAGAAGAAGTTAAATATAATTTTCTTGTGATTACATTTATCACATTGCTGCACATCAAAGAGAAAGATTATACCGTTTTTTACCATCATTCAAGGCATGAATATAATATTTCTGTAAACTTATAGATACTGTTCTTGTTTGATTAAATGCGAAATATAGAAGTTTAGAGTACTTAACATTGTTCCAGCACACAAGGATAAAAATACCACATCCGTCGGAGCGGCTAAAATGCTAGTTCCGGAATCGACGATAGCCTTCTGATCTCTGACCATCTCGGATCCTCCAAGTGAGAATGAGTCCATGGCGATCTGCCAGTATCCCGGGATCGTTACTGGAACATATTGCAAGTCCCCCTCGAAATACTTCCCGTCGCTGCCTCCGATCATCAATTCGCCATCCTCTCCGTTCTCACCATCTATTAGACACGACTTAGCTTCAAAGATTTAGCTTCACTATATAAATTGAATTTCAATAAGGGAGACTAGTCATAAACCCAGGTAGAAAGTAGAAAACTCATTTGTGAGACTAGTCATAAACCCAGGTAAGAAGTTGTCCGTAGAAGTCCCTGATCTTATGTCAGTCCTTGAGGAGAAAGTTAATTTGTGAGACTAGTCATAAACCCAGGTAGAACGAAAACTCAGCTTTATCGATCACCTTGTTCCGAAGCAAACTGGTCAGGACTGTGGGAATGCCGTCAACAGCGATCTCATCCCAGCCTAGACCCAGGATACCGTCAAACTTCCCAGCTGCATAGGCCATGCCGAGACCTAGGTGGAAGATGGGAGTAGATTTGTAAAAAGACGATTTGTAAACGTAAAGAGACTTTACCGGAACAGAAACTAGTAGCCCCTACTTGTACGGAACAGAATATTTGGTGTGGTAGAATTGGTGACGTAGTAGTAGTACCCGACACATCTGTGATCTCCGCGAACTCGTAACCACTGAGCGCTAAGTTCGAACTGTCACCGAGATGTAAGGTGTCGTAACTGAGATATCCATCAACCGGACCACTACCGTTTTTTAGAGAGAAGATGTTGCGGAAGACAGAGTAGATGTTACTTACCGCATCCCTCACTTTTATCGGTGTTTACAATATGCCTCCGAAAATGTCTTTTCCCCTTTCCCCCTATTCTAGTGTGCGCGTCGACAATTCTTAGACTATCTATTCGCACCAGGGTAGTGACATGAATACAACCTACAATCTAGTCCATTCATCATTAACAGAATCAGGTTGGATAGAGTCAGTCCTTGGTGGAGTGGTAGTGGTGCATCTTGTTCCGTTCTTTGCAACATGGGACTTGAACTTTTTGAGTTTCTCAAAGTCAAAAAGGTTAGGTTAGGTTATGGATCCTGCACAACGAGCCCCACCGGCACCTGCTCGCCTCTGAGGATGATGGGTGACCTGCGTAAAGTCAGCGAAGGTAGAAATGAACATGGTGTTTTGATGGATTGCGAGTCATAAGTATTGGATATGAAACTTCGTCCCGTTTTTCGCAGAGGACGAACTCTTCGTAGAGTCGTACAATGTTTTGGCCTGGCAGGCAAATGCTGTACAGCCTGTGCTAGGGACCCAGAGATTGGACGACCCTGACGTGTGAGGGGTTTGGATGGTGGTGTGAATTTGGTCTCTGCATGACCTCTACAAATATGTGGAAGATTTTTTTTACGTACAAGAACCTAGATGAAAGAAAGTGAATCCTCACTCACACGAACACCTAAAAGAAGACTGCAAGGTGTTATGACAGGTTCCTACTGCACTTGTCGTCCGGAAAATCGGTCTTAGTACCTGTATCATATATGACTTCAAACCTGACGGGTGGCGTTCCGACAGAAACAGCACCGTAGTATTGAGCATTCGCAAAATCGTGGATGGTAATCGAAGCGGAATCTGAGAGTTGTTCTAGCTTTTTCTCGATGGGGTTGTTAGAGCCAGTAGAACAGGTTGGTACGAGCAAAACGAAAAACATTTTCCTTTTACTATAGAATGGCTCCGGTATTTGGTAGCCTGAATTTGATCACAAGGGTTCTCTTCTTGTTTTCCCCTATGATCAAATTCAGGTTACCAACTACCGGAAGCGATTCGCAGAAGTGGCGTCGTCTGTCTGTAGAAGCAAGACTAAATACAACTTTAGTACACACAAATTTTCATAACTTTCTGATCTTTCCCACTCTCATGCTCCTCCAGCAAGTGTTCGGCCAATTTTTTCTTCCATGCACGAAAACTCGCAGTCTCATGTGCCTTGCGCAAGGGCAGACGAAGCAATTTCTTGCCAGTTCTTGCCGTGGTAGAAGAAGAAGATGCAGGAACCTTCGCATGCATGAATTTTTTTTGTGTCATCAACACATCTTCGCCAGAGACAAGTGGCAAGACAGCCGCAAGCGCAGCCAGCCGTTGCCGACGTGGCACTGGGGATTTGTGGTCGCGAGGCATTTTTATTTTTGTAATCAGATTAGACTCACTAGTAGAACAGGAGCAGCTTGAATTCGTGTTGTACGTCTGACACTGACGCTTCTACTGAGATAACGTTCTTGTTGGATAACTCGTAGTACTACGACTGCTCCGGAACAAGAAGGACTCGAGGTAAGCCTACGATTATTTTCTTGATTTTCTCTCGCTTTTGTGTTTGCTCTCTAATGATCGCTTCCCCAGTTCGTTTATGTCCAATCAAGATCGCTAGAACACCTTCGGTTGTACAGCACGTACTAGAATCGTAAATAAGCCTTGGAATGCAACAAAAAGCACACCTACAATACTCATTCTCAGGTATTGGGATAAGGTCCAGACTCCTAATAAGCATAAGGGTGTTCAATGTTGAACATGATTAACAAGTATGCGCATTGTATGCACCGCCAGTTCCAGGTCCATGCTCTTGTTCACGTCTCTTCTGTAGTATTTCCTCGTCTTGCTTTTTTACTTCTAGTTTCGCCTGTGCCCGTACGAAAGCGTCTACCTCAAGAAATATGCGACCCGCGCAATTTTGAGCCTGTATGGTCTGAGTTTCGGTAAGGGATGTTGAAGATTTTGGCCACCTTGGACTTGGAGTAGATAATAATGAGGACTGTTCTTGAGAAAAAGTAGACCGTCCTAGAAGATGAAGTCCTGACTCCTCATTTGTACTTGTAGTACTAGCTGTCAGATTCAATATCGCCAACCCTCCTCCTCCTCCATTGTGCGCCTGCACTGAGAACCCGCCAGCATTGTCTCTTCGAAAAGCTAGTAGCGCGTCTGGATCACGACGTTTCAACTTTCGCATTGCTTCAATCTTCTGAGCCAAGGCTAGGGGAATCTCTTGTCGTCCAGGTTTGTTGGTAGTGGGCGTTGTTGATGAAGTGGAGCTCCCAGCTGCATTCTCCATAACCTCGTCATGTAATCGACTTTGACTCTTCATTTCTTCCGCCACTGCTTCTTTTATCCGGTCTGTGATTACTGAGTTATCTGTTCCAAACAAGGTATTCGTACTGAGGATATCCTCAACAGCGCAGCGATCGACTACTATCCAGTCGAAAGAAGCAGCCGATGCAGATGACGATGACGAGACTTCGAATCGATGGTTGGGGTTTTGTGTGATGGCAGACGCAAAGCCATTTTTCTCCCAATCGAGACCATGCTGATTCTCGTCTAAGTTATCTTCTCCAGAAGCAGCAGATGGGTCTTCTTCTCCTTGTCCCACTTGTTCTTCCCGCGGCTTCATCTTCCCATTATTTACCTCTAAAAGTACAGAGACATCTATCGTATTATTGTCGACACCATGATCTCGTCCGCTGCTATTCTTTATCATCTGCTCTCGCCAATCGCGCAGCAAGTATCCAAATCGCTTACTCTTAACTTGCTTGGGATCGACGCTCCGGATTACATCTGCGTTCCCAGCTCTTATTCCTGCTTCTGTATTGTGTTCACTTTTTTTTGTTCCAAAAACCGTCACGTCCACTCGTCTGGTTGACAGTAAAAACTCTGCTACAACGCAATTGCTCCATGTCTTCCCTATTATCGCCACTCGTGGTCTCCGTAAGGTGGGCAAGTTTGCTAAGATACCCTCAGGAGTCGAGGCCTCGTGACGGAGAGGCCTTGAGAGGTTATGATTAGAAGTAGACGTTCTCAAGAGCCCTCGTAACGGAGAGGCCTTGAGAGCTTATGATTAGAAGTAGACGCTCGCTCGAGGATGAGGAAATTCTTGTTCTGTTGAATATTATATCTATTTTGTAGAACCTCTAGTACACGAGGAATACATCGCGGACAGAGGATGTGCAGCACTTTTGATTTGCGGAGTATTTTCATTCTACAACAACGAACATAAGGCAAATCGATCTTCCACCTGCTCGCAGACAACTCGTTCTCGTTCGTGATAGAGAAACCGGTAAAATGCTGCAACCTGTGGCTCGAAGGAAGCTCATACCTCCAGAAATTGATTTTTTCATGATATTACTTCTGATGATCATGATCTGTAGTAAATTTCACTCTTCCGGACGATTAGCATCTGCTTCAGCAACAAGTTTCCAGTTTCGCTTCTTAATCTTTCTCTTTATAGTTAGATGCAGTGCATATACTACACGGGAGGAACCTACTGGGTGATACGACTGGGACTGTTCTTCAGGAATAAAGAGTCTCTCTTTGAGATAGTGATACGACTCTCAGGAATAAACGTCTGGGTTAGAAATGTCCAGGGTTCCGCTAATGAGTGGCATTCCCTTATTTCTCATGGTCTACCGCCGTCACCTGTCGTGGTCTTGAATTTGACTTGCGCTTATTTATAAGCAAAACTACATCTTCATGACCACGTGAGTCTTCAGTAGAGCAACATGCCCAAGTCCATCTAGTACAACAAAAATTCGAGAATCAGAGAAGGTTTCCTTTCGACTACCAGGGATCACACTGATCCACAGCGATGCGAGAAGATGTTGCAACTGCAAGTAACATGAGGAACGTGCAAACAAACCCAAAAAGCCAATTAGGACTAGATTGCCTTTGCTGTATTGCTTATACCCTTAATGCGTTCATTGCTTGAAAGAAATATCATTTTTCATCTACTTAGATACTATCAAGCCAAAACAGTCTGTAAACTACATCGAAGTGGAGGACATCATGATATTTTTTTGTGACATTATATTTGCGATTCGTTATATGTCGTTGGTGCCGCGTGGAGGTAGTGTTATCATCAGATGTTGGCCACCATTATAGTTCTTGCCGACCCGTTAGTAACGTTTGCCACACAATTGATGTTCTTTAGGCTGTCTTACAAAACGTAAGGTACTCGGCTATTCACTGCATTGGCTCCACGATCATGCTCTTGGTCACATAGGAAATTGACAACATTTCAGTACAACAAAAATTCTTTATTCACCCGCAGATGAGGCTTCCCTGTTGCGCAGAGAAAGCAAGGACCTCGGAAAAAAAAAACTATACCAGAAACTCAAAATACAAGCGATTACTAGGTTTAGGATACCAGAAGCAGAAACTCAAAATACAAGCTACATCGTTAGGAACCCGCCATCATTCTGATTTCATGAAGAATGCCGGTAGAAGTTGTGGAACATTCCATATCGCGAGAAAAAACGTTACAACCATTATCGTTTTTTTGAATTTTTCAGATGGTCCTAGACCTTCGGTCACAGTCTTTTACACGCCACTCCTCATTTGTGACATTTCGGTTCCTGCTTCTTCTTGAATAACCATGAGGTCTCCACTGTCAGCTCTTGGGACAAAAGCACCTTTCTCAATATCGTCCATGCCGACTGTGATACGCGGATCGCGGGGGGTAATGAAGGAGACGGGATCGCGATAGTTGGTTCTGGGTACACATTGAGTTAGCACGGAAGCGGCGAGGTTCTGCGTTGGTCAGACTCCTCGACACCGATCCGCGTTTTCCAGATATCTACGGATCAATGTTTCATCAACGTAGAATTTGTACGATGAGTAGTTTTCTTCACGACTTTGTCCTCTAGAGTTCAATTATATGTAAGAGTTTTATTTTACATACTTCTGTGACCGACGTCGACCCTAGTACTTACAAGTTACAACGAGAACAAGAACTGCATCCAAACCATAACATTCCCAGCGGCACCTCCCGCCTGTTGATTGCCGTTGAAAATCCCATCCTCCAGAGATCGTCTGCTGGTCTGATCCATGTATCCCCACGTTTGGGAGACAGCTTGAGACCGTCTCAACTGCTGCGAGGACATAGCCATCAGGTGCCCGAGCGCTGTGCTGGACCCTACTTGCTTCGTTTGGCTACTGATTAGAAGTCGAGCGTGGCAGTAGTCGTGAGTAAGATGAACTATCATCAACTTGTTGTGCTCCTTAAATTATCGAAAACCATAACAACAAATTTCCAGAGGATGTTGATCCTGCTGCACCACTTTCGGCATCTCCTTCACCGACCTGCAGAAGTGGATTCCCGCCTTCCGGATGCCCAGATTGCGATTGGGATCGAGAGACCATCTGTGAGAAAGAGAGAGAGTCCTCAGTTTCCAAATAGTTGTTAAAGATTTGACACTGAACCACGATGACCAGCATTAGAAAGAAGGCCAAGGCCAAGGTGCCTTAATCGATACCAAAGTTAAAAAGGGTTGGAAGTTGACCTATCATCTAAGAGCATCTCTATGGCTTCTGCAAGTAGGAGAGCCATACATATGCGGGCTAGAGACGCCAACTTTTAACCGCTAATAAAATGATTGTGATTCACTCGATACTCGATGAATTACCGGCTCCCCCCTCACTACTGCGTTTGGCTGTGCAAAGTCTTCAGTTCTAGCGCTTTCGGCGTCGTTGTGGAAGCTCTGTCGCATGAAGGTCTCGCGATCCGTCAATATTCTGCCGCTCTTGTACTTGGGCTTGAAATAGAACCAATAAAGCGCGAACCAAAACGCCATCACGAGACCGCTAAGTCCTGCCCAAACTAGCACCCAAAAACCACCTTCCTTAGTTGACATCGGTGCCTAAGGGGAGGATTACCGGATCATGGTTGTGAAGAAACCACTTCCATAAAAGCACAGATGTGTAACAGTACTAAAACTCACACTATTACAAGCACAGTAGTACCTTAAAGCACGTAGAAATCAGCGCCACCCACACCCCCATCACTGGTTCATGCGCAAATAGTTTGAATGCGATCGCACTCCCCGCTGCTGTCTCTGAATGTGGGTCTACCATTTTCAAGAGAATAAGACCGTTAGCTGTTGTGCCCATAGAATGCCCCACTTCGAAGATGGCGCGCTCGAACCTATATTTTTTTTGTGGTGAAATTGAATTTCAGTGGAAATCCAAGTCAATGTCAAACTTCAAGAAGTTCAGCTACTACGTCACTACCATTTTTTTTTCAACAACTCAAGACTCAGATCGAGCTGAATATTCTGTAGTTCTTGACGTTTCAGTGTAAGCTATTCGAAAAACTGAAATAAGCGAGTAACTACTGAATATAAGCGAGATACTGATGAGAAGGAAGAGCACCCACTTGGCGTTAAGCTAGTACCTCCCTTATTTCAGTTAGTAACTCGGTTATTTTCAGTTTTCGAGTACTTGAATGTATCGCCAATTCTGTACTTCTTGACGTTTCAGTGTAAGCTACTTGAATGTTGCGGAAAAAACTTAGTTCTCATGTATCGCCAACTACCAGGCATCCGGCAACATCTTCGGAGCGAGAACAAGGATGCAGAAAAAATGCCAGCTGAAACCTACGACGTTGAGAATGATGAAGGTCAGAGTCGCGTAGGGCCAACCAGTGGCGGCTTGCAGATCCATGGTGCACAATACTGCGGTAATCAGATAGTCCAAGGCGATTCCGCTTACCTGTCGTGAGTGTCAGTTTTCGTTCACAAGTCTACGCGTAGGAGACTCAATTTGTGGAATAGCTCGAGCAGAGGCGTTTATAGTTAGTAGCCCAACAGGAGTAAGCAGTACCCTGCTCTGTAGACTACAAAATGTCCAACAGGAGTAAGTAGAAGTACCCTCTGCATGCAATTGTGATCGATGAGCATCGAATAGCCGATAACACGAAGAACGCGGTCCACCAGGATGCCACCTACCATGCAGAGCGGAAATAGTGGGAAGTTTTCGCCTATCGTTGTCGCTGCTGCTGGATAGAGTCCAAAATCACTGCCCAGTACTTGAATGCAGATCATGGCTTTCTGTAACCCATAGCCGAAGGCGCATGCCAGACCGATAAGGGCAGCGTGCAAGGTGAGGGTGTCGATAGGCTTTTAGAAAGGGTCTTGGGAGTGGAAGTTTTTCGGCTTCGTTCATCTGCATATCGTGATTGTCAGTCAGAGTTTTTGTTTTTCAGGAGTGAATAATTCTGTTATACTGCTGCAGATCAGCAATCCACGCAAAATATTGCTGGACCTAGCTTTTTAAAAGACAAATGCAAAAAAAAACGTACTCCATGACTTTTCGGTGCCTAGTCTATTGCAGCGGAAGTTCTCCAGTGTACCCTACTGAGCAATAACCACCATTGCCAGAGCTGTAATCCCACGCCAAATATAGCCCCAAACAAAAAATGCAAAAAAACATATTCCTTCATAACTATCCGACACCACCGTCTCGTAGGCCATAGGCGGTCGTGTTTCTGGACTATACACACCGACCAGCAAAAGCGGATCAGTGCTCGCACCTTGATTGTTCTTTTGTTCTTGCCTGTTAGATGTGCATGTGGTTGTGACATAATGAGAATCTGCTCTATAAATTGATGCTACAGCAGTCCAGGAAGGAATTTTCACTCAAACTTGATTAGGCGAAACAAAGACATTTAAACTAGAACCAACAATAAAAAGAAACTGTAACTGACCACTCTGATGAAAGTGAAACATCATCTACTCTCACTGTCATAATATCCGCAGTTTCGATTGCTCTCCACCCTTTCCTACTGGCGATGTTGATAAGCATCACTCCCCAGATGGTTGCACCTAGTAAGCCTGTGGTGGCCATGCCTATTGCGACGTCAAACCCCTCCTTCCATTCTTGCATCTTGGGAAAATCGTCACGAAGACCTGCTACCTGACAAGTTCTTGTAAGAGTAGTTTTCAAATTATCAATATAGTTCTTGTAAGAGTAAGAGTTTTCAAATTAATATAGCGTTAAGAAACTTTGATTAATATAGCGTTAAGAAACAAAGTCGTCCCGGAGACCCGCTACCTGTTCATTGGTGATGTGACTTTACTTACGTTTCGGCACTGAGAGTTGAGTTCCACATCGATGTTGCACCCGAAGTAGGTGAGCACGGGGGTGGAGAAGAGTATAACGAGCGCTACACAAACACATTGACATTTCATAATCATTTCTTGTTCTCCTCGGTACCGGTAGCCCATCACAATAAATGAATTCAACGATTCAGATCATACCGTTCCATGTCCTCCTTCGAATCCTAGGTACATGCTAATTCCATAGCACTTCGGCAGCCAGTCTGCGGATTTGCCTTCCGGTAGTTGTCCGTCTGGATAATTCCATGTCTGTTTGCCGGTCCAAAAAGAACCCCACTTCTGACTTTCGAAGATGAGGAGAGTTAGAGGAGAGGATGAGATGATTGATGAGCAGTTGTAGTTTTCTCTACCAAGGACTTTCGATGAAGTAGGTGCTCGCTGAGACAAATCGATTTTTCATCTGATTCTTGCGTTCTAAGCCGAGGAAGTGTTTTTTCTTTATGTGAATCGAATTCCACGAGTTCCTGTCTTCATCAATCAATCTGAAGATATCGAAAAAATTGACAACATCCTCGTATGGATACTTACTCCAACAATCACAGTCACAGAATATCACAAAACAACAGCACCATCCTTAAAAACAAGGTTCCAAAGACCCAGCCGGAAAGCAGACCGAAGAACCACAGACCGTGCGTCACGATCTGCCCATACATAATCTGCGGTCCAGAGCCTTCCCAGATAGCCTTTACCGGTGGAACTTCTACACCGATGAAGACAGCGGCGAAGGGCTTAGAAAACTTTGGGAAATTCCCAGATTGGAGGATGTTGATGGAGTTGTGGTACTAGCTGATCATCCATGAAAAATTTACATCCAAATCCACGACATCCATTTGTGGAGGTGTAAGAGATCACGATCCACATCCACATGCAGTCGTGTAAGATATCAAAATCACAGGCACTACTTTCAGATAAATTTCACAAGTTGGAAAAAACCACCGTTCTCACATTGCTCTCGCACCATCAATATGCCATAAATATGACACTGATGAGCACTTCTGGCAACTGCGGGCCCCAGCCGATGGTGTAGTAGGCGGATATGTACGAAAAAACACGGTGAATTCCTGGTTTGCATTGGCCTCGAAGGTCAGGGTCGATACTGGTGTCGTCAAATCCATAGCGATTTACATGGTCTTCCTCGACACAGCATGCATTAGAAAAGCGATCGCGTCTCCTGGGTCTTCCTTGAGAGAGAGTTATGTCGATCCTTGGCAGGAGCCTCTCTTTCAAGTAGAGATGAAAGAGCCCCCGAGTAGGATCATTATGCTGTGGAAGATGCATGGTTCTGCTGTAGGATTATGCTGGAAGAATGGTTTAGCGGTTGTCTTAACTTCAGGCCCAACGTTGTTTGCCAACAGCAGCAAAAGATAGCCAAAAGTTCCGCCGACCACTGAACTCGGAAGGTACAAGTCTCGCAAGGGCTTGATCATTACCCGCAAACATTTTCCACACAGCAGTAGCAAAGAGAGAAAGGCGAAACTGGATATTGGAGCATTTTTGAGATCCAAACTTGCACCCGAACTCGCGGCTCCTTCAGAGGGAGTTTGCGTTCCATCGTCTGTTGCTATTGAGTTACCTGTAGACGCGTCTGTGCCAGCATTCGTCGTAGAGGAAGGTGGCAACTCGTCATCAGGTCCAACTGTGCCAGCATTCGTCGTAGAGGAAGGTGGCAACTCGTCATCAGGTCCCACACCTGTTTCCTGTGTTGCAATAGTTGCCTGTGGTGCTGAACGTGAAGGTGATCGAGCTTGTGGCTCTGAAGGGACGATTGTTGTTTTTTCTTCTTCTTCTTGAGACGTAGATGCGGCAGCTTTTTGTGCTTTTATTAGAACTAACCTGGCAATTCATAATTGAGAGTTTCTGGATCAAAGGTTTATTTTCTGCTTACGTCATACACAGTCCAAGGAGCAGGTTCTTATCACTAAATCTGTGAAGTCTCTGAAGCTGAAGAAGACAGAGATGATGAGCGTAGTTCGTAAAAGGCATATTAATACGTACATAGGTGGTAAGAACACTAACAATGTTGTTCATCTTCTACAGCCATAGAACATCGCTCGAGGATGGAACAGGGGATGGCACAGCAGCGCTGCTTGGTGGCTTCGCTGGTTCTGGTGGAGTTGGGACACGATCATGATCTCCAAGAACAGTAGCGGAAGTAGACGTGCCAGAAGTGGTCGATGCACCTTCATCTTGTTGCTGCTGTTCTTCCGTTGGTAGGACATGACCTTGATCCGCAAGATCTTGTTCTTGTTCACCACTTTTAGCTTCACTATGCTCGTTGGACGAAGGGAGCGGAGTAGTTCCCTCTTGATCTTGATGATGTTCTTCAAGATTCACTGTTTCTGCGCCATCGTTCTCTTGTTGTTGCTCAGGTTCTTCTATTCTCCTTTCAGTGGAGGTCGTGGCTGTATTGGTATTTCCCGTTTCTCCTCCATGCTGCTCTGGTTCCGCCGCAGTTTGTCCATGTTCTTCTCTTCCACCATTCGCTGCTCCAGTGTGTGCTTGTCCCTCGCCTGCTGCTGGTGCTACAGGCGGTGACTCAGAAGGAGTAACATCATTCGCTGCTCCAGTGTGTGCTTGTCCCTCGCCTGCTGGTGGTGCTACAGGCGGCGACTCAGAAGGAGCAACACCATCCGCTGCCCGAACGAGCGGAGCACAAAGGAGTGGTAGCGAGAGAACGCAACGATGACGAAGCTGCATCTTGCGCCCGTCACCCAGTACTAGTGCAGATTTGCAGAAGTTGTACGTACTAGTACTTCAACGAATGACACCAGTGTCGATATCTCCGATGCCTAGAGTTATTCCCGACGAAGACGTCCGCCGAGATATGATTTATTTCCAACAGCAAACATCATTGGGGCTTGAGGACGATGAAACCTCTGATATTCTTACTAGATCCATTTGTGCTCTGGGGTTACCGAGGCGGAGCACGGAATGAACTGGATCTTACATTCAGCCCATGATCAACTCTGGAGGATCATCAACCCTGTATTTGCAGACACAACTGGCAACTGATCACTTCTACCAGTAGGATCTGCTACTTCCGGAGTGGCTCTGGCTGCGAAGGGAACACATCGCTTTCAGGTAGCTCCAGCGACGAAAGTGCCTTCCTAAACTGGACCACTAGCCTGGAATTATTGGTTGTGCAGGTCCTCTTTTACTGTTCTTACTCAAATTTTACACACGACGAGACCGTCTCGTACTAGTACTAGTTGATGTAAAATTACTACATCAAGCCGCAGAAATTCTTGAGCGATGAAACTCTAAGTAACGCATTCATCGCAAAACACTGCATCACAAGCAAGTTGTGAAACATGCTTGCTGTCGTTGTCAGAAGATGAAGAAAAAGAAGATTTGCAAACTGGTAATCGTACATTCTAATTGATCACAAATTTGAAAAAAACCTAAAATACACGAGATTCAGGGCCAGACCTTTCTTCCTTCTTGGCCATTACTATTGTTGGCATCTGTTTGACCGATAACAAACTTGATAAAGGTAGAACACAAGTTACTTCTAGGCGGGGCGTGCTTCAAGGTCCAGAATGTAGTTTCAACGTGCGAAAAGACATTAGACCCTGTCGGGAAAGAGTGCGAAGGTTTTTCATATTAGTGCCTTGACTACGTTACTAGGCTAATGCTACTTAGTGCAACTCTCCACGTTCTTCGTGTTTATTCTACAACCCTCAACAGAGTGGGCAATGTTTGTGAACGCTAGGACTGTACATCTTCACCCTTGTGGTGATGCACTTTCTATATAATTCCCAGCCTGTTTCAGTTGTGCAAATCGTGAAGGTTTTGCGTGATTCTCATGCGGTTGCAAAGTTGTCAAATGTGTGGACCTTCTTGCTCATATGTAACACGATAAGGATCCACATCATTGGCATAGTGTTCCAGTGCTGTGATCTTTGTCACCATAGGACTGCAATGATTTCCATCACTTTCATGCTCTTGATGATCTTCATACTCATGACATTAGTGGGATCATCATGCTCATCTCCTTCATCTTCTTACTTTATACATTTGCAGAACAGGGGAACTGGATCACGTCCCCCCTTAATCTATACTCCATCTAATGAGTGACGTGTAGACTACAATAATAGTAGTGGCTGCAAGTTCGACTGTATTCCAGCGAATGAATACAATACAGAAAAAACATGACGCATGTTATGATTGAAGATGATGAATAATTTTTGTTGCACAATATTAGAGACATAGGCTATTTCTGCGTAGCCACGTATATATAAGTAAGACTTAGAGTTCTTCTCCAGAGTCTTCTTCAGCAACATTCTCAGCGTTGTTTTGTTCTTCTCCGTTTTCCTCAGGGGCAGCGGCTGCTTCCGCCGGTGCTGCCTCTGCTGGTGCTGCTTCTCCTTTTTTTCTGGCTTTCTTCAGCGGCGGCCCTTTTGCTCCGCCGTCTTCTTGTTTACCTTTCCCCTTTTTACCTTTGCATTTGTCACCTTTGTGCGGCTGCTGCGCCGCTTGCTTCCCCTTTCCTTTGTGGTAGCTGCTGCTGTTCTTCACCGCCGAACTACTACCACTAGAACTACTAGAAGAAGAAGAAGAAGAAGAAGCAGAAGGAGTCTGCTTCCCAGGTGCCATTTTGTGGGACACCCGTGTCGACGTTGGACAAGCTTGGACGAGGTTGATTGTATACCCAATAAGTCCCATGGATCCAACGGCATCCAGGTTACTCACCGTCTCCCGAGCGTAAATTAGCCGTAGAGTACAATTGTGGAAGAATGCGCTTCCTTCTTTCCTCATTTTCCTTGCCAGGTCCCAATACTCAGCCTGCATAGCAAGACCCATATCCGAGCACTGTCGACTGTAGTGGGAATTCATGTTCGGACCGTGGTTGGGTATCCACTCCTTCCAAGCATTCTCCTCTTGGACAAGCATGCACGATAAGCATAGTTGGGACGCTTTTGCATAGTCGCCGCCCGACCTACATCCTTTCAAAGTTGCGACGTGTCGCTCAATGATCTCGTAGAAGATGTGGCTCTTTACTCCGAGACCAGCTGGAAAAGCAGGCGGCGGGGGTCTTGTAGCAAGTGACACCTCGTTGCCTCGGATTGCTGACATCAAAGATTGACGCCAAGCTTCCGCCCCTTGTAGTCTGTCGCTGAGGCTCCTTCGGAACGATTACTCTCGCGAAGCCCGACATTTTGTTTTTGTTTTGGGTAGTTGTAGTCTTAATCTATATTGTTAGATAATTACAAAATACAACGGTAAACTATTGAAGAAATACTATACGCGCACTAAATATTTATGACTAGAACCCATTTAGAAAAAGACGAAAAAAACTTCCGAAACAGTAAACAAGAATACGCATGAAAATCCGATAACGTTTAACGAACTTAAAAGGTGCAAGTATAAATACACACGAGATCCGACAACGAACCTCGATGAGTAAAAGCAATTAAGTTTACTTTTTGGGTTTTGTTCCTGCGATTTTATGACATAGACTCACAAGTGTCGGCTTATTAAGTGCCTTTGTGAAGATGTCTGCCTTTTGCTCGTCAGTGGGGCAGAAGTGTAGATCTTGTTTCCCTTCTCCGACAACTTGGCGGATCCAGAGTAATTTAAGACCCATATGCTTGACCCGACGAACTTCTGGCGATTCGCCGACCGCTTTCGCGCTTCGGTTATCGATCATTAGAGGACTTGGAGCTAGGTAGAGACTTTTTCAAGCGGCCACGTGGATCCGTCGGCTTTGATTGTCGGCTATTGCCTAGATTTTCAAGAGATTCTTGGAGTAGTCTCCGGAGGTAAACTGCCTCCCGCGCGATTTCAGTCGCGGCTATAAGCTCCGCTTCTGTCGTTGATAATGCTACGACAGGCTGCTTTTTACTTCGCCACGCGATAGGCGTGCATTTGGTTTGGCCTAATTCGACGAGACCTCCACTGACCGGTCTACGGGTCTTTTTACATGTTCCCCAGTCAACATCTGGCCAAGCTTTTGGAGTTAAGTCACCGTCGCGACCATCAATGTCTAAGGCGAAGCTCCGCGCTTTGCGGAGATATCCTAATAATCGATCACACACTCGCAGGGCCACTGGCGTGGGCTCCTCTAGACATGTGGATACGTATTGAACGACGTACGCAATGTCATACCGTGCTGATGTACATAGGTACATGACCGCGCCGACAAATTTCCGGTAGGTCGATTTTTGTACGCGTGTAGCGATTTTCGGGCGAGATTTCTCAGAGAGCTCCTTTTCGAGACGATCTATCTCCGCCCGTGTTATAGGAGCATCGCACTCTTTCAGGGTTTTGTCTGGGTCAAAGTCCTGCAGAATCTTATCGACCAGATTTTCTTGACTCAAAGCCAGTCTGCGTCTCTTCTTGAGAACGTTGATGCCTAGAAACTTATACAGTAGCTCGCCGCCCTCGGGCTTTTGCGGTTCACACGTATAGCGTTCGAACCTGTCGAGGATCGAGCCTCGAACCGCGGCTATGTCCTCTTTCCGACCTAGAAAGACTATGTCATCCACGTATGCGAGCACGCACGCACGGCGCTCGCCGTGAAAAAACGTGGACGGTTCGTCTAAGCTCTGTCTCCGAGCGGAGCTGGTGGCGTGTCTTGCGAACGTCTTAGCCCAGAGAGCTGGAGCACTTTTCAATCCATACAGGGCTTTCTTGAGTTTCCATCGGACATTTTCCCTTCCTTTGCGCCACTCGGGGGGTGGTATGCAGTAGACGTCGGCCCTCGCCGACTATGTCTGCATATAGGAAAGCTGTCTTGGCATCATATTGCTCGAGATCAAAGTCTAGCGCCATGGCTATCTTGAACATGAGCCGAATACTTGGGATCCGAGGGGCGGGCGAGTAGATGCTCTCTTGGTATTCTACTCGGTTGCCGAGCACGACGGCGCGACACTTGAGTCGCCCACACTCTTTGGCATTATATATTATAGTACTCGCATCGGCACAACCTTCGCTCCTGGAGGCAGGTCGTTGACCGATATTTCATCGAATGCGTCTCGTCCCTTGATCGAGTTTAGCTCTGACGCCAGCGCGGCGGCCCAGCCTCCTGGATCCTCTGCGAGTGCCTGCCTTCGCGTCAAGGTCCTTAGCAGGAGGACATACTCATCGTGGGCCAGAGCGTCCGTAGTGTCGCCAGTCTCGATTTCTGACTGATTCTCGACGGTGTTGGCTATAAAGTCGACACTCTGAGGGGGCAGGTCCTCGATGAATGTGACTGCCGCAGTGTGTCCACTGGGAAGCAAGGTCTCTTCTTCCTTGTGCTTACTGCGTCTCTCCAGTTCTCGCTGCAGGTTAAGGTGTACAGGCCGACTCTCTAAGCCCATTTCCTCACGGAGCGCTTCCGCGAGTGCCACTGATCTACGGCGACCTTTCGAGCACTGGAGCACGAGCTTTCCGCTCTTTTTGAGAAGTTTGGTCGCATCGCTGAGGAATTGCGAGTAGTTCTCATGTGTCTTGATACCATCGGACACTTCAGCACAGAGGCCTTGGCTGTTTGGAGTGTACCTAGCTGGATCAGGTCAGCTGGAAAATATTTATTGACTCGGAGAACAGCCGCGCCGAGGCGCTTGAGCTTGGCGGGGATTTTGTCTCCACAGCTGAAGAGTTGGCACCGACTCAGATTCTTTGGGACTTGGAGTCTCTCCAACATATCACGCGTGAGACGGACCACGGACCCCGACTGTGCGGCGTCTGCCTTTTCTGGTTGTCCACTGTCTCCACCTTTGTCAGTCCGGTTTCGCTTCGGGAGCGATGGACGGGCGGGATGAATCCCCCCTGTATGTTGGCTCCGCGCCAAAGTCTACTTCCCTGGTCCTGATGACCTTTTTCTTCTGCTCGTCCCAGACTAAATAGTCTGGCGATAGGTGCGAGTATCCTACAAAAATACCCGGAAGGTACGCGCGCTCCATCTTCGTTCTCACGAAGTTTTTGTATCGGCAAGGCGTCCCGAAGGTCCGCATATGCTGCGCGCCGGGCTTGACCCCGTTACGCTTTTCGTAGGAGCTCACGCTCCCGAGTATCGCGCGTGGCGACCTGTTTAATGCATAGCAGAATGCCTGTGCCGCGAAACCCCGATAGGTGTCCGGGAGTCGCGCTGTATCTAGGAGACACTTCATCCCCTGCATGGCGAGACGACTGCGAACTTCCGCGCTACCATTTTGCGCCGGTGAGTACGGTGATGTCTTGCGCGGCCTGATGCCGTGCTTTCTCAACAGTTTGAGGAAGTCACCGTCGAATTCTTTTCCGTTGTCCGAGCGGCAGACTTTCGGCACTCCAAACATGTCCATCCATTTCCGGAGTCCGGTGCATGCGTCGCTTTTGCGCGCAATTGGGAAGACTTCTACCCACGAGTCATATCTATCCACGATGATGGCCCAGTAGCGGTTGCCGCCTATCGATTCAGGTAGCGGCCCGCAAAGGTCCACGCTGACTGTGTGCCCAGCTTCGGTCGGGAGGAGTCGTTCGCGCGTTTCTTTGCTGAACGGTTTCCGGCGAGCCTTGTTCAGTCGGCAAGCCTCACAAGACGGCATGTAGGTTGAATGCCCCATCCTGTTGCGGATTACCTCTTGGGTCACGTTGAGCTCTCCCGAGTCCAGGTTAGGCCTGTAGCTGAGGCGGAAGAAGTATAGTCCTCCCCTCTTTGTGATTGGGATCAGCGTCCCGCTAGGTGTTCGCAGTCCGTCGAAGTTTTTCTGTGACGGTAAAACCTGCGCCCAGGAGCATACTGAGACTGGCGATATTTCGCGCCATTTTCGGACTATAGTACGCACGGCGAAAGGCCAACTTATGCCCGTTGTCTGCCGTTAGTGTCCGTAGTGATGCCATGTGACCGCCACTAACGTGCGACCCATCCGCTTGTTGGATTTTCCCGCCGTCTTTGGTCGGAGCACAGATCACGTTGGAGTCTTTGACACAAAACGCTGTGGCTCCACTGTCTAAGATCCACTCAGTTTCGATCTCATCGCTGACAGTGTGCAGAAGGATGCTTTCGAATTCTTGAACCGTGCGCATGCGCGCCTGATCCAAGGGCTGCCGAGTCCCTTCTTTCTGTCCCGTCGCGGACTGATGCTGCGACGTGTCGAGAAGTTGTTTTTGGTCGCCCTCGCTGACGACTGGCTCGCAGATGGGACGCCCATCCTTTTGCGAGTCTTGCCTGCACGCACGCGAAGGATGTTGTCGCGGCGCCAGACTGTCTTTGTCAATAGCATTGACGAGATCAGCCCCCTTCTCACGAAGGAAATCGATCCAGTGCGCACTTCGTTCCTGTGCTCCATGCATCCCGTGGAGGCTTTCTGATCCAGGTGGACGCCAGCCGCCACTGGATCTCCTTACCTTGGGCACGGGGACCGAGTACGATACTAATCCCGTCCCAAGGTTTTCCATCCTTCTCTTTTGAGATTCGCTGTTGAGTCACAACGGCGGCACAGCGCCGCCGAGCACTGTGATGGGCGAGGCGATGCCGTCCCTCTTCTTGCCTGACCCGGATGGATTGGTAGCCATGCCCTTAGGCTGGTCCTTGTTTTGCGCTCCTCCCTATTTTCCTCCTTTACCTTTTCCTTTGCCATTGCCTTTGCCTTTACCTTTTCCACTGACCTCTGTCTTCTTTTTTAGTATGGCCACACCATCTGCCTAGGAATAAAGACCATCCGAAAACCCCTACGAGTGTCGTCTTTCGTCCTATAATGTCCCAAAACATACACACCCCAAGAACATCAAGGCCATCGGCTAACGATGCGGCTGCATCAAGTTGGTCGCCACAGCCTCGCAGCCCAGTCAGCGCCTGAAGCTAAGGGAGTACAGAACGGCACACGTGTGACATCACGTACGCCGTATATGGAGTAACCAGTCCGCTCAGCTTGCTCGAGTAACTCAACAGAAGGCCCCGTAAGGTCTGGCTGACTCTTGGCGACGCTTACGCATGCAGAACGCGACACGCCCGAGGCCCCTAGACAGTCGGTCTGGAGATGTCTAAGCCGATCAGACTTCTGAAGCAGTCGCGATTTCTGAGAAGATCGCGGCCCACCCAAAGCGCCCAAGCCAGCCAAGTAATCCAGAGTACGAAATCGACGACGGCCAAAAATGTGACACAGTTCGCGAAGACATTGAAGAGCAGCGCGCTAAGTAATCAAAGTCCCTAAATTAGACGGCCAAGCCTGCCAAAATGAAGAAGGCGGGCGAGCAGATCTGTCTCTAGAGCGAGAGGAGACAAAGCGCGGACGGCGGGCGTCGTCGATGAGTGGCACGCAGTGCGGCACCCTCCGCCCGAGCGCGTGGCTTGCTTTGGATGACCCGTAACAGAAGGAGAAAGCAACGCAACGAGGGACGCGCAACCAGAGAACGCATGAGCTGGAAGCCCCGAAAATAACAAGCCAAGAGCCTGGCGGCCGTTCCCCCATCAAGATGAACGGAGCAAAACACGACACAGCCACAGGCCCAAGGCCGTCGAGACACCACAAAAGAGAGAAGCACAAAGAAAGAGAAGAGCAGGGGAACAGAGAGAGAGACAGGAACGCCGGCGCGTGACTCAGGGGAAGAGCATAAGGTGTAAGGAGGGAGAATGATACAAACACAACGCGGCACCCAGGGACTATCTTGGCGGCCTCTTGGTCACTCCCTTACTCACTCACTTTTATAAACAGCAAGGCGAACACCCTCCAACGCAAGGCCTCCCGCCTGCGGGGTCTCTTTTTCATGGTTCCTAAGTGACCGAGGATCTTCTCTCCCTCTCTCTCGTCTTGTTCTCTCCACCTTCGTCGTACCTCCTTAGCCTTCTCCCCTCGTCTTGTTCTCTCCATCTTCAATGTACTCGACCGGAGATATTTCCCTCTTGTTCCCTCCACTTTCGTCGTACCTCCCGAGCCTCCTTCTCTCGTCTTGTTCTCTCGTCTTGTTCTCTCCTCCACCACCTCCGTCGTAATGTGTCAGATATACCGAGAACAACCGTCAGGAGGCGACAGTGCAGGTATTTGCTTACCAAGTGGTAGACGAAGGATAACTATCTGAACGCGTGACGCGTGACGTCCGAGCTTTGCTGTTGGAATGCCTGCAGTGTACTTGGTGTAGATAATAGACCCCACAGGAGAGGGCTTCACGATACATATACGCGAGGTAGGGCATTACTTTCCTGGGTCTCATTTTCGCACTTCTCTAGCAGTAGTCTCGAACGTTGTCAGTTTTGCATTTAACGACTTATCCAGTCGGCGCACCAAGTAGGTGCGCGGTTGCCATTCGCCCGAAAACCTCGACGAAAACCGCATCGCTCATGTTCCCTTTAGGCCACCGAGTTGCTCCTTCAATTTTTCGAACGTCCCAGAACCAGAGGAGCCGGAGAAGTTAGAACGTGACTCAAAACAATGGATAAGGTCTCACTTTCTCCCGTGATCCCTATGTACTTGATCGGTCTACCCCTGAAGTGTGAGGCTACCCCTGTAGTGTGAGTCTACTCCCGCAGTGTCAGGGAGAGTGTGTGAGGTGTGATCTATTATCTAAGAAAGGCCATAACGTTGGTAGTGTTTACAGTCGCGGCCACTGTCTTGGGGCGCGCCGAGCTAGTCGCCTGCGTCTGCTCCTCGGCCTTTGTCATCTTGTCCAGTGTCACTTTCTTCATGTCGAAAGCCAAAGCCAGACGGAGAGTAACGCTACATCTTACTTGATGCACCTGGATGCGGAAGATGCGGAAATATGGAGGGGATGCGTAAAAATATGGAGGGGATACGTAAGAGAGATAAGGGGGCGATATCCTACGAAAGTGAGAGCCTACGAATTCCAGGGAACGCATCGAAGTAGAGAGGGAGAGGCTGGAGTACCCATGTGACGCGCCCAGTCGCGGCGTTTAGTTGCTCAATCGTGATCGCGCGATCACATTCGCGAGGACGTCGGACGAACGTCACGCGAACTGTGTCGCCGACCTTGTACGTGGTCGCCGCGGACACAGGCGGAGTCCTAGCCTCACTCCCTACATCGTCGTAATCGCTGTCGCTTTCATCCGTCATATTCCTCTCAGAGAGTCGGGCTTTCTTCTCTTTCTTGTCCTTCTTGCTCTTTCCGGTGCGCTTCGGCTCTTTTTTGGTCTTCTTGGTCCTTTTGTCCAGTCTCGCTCTCTTGTCCCTCTGGTCGGTCGCGTCACCTCCTATCTTCTTGGCCTCACCTTGTGCCTTGTCATCTCCTACCTTGCCGCCGCCCTTCTCCTCCTGCGTCTCGTCCTTCTTCCCTTGCGTGGTTTCCAGTGGCTCTGGTGCGGTAGCGTTTCCCGGTGGTGTCGGCGCCGTAGCGTTCCCCGGTGGTGCCACTTTCGAAATGGTTCCGCTTTTCTTGGTCGCCTCCCTTCCTTCTCCCTCTACCGCAGCCGCGGCCCCAGTGGGACCCGTGTGTCTCTGCAGTTCAGCAAGGAAGATATCCGCTACCGTCCCGGTGGACGTTGACACGGTCGCGGAGGTGGAGCAGACTGCAGAGGTGGAGGCTGCAACGTAGGCGCCGAAGGAGAACGCCGGATGTTTTGGGTCTGTTTCCGCTTGCATTATCTCTCTCGCAATCTGGAGGCCATCCGCACCTGACGGAGCCAAGCCGTCCACCTTCAGGCCTGCGGTCGGCGAAGGTATCGCCGCAGTTCCCTGCTTCGCTGCGGCCGGGGAAAACGTGAGGCACTGCGGACGTGGTGGCTGTGAAAAGTAGTCAATATCTTCGTCTTCCTCCTCCTCTTCAATGTCCCAAGTTCCTGGAGTTTTCGTCGATTCGCTTCTTGGTGGGAAGGAACCGCCGAGGCGACTACCGAGAAGGTCCTCATGGAAACTCTTGAAAAAATTCGCAGAAGCCTGGAGGGGGTTTGTTGCGTTAAGAGTGTCAGGGATGATGAGCGAAAAACGACGATCGAAAATTTTGGGGCATTTTTTCGAATGTAGATTTTTGCTGATAGTAGTGAATCTCTCACGTCATTGGTATACTGGTATACTGTCTAGGCCTGTATGTATAAACGTAAGTAATATCTGTACACTGTTCACACGCAACGCCTCAGCCCGCCGGGCCAGCTCTTCGGCTCGTTTCTGCGCCTCTGCTGCCTGTTTTTCGGCGAGCGCTGCAGCCTGCTCGGCTCGCCGCAGCACCCCGGCGGCAGCGACCACCTCCGCCCGCTTTGCGGCAGCCTCAGCCTCTTGCCTCTGCTTTGCGGCGGTCGCCGCCTCCTCTCTCTGTTTCTCGGCCTGTTGCTGTTCTTCCTGTCTCCGCTTCTCGGCAGCCTCCTCTTCTTGTCTCTTCTTCTCGGCGGCTTCCTGTTGCTCCTCTTCTTGTCTCTTCTTCTCGGCGGCTTCCGCCTCCTCTTCTTGTCTCTTCTTCTCGGCGGCTTCCTGTTGCTCCTCTTCTTGTCTCTTCTTCTCGGCGGCTTCCTGTTGCTGTTTCTCGGCCTCCATTCGCCTCCTCTCGGCTTCCTGTTGCTGTTCTTCTTGCCTCCGCTTCTCGGTAGCCTCCGCTTCTCGTCTCTTCTCCTCGGCTTCCCGTTGCTGTTTTTCAGCCTCCAGCTGCTTTCTCTCGTCTTCCTGTTGCTTTCTCTCGGCTTCCTGTTGTTGCTTTCTCTCAGCTTCCTGCTGTTGCTGCTTCTCATCGGCCTCCTGTTGCTGCATCATCATCAGGTCGCAATGCATCCAGTCAGTCGCACAAAATAACTCATCGAGGAACACTGTCCCTCCGGGGAACGGCCCCTGTTCATGCAGTATGTCAGACAGTACTTATGTAGTGCGTCAGATAATGGCCAAACTATTCACGCAGTGCCAGCAGCTAACCGGGAGCTTCGCTTTCATCAGATAACAACCTCACCAGGATGGGCCTAGCCCTTGCCCTTACTCACGCAGTGCAGACTTTTTCGCTACTTGTTCTCATGTAGGTCCGAGGTACTCCCTCACGCATCTTCTTTCTCTACTTGACCAAAATAGTGACGGAAAATATTGACTACGGGGGTAAAATGCAAAGAAATGGCCTCACGCCTGTTGTGAGCGATCACGTACAGCACAAAGATACCGCTTCCGCCTCAGTCTCTAGTAACAACTCGCGATAAACAAGATTAGCAGTCCTCATGCTCATCATCCTCTTCACCCTCTTCACCCGACTCCCAGAGGTACTGGTCTGGGACATCGTCGGCGAGCTCCAATCCAGTCCCTCCAGAGTCTGACGCTGCCGGCTCTACGGGAACGCGCGTTAGATGGAGAATGTGTGGAAGGGAAAAGGGAGAGGGCGATCATAGACGAGAAGAAGGGAAAAGACGACGAGACACCAAAAAAACGACCGAAGAAATTCAGTAATTTTCTCGATCGTTTTTTTGGGTCGACTCGCCGAACATTAGACAGCACCAAGAAGGGCGCATCAAGTAGCATTCTACAGTGTGTGATGAATGTGTGATGAGAGTCAAATGAACATCTTAACGGTCCGAACTCCCCTAACATGTCCCGGCGTGCTCTCGCCAACAGCTGCGCCACCCTGCGTCGCCACACAGTCCAGTGCTGCCACTCAGAGAGCTTCGGCCGTCTCTTCGCCGTTGTCCCACAGAGAAGCGACTCCAGAACCTCCTGCATTTTACGCCAACTATCCTGGATGGCACTCCTGTCCAGTGTCGGGACTTCGAACGACCCGACGCACGGGCGCTCACACATTGCCGCCCGTACAGCTTCGCGCGCTGTGTGTCCGCTGCCGGTGCTGTTGCTGCTGTTGCTGCTGGTGCTCTTGCTGCGGGTGCTCTTGCTGCTGGTGTTGCCGCTGGTGCTGTTGCCGCTGGTTCTGCTCGCGGGTGCTGCGGTGTTGGTGCTTCTGCTGCTATTACAGCCGGGCGCGAATGTGGTTGCCGTCTGCTGCACACCCACGAAGGCGCCCGCGCGTTCCCTCAGTTCTGCGAATCTGATCAGGACCCCATAGATGTCCACGCCGAGAATTAGAGGAGAAAAAATCGCAGCGACCATCTTGCGGCTTGCTTCAATCGGGCCGACTAGATGGCGTGGCGAGTATCGATTACCTATAAGAAAAGCTTCTCCACTTTGCGGGGGTTCGGCCCGTGTGGCCTCCTGGCTGCTGGTTGTAATCGAGCCTCTGCGAGGCCCACCCGAAGGAGGTTTCTTACACCGTGGCGCGTAATGTTCTCGAATATATTAAAGGCGAGCAGGTAGTGACCGCCGAATCTGAAAGAAAAAGCCCCCACGCCTCTCCCCTGGTTTCCCCCCAATCTCCCCAGGCCTCTCGGAGACTCCTCCTCGATCTTGGTGGCCACCCTCTGCGGGCGGTGAAAGTTGGGCCATAAGTATGAAGCCAGTGCCTGTCTGCTGCGACTTACTCGCCTCTTTGTCCGCGTCGGTTTGCTCGCCTTGTAGGCCTCTGCCGGAGAATCCAGGTAGATTAGAGGGAGAAGCGTCGTAAGCTGTAGACGGGCTTCTACAGTTAGAAGGACCCTGCGCGCGGGAGCTTTCCCGCGCCCGGCGTGTCTCCTTCGTTCCCGAGCGAGACAACGCGCAAGGCGTGACAAAGCAGCTACTCAAAAGAGAGAAGCCAAAGAACAACAGCGGCCAACCATAAAGAAAGACGCGAGAGCGTCCCACACCGCATCCACCGCCTCGGCATACCGCGGCATCTCTCCTTTTGTTCACCCCAAAAGCGGGACAAGCGGGACGAGCGGCGAACACGCCTGCAAAAACGCCTCTCGCCGACTTTCGCCCGCGTATGTGTCTAGGACGTTCGATCTTGCCACAACTGCCAATAAATTCGACGCCACCTGATATGTGAGCGAGTGACTCATGGATGTATATAAAATTACGAGAGAAGCTATACAATTACGAGGGAGAACGCTAGGACTTGGGACTACCTCCAAACCAACACGAGAAGAGAAGCGAAAAGAGAAGAAGAGAAAAGAGCCGACCGAGATTCTAACTTTTATACTTGTAGGTGTGACTTGCCCTCCGAGGTCTTTCGCCGCGCTCGGGTCGGGTCACACAGGGCGCGGGCGTTCTCCAAGAACAGGCTGAAATTGAAGCCGATCCCCACCCCGTCCAGGCCCTTCGCCTCCTTCGTGGGGGTGCTGTCTCGCTCTGCCGGTTGTTGCTGTTGTTGCTTCTCTTCTCGAGTGTCTTCATCTAGTATGAGGGTCGCCTTGATCGCCTCCGCTAGTTACAAATTAGAGTCTAGGAGTGCGGCAATAATAGCGCCAATTTAGCATAGAAGATTACCCAGGGGAACCTGAGTCACATAAGATGACACAGTGGAATTCACCATAACAAAACTCCGAGTCGCCTGCACCATCATACAATAACGATCTGTAGCGGACAGGCGCCCTGCTCTTGGAGAAACGAGACGCCTCCAAGCCCCGTCAAGGCAGTGCTGCGCTGGATCGGGTCCGCCACGCTGTCGACGCGATGCAGAGTGAGTGATTAGAAGGGCCGGGGGGTGGTTTGGGGATGGAAAGCTAGTGCGGGAGGTGGGCGGGACTATACCTATACGAGGAAACTAAGGTAAAAAATTACACCGAGGGACACTATAGTATAGCAAGAGTGAGGCGAAGATAAAGAATACATTAGTGGATAATATCGAGAAGCATCAGATAGGTAAGGTAAAAAATTAGCGGAGGAGAGGCTTAAACTCAATAGGCAAACACACGCCAAGGTCGTGGCGGGTGTCTTCGGTAGTTGGTCGAGGAGATGACGCGCCTCGTTGACGGTACTGGGCCGCTTGAAAAAAATGTCTTCGCGAGGTAGCACGACACGCAACCCGAAACACCTCCGGACGCAGGAGCGGTTGTTTGACCTCCTCGATACGGTCGAGCGGGACCCCGTGCGCGAGGGATTCTCTCGCCAAAATCTAAAAGAAAAAGACTGCGACTACTAGCGTCTCACGCGTTTGCTTCTCTCCTGCCTTTTCTGGATTGTGTTAGAGATAGAACCTCAGCAAGCAGTGTGGGGACAGACATCCGACACGGAGACCTCCTGTAGCCGAACTCTAACAGAAGTCTTCTAATCACACCCCTTCACACCCCTCAACAGACCCTCCTCAAGACCAATAGGCCCTCTACATAAGAACTGACAAAGCTGGAGCCTGCCTTATGGGATTCCAAACATCGCACACAGCCGGCGGAGAATTTTGCCGCGGCTGTGTATGATGCGCGTCTTGTGGAAGTCGCGGCGAGTTATCTCCAGTGATGGATGCTCACTCTCCGCCTTCAGCGTGAACTTCTTCCCGTAGGGTGCGCGCGTCTTGCCTGTTTGGCCCCCGCCTCGCGGGAATTGGCTCCGCGGTCGTGGACCAACTCGGTTGGGCTTGTTGTACTGCTTCCGCGTCTGGCGTGGCGCTTTCGGTGCCGATTTCGTTGCTGCCGCCTGCGTGGCTGAGGCCATTGCTGCCACCGCCTTCGGCTTCGGCCTTTCCGCATTTTTGGACATGATTTACCTCAAGCCCGTTACCCATACACTTATGCTGGCGATGTTCTGTGATGTGTATGAGTTGAGTTTGTGATATGGGACGAGCATACGAGATTAGTTACGGCGGTACCACTGTGATATATGTGACATATGTGTTAGTGTGATATATGTGATATGCGACGAGAATGTAACCAGAGTAGCTGCATTCTCTACCAAAGTAATGACGTGGCACCCGTGGCCTCCTTTTTCGTTTTCCTTTTTTCAGCCGTTTCGCCTGGGTCATACTTGTCAAACTTTTCGGCGCGCTCTGTCCTCCTCGGAGGTTTTCCCTGTGTGTTGATATTGTGCTATTCCCTGTGCGTTGATATTATGCTATTGGTGAATAAAGAGGGCGGACCATGTCGGTCCTAATGCTACGCTTCACTTTTGCACTCGAGAACTTTAATGCATTGAAATTGCTTGAGCTTAACCTTAGTAAATTACCTGAGCTCTCAGAGCTTTAAACATCTTGTCACTCACGACGCGGAACACTTTAATAGATTTCCACTCAAAAAGAGCCGTAAGAAGAAGAGCCTTAAGAAGAAGAAATAAAAGAGGAGCCTTATTCCCATTCAAGAAGAGCCTTAAGAAGAAGAGCCTTAAGAAGAGGAGCCTTAAGAAGAGGAGCCTTAAGTAAATTCCATTCAAGAAGAGCCTTAAGAAGAAGAGCCCTAAGAAGAGGAAATAAAAGAGGAGCCTTATTTCCATTCAAGAAGAGCCATAAGAAGAGCCCTAAGAGGAGGAGCCTTAAGAGCTTTAATATATTGCCAGCGTTCTTTGCTGTTTCATTCGATGGGCTTTAGGTCCGTATCTCAATCGAGGAGCTTCTTGGTATTGCTGTCAGTCTTTAGGATTTGAGAGATGGCCCTTAATGTCACCCCATGAAGCCCAGTAGAGGGGCTCCCGCCATAATCCATCTATACTCATAGTCCATCTACACTCTTCCCGGAAGTGGTCATCGCCTTCTCTTCAACACTCAAAAAAAACGACCGAAAAAATACTGAAAAAACGGCCGAAAAAGTACCCTACTACTTTCGGTCGTTTTTTTCGTTTCGCGTTCATTGCTCAAAAAAAACGACCGACAAAGTACATCACTACTTTCGGTCGTTTTTTTCGTTAGGCGTTCGAATCCTCAACAAAGTAACCGGGGACACGCTAGAGCCACCCCCAAGACAGAGGGGGGCGGGGTGGCGGTGAGCGGTAGCGCCCGCGGTGATGAGTCTTTGCTGTTGTGCGACCGACCGGCCGCACAACGCCCGCAACTCACGTGCTCCCGATAATTTCGGGCCCGGGCGTGCTCATCAGTCGAGGTGCATGAAAACCTACCACAGATCGACATCGAGCCACTACACTCTCCCTCAGCCTTACCCGAGGACGAGTAGAGCCACCGAGTGCGCAGCCTGTCCCCCACCTTACCTACGCGGTCGCGGTGACAGACTGGAGAGACATAACTGAAACAGAGGCCGCGACCTAACGAGCCGGGAGGACTCCTATAATGTCCCGCCTGCAAGTTTTCGAATGGGGTCAAATCCTAGGCGTTTGGGCGTGCTAATCTTTTGAGCCTGCCTGGAGAGTATCTTCTTTGCCTGTTCGGAGGTTGGTTTGGTGCGTTGCCACATCGTGTGCGCCGAAGAGCCACAGTTGTAGCACGTGCCAGCTTTGTGCTGTTTGAATGTTGCAGGTGGGTCCGTGACTTGAAAGACTTCCTCAGCGCCCGGCGTGCGTGTAGCAGCGCGCCCGTCCAAGTTGACTTTGTTACGCAAGGTGTGTTTTGTTTCCTTGGCAACATTCTCCAACTCGAAGTCGCCTCTAAGGTCTCTTTGGATTCCCTGCATTTCTTGCGAAGGGATGTCACTCCCGATGGCTTTGAGGTAGCACATTCCTGCAACCTGCTCCATCGTCATGCCCTTGACTTTGGCATATATGATGCGGGAATCTCGCTCCGCGCTGACAACGTTCTTTGAGGATGCTTGGAACTCGATGAGCTGCCAAAAGTCATCCCAGATTTTCTGCTGTTGACGGGGATTTGTCCACCGCTCTAGTTCTTCCAGCAGTTCCTCGACGGTTGCGACGGTTTTCGTCGCAAGGTGGTCGGCGCATTCTTGTCCGATCTTGATGGACTGTTCGACGCGATAGACGAGATCACCCAAATCGAGTTGACGCCCATACGTCGCGCGAAACTTTGCGAGCTTCTTGAGCCACATATCGTGCTCCTCAATCTTTTTGAGTGGCACTATGTTTTGCCCGACCTTTATCCTGCGGCGCGACTCCACCGCTTTCCACGGTGTTTTGTCTTCATCCTCCTCCGCCGGTGGAGGGGTTTCCTCACCCGTTTGCGAGGGGTCCTCCTCTTCGTCTGACTTGACGAAGTCCGTATGATTGTCGATTAGGCTACTGCAGATTTCACCGACTTCGTTGTCCTCTTTGAGGTTATTTATCTCCTGGAGACAGGCACCAACTTGCGACTTCAGAACTCGCTCTTCCCAGAGCGGGTCTCCCTCTTTCAGAGATTTAGCACCCTCAGGCCAATCTTCCCTCTTGATTTTGCAGTAGGCGAATCTGCCTCCGCCGTGTGCTTCCGAGGGGTAGCAGTCTACTTCGGCATCTTCGTAGTCAGGTGAGCCGTCGACGTTGATGATGCCGCGCCTGTGCTTGATGCTGTCTTTTCTTTCGGCATTGTAGTATTCTGGCTCAATGTAGACAAACGCCATTCCACTGATGACATACTGCTCCAAGCGCTTCACGCGCGCAGCGTCAATTTTCATGGCTGGGGCCATTTTATCTCAATGGGGTGGGATCCTGATCACCACCGAAGCACCCGAGATATCGCGCCTTGGCAAATTGCCGCTAGCTTTCCCACTGTGCAAGCCTCTTTATGGGGAGACTTTGCACGGGATCCGACTCCCGTCAAAGGTCAAATAACAAAATCTGCCGAAAAGAGACAAGGCGTTAGATGGACGCGCGGCCGTGTGTCACGATATCGCCCCTTCCGGGGTTTCGGGCGCACGAACTTCTCCGCCAAACGAAGAAGGGCGCGCCTTTTTGTGCGGTTGCGGTCGCCTGGGTTTACTTTTGAAGCAGTCGCGTTTCGCGAAAGCTTGTTCCCTTTTTCTTAGGTGCCGTCGGACTCCGTCCGAGGGTCTTTAGGTGGGCCGTGGCGACGGCTTTGCCCTGTCTCCGGTCGTACCGTGAGACTTTTTCTTTCTTGTATAGCTGAGGCCGTAACCAAAGCTAATCTGAATTACTGTCGAGGAGCCACACCCGAACAGCTACAGACTTTCGTCTATGGCTGCTGCCGACTAAGTCGGGAGCTTGGTGCCTTTTCTGTTTTGTTTTAGTTGCCCCGCCACTGGGCTAAAGTTGGTTTATTTTTGTGAAGCAGATGCTGAGTCTGCTCTAGGGTCGACGGGATCGCTCTCGACGTATCGAAGAACAATGCCGCCTGGAGAAACGCGTGGGGCCAAAATCCGACTGAATCGGACTACCACTGCGCACAGGAACGAAAACGCCAAATTTTTCTAACCTAAAAAACCAAAAAAAATACTAGACCAAAAAAGTCAAAAATTTGGTGGGTTCTAAGTCAAAGAAAATCACTCCAGTGCGCGCATAAAAGGCTAATAACTCACTGCGCGCGAACCCTAAGACTGTATATTTTCACCCTTGTGGTGATGCGTTTTTTATATAATTCCCGGCCTGTTTCAGTTGTGCAAATCGTGAAGGTTTTGCATGATTCTCATGCGGTTGCAAAGTTGTCAAATGTGTGGACCTTCTTGCTCATATGTAACACGATAAGGATCCACATCATTGGCAGAGTGTTCCAGTGCTGTGATCTTTGTCACCATAGGACTGCAATGATTTCCATCACTTTCATGCTCTTGATGATCTTCATACTCATGACATTAGTGGGATCATCGTGCTCATCTTCTTCATCTTCTTACTTTATACATTTGCAGAACAGGGGAACTGGATCAGAAAACACTCAAACAGAAGCGCTCTCCTTTGCTCATGCTTTTCGTTCGCTTCCCTCACTTCTCAACAGAATCAGAACACGCGCAAACAGATGCCGCATCGAGGCGGCCCTCTCCCTCTTCTTCCGCAGCACAGGTCTGAAGAGCCTGCCGAGCAAGGGCGTTCGGATTGGACTTCTCTGGGAGCTTGTAGCCCTTCGCGGATTCCGTACCGGGAAGGTTATCCAGAGCACCGCACGGGACAAGACCCCGCTCGGTTAGACGGGCCATCTGCTTCTTCCAGTTGGCCTCGTCCTTTCCTCCATCCTTGGGGAAAGTAGCTAGCTGTGACTCGGTGACGAGGCACGCAGCATTCTGCGCGTCGAGCACGTGCATGGGATCAACTACCGGCAGGTAGTCGACCGAACCGATGACAGGCCGCTCGATGTTGGCTGCCTTCGTAGAGTCCTCGGGAAAGCTTCCGAAGACCCTCAAGAAGCTTGAGACCTTTGCCTTCAGCTCCCTTTTCAAGAAGATCGCCTTTGATCCTCTTGGATCTGAACCCTTTGGAGAAGACATATCCAAAGGGGCATACCCAGTCATCTGCTTGAGAGTCTGGGCGTACTCATATGGAGCCACCTGCTCCCGAAAGTCCGGCGCGGTGGTTCTGATCCGAGCAGCTTTCTTCTCTTCGGTATCGACTTGGATGATCATTTTGATCCACCCAGAGCCAGGGCCTGCAAGGCCACGGCTCTCGAGCTCTGTCTCGGAGATCTTCCCGAGGTAGCTCGTGACGCGGCTCGCGCCCTGTATAGCGGTGCGGGCTGCTTCTAGGGTCACTTGGCCTTTCCCTTTGCCCTTCCTATGTTGGCATCTGTTTGAGCGTGTTCTGATTCTGTTGAGAAGTGAGGGAAGCGAACGAAAAGCATGAACAAAAGAGGGCGCTTCTGTTTGAGTGTTTTCCACTCTGTTGAGGGTTGTAGAATAAACACGAAGAACGTGGAGAGTTGCACTAAGTAGCATTAGCCTAGTAACGTAGTCAGGGCACTAGTATGAAAAACCTTTACACTCTTTCCCGACAGGGTCTAATGTCTTTTCGCACGTTGAAACTACATTCTGGACCTTGAAGCACGCCCCGCCTGGAAGTAACTAGTGCTCTACCTTTAAATAAAGTTTGTTATCGGTTGTATCAGTATCGGTACAACAACTATGAACATGACAGAAAAACAAAAAAAAATATGCGTAGGAAGTACAAGGTCGTCGTCTTGGTCGTCATTGTACTAGATACTCAACCTCTTCGCTTTCTGGAACGAAAAGGTAGGTAATATCTAGTACTTTTTCGACAACTAACTAAGAATGAAAGGTGAGAAAGAAGAAGAGACTGCATATACCATCATGAGAGAAGGACGAAGATGCTCTCAGTCAGGTATGACAGCCAAACAAGAAAAGACGAAAGAATCATTGCAAAAACGCATAATAATCGTTACATTCATCTCATTTTTTATGAGTCTATATTCTAGAGAAGAACAGAGAAGAAAAGGAACGAAATGCAACAGCATCAAGTGGAAAGAGGACGACGACAACTGGAAATATAACATAGATCATTTTAGATCATTAGTATCTGTATTTACAACAAGGAATCACGGGAGTCCTCTACGAAACGGCATCTACTTTTTTCTTTCGTGTTGACGATTGTCTCCTTTTCATCGGGCTCGATGAAGTCTTTCGCCGTCCTGCACTCACTATTCGAGACTTACTTGGTGAACCTCCTGAACCTGATTCTGCTACTTGTGTTTGTGACTGTTCGACTTGACCTATTTGATTTTCTATTCTGTCTCCAGACGCCCGTGGTCTAGTTGAATAGATGAAAGTGAAGGCAACCAGCAGAGGCATGTAAAACGAGAGGAGTACATTCGGATACAACTCGGTCGTTGGAGCAGAACTTCCGTCATCCATGTGGTAGAGCCAATAGTAGCCCCACACAGTAACCCAACTGGGGAAAGCCGTGTGCCAAATCGTGTGCCAAACTAAGAATTTTCGAAGGTCTGCCTCGACGCGTCGATAGTATCGTGAGAGCCCGAATCCTATCGTTGCGTGGATTGCCGAGCAGATGCCGAAGAAATAGCAAAGGATTAGATCGACGTCGAGGACGCAACTGTTATTGTTCCACCAATAAACACTTTATCATGTGGCTGGCTCTCCCGTGTCCGTCGCCTCCTTTCGCCTCTCAGTTTCAAGAGTATCTAATTCAAATAGCTATCTTAGCCCACAAATGAATCACCATCTTACCAGGTCCTTCGCATCGGCTTCGGCTTCGGAAATCAGCCAGCAAATCCCCTTGAAGAGCTTTTTACATCAAGAGTTTTTATATAGTTTGAAAATGTATACTTACGCTCGCCATATCGAGGACGCAACTGGTATTGTTCAACCAATAAACCTCCACTGTAGAAGAGCTACATCACGAGATGTTCACAACCAAAAATTATACATAGCCCGCATAAAAAAAATCTTAGGCCAAAAAACTTATTTTATTGTCCGTCCCATAACCAAACATCCAATTGCTCCCATACGAGGATGTATAAGACTAGATAGCTGCCGCCAGTCGCAAATAGGATGTCAATAGCATGAGACCAAGCAGGCTCCCCAAAATCAAGCCAATCGGACCAAAAGCTGATATGTGGAAGCGCAGACGATTGGATTCTGGAAGCCGTCAGCGGAAGGGACTTGATTAGGAAATTTAAGGAAACATCAACAGAATGATTGTACTATATATAATGCACTGTGCAATAGTCGAGTAAGTACTACTCCATCACTTGATTTGTCAGATCATGCACTTATATTGGTTTTTGACGTCAACTATCAGTCGAGAAATAAAAACGCATAGTACGACAACCATCCCTGCAACAGCCAATATGGAGGTATCCACTTCGCGAATCCCAGGTGGGCTAGCAATGGCATCCGTCTTCCCATCAATTCGCCGTCATGCCACGTTGACAGCGGTAAGACATAGAAAAAGCAACTGATGGCGTAAATCACGTGGAAATTAGAAAGGCGGAAAGACAGATGCTTGCATGCGGGGGAGTTAAACTTAAAGTTAATGAAAAATATTTATAGGATTGTGATGTGGAAGTGGAGGAGGGTTAGGATGAATTGCAACTTGAGTCCTTTTTTGACCTAGTCGTCACGATATGGACAAGGGTGCTTTACCATATTATGCTGGAACCACAGCGTGCAGGAAACACCTTGAACATAATGAAAGGAAAATGCTCTTTGCTTCTCGTCCCGAGACGCCAAGACGCAGGCACCGTTGATTTTCGCCATTGACGTAAAAGGTCTAGCATTTTTTGTGTTTAAAATTTTTGATTTTTTTTGCGTCTAGAAATGGATCTACGAATGAAAGAAGACGCAACTCTTGCTACTACTGGTCCTGTCTATCATGGGAAATATTGATCTACGACATGATGCAGTTCTACTTGCTCTAATGAAGACTGCTTGTAATATTGAATGTGACGGGATCGCATCTTTCCACAAACAGAAAGGATCTTCCGAACCTCAATATCGGTGTGCTTCATCTCCACGGGCTAACACCTGAATACGGATGAACGTCGCAGGGACGCCACGCCATTGCCCAAGCTTGGAGCTCGCTAAAAACTTACTCGTGCGTGTATGATTGCACCATTGAAAGTAGCGTTAGTGTCAGTGCTGGTCTTGTTGCGGGTAATGTCTAATTGCAATTTCCCCTCTGTTAGTGTTACTTACTCTTTAGAAATTGGCGGCCGTGTCTGTGCTTAAAAAGTACGTGTGTCGAAAAGCGTCCTTAAAAAAGAAGTGAAAAAATTTGCGTCATCACCTTCTTCTAATGTAACTGTTTACTGGCGTTCAGAAAATAAGAAGAACTGCATCGGTATACTGTATAAGTCTGGTATCTGTATAAGTCTGGTATCTGTATAAGTCTGATGTACCAATCTGTCTGAGTCTTTTATCACTAGGTTTGAAAGTTGCGAAGTCGAAAAAAAACTAGCGTTGGTTTGCTTCAGAGAAGTACTCCTATTCACAACACTAGCTTCAGCACGTCTTCGAGAAGGGTACTCGTCTAAATCACATCACGACTAGCTTCAGCACGTCTTCGAGAATTGTATGGGATGATCACAGTAGACGCATTTTCCGTCTACTATCCACTGTAGGACTTCTCTTTGTCCGTTGTCGACGTGACTCACGCATGCGGGATGTTTACACTTTCCGGTTGCGGTCACTGGCGGTCCTTGTCGCAGTATGGAAAGCATTTGTTCACGCTTATTGTTTGTCGAAAGATTAGAACCATTCAACAATATTAAACTACTTGTACCTCTACTCCTTGTTACCACAAATATAACAGCGATATCCCAGCGTACCCACCCTACCACCGTCTGTAAGCTATTCTGTTTCTAATTGTAGTTGTACAAGTAGTAAACCGGGATCTGTAGTGACGAGTTAAGCGTGAGATAAGTGCCAGAATGGTTATAGGCGACAGAGCAGCGTTGGATTTAAGTGGGTGTTGAGATAAAAAATTGAATAAAAATCATCAAGAAATAGTTCACATCCATAACTACACCTCCGTTACCAGCAGACTCTGCTTGCTCTCCCCCATTTGCGCAACCTTCCACCTCTGCATCATCCACATCCTCCATCTCCTCATGATATGAGAGGAGAAAGTGAACTCATGGTACTTAGGAACAGGCGCATTTTCCTAGTTAGAGCGTCAACGCAGGAAGTTCCTAGTTAGAACAAGCACAGTTTCCTAGTTGTAGTTAGAACGTCATCAACGTGCGTAGTTCCTTCTTCTTGAGGTCGACGATGAATACACTTTTTCCTGTCATACTTCGACATCGACAGCCAGATGTCCACCCACCATTCCGAGTAGCGCAGTACGTACGAAATAGCCATTTCGACTTTGCGTGTCCCAGCCGTTCAAGGGTGTAGAATCCACCTCAAAAGGAATTACAGGATTTCTCGAGTCCCTTGGCAAAGGGTGGTAAAACTTCGCACCTTCTGGCAACTCAGATTGGTGGCTTCTTAGACCCTAGACAGAGAAGGAAGAAAGATTTCAACGGTTGGCCTTGTTGGACTTGATTGAAAGTTGTAGATGTTTCTAGTACAACAGGCTTTAAGATTTATAATAGATACACTTTCTCCTACTTATGAAAAATGTTACTGCAAGTAATACTACTACCTACGAATGGAGAACCTGTAAGAGACTGACAAGGGAGTGCGCATGGGACGAAGAACGAGAAGTAGAAGAATAGATTCCGTTCGCTATTGCCGCCATATCTTTTCCAACGAAAAGGTAACTGCTTTTCGGAGATCGGCGCTCTTCTTTTGCACCTCATCGGACATGCGCTCCAGCTGGAGACGTGTAAAATACCAAATTGTTGCGCATTTCTTACTGGCTACAGCGTTAGAGGAAGAATACATGAGGAACTAGAGAGTAAGAAAGGTACTAGTAACAGTTGTCTACAGGTCTAGGTTCTCTACATGGATGTTTCATAATATGGTAGACATCATTCATCATCGTCATTCCTGTTCATCATTCCTGTTCATCAGGGTGATCAACTAAAACATTACAAGTAAGGAAAAGGACTTATACCTGTTGCAAATTCTTGCTTGCATAAAATATCAAGATTAACGCCAAAAAATGTAGAAGTAGATCTAATGTTCATAAGGTAAGCATCGATCGACTTGTACTTCTCGACAGTGAAACCGTTGTCCTGCATCTTCTTCACGTACTCATCGGGCATTTGCAATTCGTCCGGTGCTATGAGGTCCACTTTCACGTCGCCAAAAATCCGGAGTCCGTCTGCCTCTCAATTTTTTTTGGTATGCAGAGGTAAAAAAATACCTATATTTCAAAAAATTCATAGTTTTCTATGTCGTGTGAGAAACTTTAAAAACATAGAAGTTTGTCATGGACGAGGTGAACCTAAAAGAGTGAAATCATAAGCAGCTGCTGCAGCGGCAGGGGCTCTTACAACACCTACTCCTACAGGTACAGCCCAAGCCCGAAAGCACTATCAAATATATCAGCCCAACATTCCATTGATGATTTGAATCTATTCGGCGAGCTGCCTAAGATTTCCCAGACGTTCAATTATAGTACGTAAACTATATTATACATAGGTACAAGGTTCAACTATACGCACTTATATATACTATAGTATACATAGGTACTTTCGAATGCACGGTCCTTCCGTGCCACAGGTCGCCTATTAGCGCTACATGTATCGAGTCAAACTTCCAGTCTTGGTGCTCTAGAAACGTGAAGTCGTCCAGCAGTTCCTGGGAAGGGTGTTCGTGTTGCCCATCTCCAGCGTTGATAAAGGAAGGTCGAGGAATATCGTGGACTCGGCAGAACCTTTATTGTAGAAGTAGAGGGTGGAGATGGAAATGACTTTGGTTGGAAATGACTTTGGTTTTGGAGTCGAACATGGAGTTGCTCTAATGTTATTGTAGAGGGATACGAACGAAGGATTCTAGCGTAGAGCCGCACTAAGATCAGTATGCAGAGGCCTCTGATTAAATAGATGATGCGAAATACTTTTCCCCAATCGCCCAATCTAGCCACGTGCAGACACCTTCCCATTTGGAGCGGATAATGAAGCTCGTCTGCTTAGAGAGACCAACTTTAGAAGTAGATTGAAATCTTGTTTGATAGATTGCCATGATACGTTAGCCGTAATCTGTCTTTCGCTGTATCCCACCAGCATTTTGATCGTATCCGTGAGCGTTTCGCCTTTCGACAGACTACTTGTCGCGCAGTCAAAATCGCACACCTTGCATCCGTGGAACGCAGCCGCATTACGGAAGGACTCTTTCGTGCGAGTACTGTTCTTTGTATTAGAAATAAAAAGACTCCAGTTCACGAGGTTCGTTCCAGTTGTGGAATGTCGAAGCGCAACACTTCATGAAAAGCAATTTCTTTTTAGCCAACATAACAATAAACACCAGATAAACGCAGCCGTTATTGCCATTTTTTCCACCAGACATTCGAAATGTGTCGGTCGCACAGTGACCCTTGTCGCCAAATCCGAGGAGTGAGGCGACACTCGCACCACCATTCGCTGAGGATGCTGCATCATCAGCGATTTATTGAAGGAGGAACAAGGACTTGATGAAGAAGTGAATGATTTTGATCAAGGGATTATTCATACCTCATCGTCCGTGTAATTCATTGAAGTGGTCGTAACTGAAGTTCCGGTTCTTGTTCTACTCTTCATCTTGCGCCAGCATGATTATGGAGGCTTTTTATACTTGTTTCCATCTTCTTCCCATATTAAATCATCTACTTAAAAATATGCCTTAAGAATAGCCTCCGCTCTCTGTTTTTACCACTTCTTTTATACGTCTTGCATGACCGAACAAACTCCGTTGCTCTCCGATCGAAAAGTCGGAGCTCTTTGTTAAGGATCGACCAAACATTTTTTGGAATCTTCTTCTGGATATGGTCTTGTTCTAGAAGTACTTGTGATTATGCTGACGATGATCATCTGTCAACATCAAGTACTACGAATGTTCTTTACAACTTAAAATTAAATTCATTGTGGTCATCTATCATCGTCTATCTGATGGTCTCTCGTTTTCTATGCAACCGTTGCTCACTCGTGTGTGAAATATGCTTGCTCGTCGGCCCTGCATGATCGGCTGAGAAGCACAAGCAGCCACTGTTTTCATATTAATATCATTAGTCTTTCTACCTCACACTCGATTTTTCTTCTGTTCTTGAGAGTCAAACTGTAAACCATTCTTGATATTAGGCTTAATATCTCAGCACGAAATGCACTGCCGCGCAAGCACTTACTCTAATACAGCTTCACCTTGTTTTTCCGGTTCTTTGTCGCCCTCTCTTTCTCTCTCTCTCTCGCTTATTTTGGGCTCATCTCAAGCCACTTCCAAACTCACTCGAACGGTAATTCTCTCCTCACAAGGTCTTCTGCGAGGACAGCGTAGAGCCTCCCGAAGTGCTGTCGTGACACTTGCCCAGGCCTTCAGAGCTACATGTATCTTGTTTCATACGGCAATATTATTCTTCTCCTTGACAAGAATTGTCAGAATGAGTATAGTACAGCCAGTTCTCCCTGATACTTACACTATCATCCCGAGAATACGACAACAATGATTATCATGATCATCTTCTCCATAAATTCTTTGCATTATCATTGTCCATCTTATATTCTACATGGTTTACTCGGTGACGGTGCCACCCTTTGCATTTCTTCGTCCACGACTTTCACATTTGTTCCATGAATTTTCCGCCACGACTTTCACTCGCTGTTCCACAACAATTCTAAAACTGCTCTTTGTTCCCAACTGTTGCCGAGACATGAAAGGTCCGCTTTCTGTAGTCTATCTTTCGCATCTTCAGCATCGCTCTGGTCTAGAATCTCCACCACCGTCTCTGCTATCGCCGCTGCATTCTTCAATTGTTCTCTGCCACTCTTTTCGGCAAATGTGCGGATGCCTCTCGCGAAAGCGGTTCGTGCCCCTGCATCTGGTAAAACTCGAAGATACAAGACATCGAGGAGAGGGTCGAGATGGGGAGTAAAGGTGTTAGAGGAAGAGGAGAACGTTTCTTTTATCGGTAATGCTTGAAAACCATAATAGAATTCGAATCCAGCTTTTGTTGATAATCATCTTCTTGCTCAAGAAGTCATCTTGTAGAAACAAGGACAATTCTTCGATCCAGTGGTCTCGCACTAGCCATAAAAACGCCCATGATCTCGCTTCGGAATCTATCGAGTGCTTTCGCTGGATCGACCACAATTTTGTCCGAGTTTCCACTCGACTTCACAAATGTATACCAGATATCTTGGTCTTCTCCCTCATTGATGCTCTTGAGGTTCTTTTCTCCTTTTGCTTCATTCTTTTCTCCTCCTTTCTTCTTTTCTCCTTCTCCTTTTGTTGTCGAAACAGCTGTGGAGTTGTCGTGTGCTTCTCTACTTTCTGTTGATTCCGTTCTTGCAGCTCTACTGCTACTGGAAGGTTTTGGCTTACCTTTATTTTCTAGTAGTCGCCACAAAAGGCCTAAAGCATTCAGTTGCACACCTGGATCCTGTAGGAGGTTTCCTTTCTGCACACCAGTACTATCCGCCACACCAGAAACTTCTGCCGAAGAAATTTTGCTGAGGTTGTTCCCTGTGCATGGCATCACGGGGATTGCGATTTTTTTAAATTAGAAAATCATGTATATGATACAACGATGCAATGAACTAATAGAGCCTACGGAGCCATAGGACAAGCTCGTCTATCTTATGTAAAAGGGGAATGACCAGATGGTGATCCTTCAAATTATTCTGTGACGGTGGAGTTTGACAGTAACAGTCAGGCACCCAAAGTACGTCAAGAAACAAAGACGTCAGTAGACGTAGATTTGACTCAGATGAGCAGGTAGACGTAGACCTAGTTGAATCCCTAATTGAAGCAATCCCAGCATCTGCTGCGTAGAATCCATTCTGTTTCTTCCAGCTCACCTTCCTCGGCGTACGCTACCCCAGCATGCCACCAGAGGTGCGCGTGTTAGAGCTAGGTCTTTCTATCCTTCCGCTTCCGCTAGCCCTAGTAGTAATATCCCTATAAGAACTAGATCCTGAAGTAGTTAAAGAATAATGATCTTTTCTGTGGAGCATTCTGGTCAAATATTCTTTCCTTTGGAGGAGCATTTTTCTGGTGGTGGTGCCGGAGGCTTTGACTTACAAGAAACTGGAGCTAAGAACCCGTCTTTTTCCCTTATAAGAACTAGGAGCTGGTGGCAAAGATGGACTTTATCTTGAAGCCTTAAGTGTACAGAAAGACGTGCATTTTTTGTCCCAGAATCAAGCGTATGGAACCATCCCGATCACCTCTATGTATAGTGTTTTCAACTTCCGTTTCCATGTAGGTTTCTATGGCTTCGGTGATCCCCTTCCAGCTCTTCGTTCGATGAAGCATATGCAACTCGCTATGCAGCAGCCAGGGATCGAAAACTCGATCGCCACCTCGGTCTCCAGTATTTGCTGAGGAATGTGGATCTGCTAGCTGGTGGTTCTCAGCGGCACCTTCTACTGCAGGAGCAGGAGGTGCTTCTTCTACAACTACTCCTTTATGATCTACATCTGTAGCTAGAAGACTCCTCAATCCGTAGTAGACACCAGTCATCGATTGCTTCACCTGTTTGCCCAACTCGACAAGTGCTTCCGCGGCTTCCCACCCACTCGTTTGCTCCAAAGCGAAAGCATGCATCGCGTACCAGTACGACATCTGCGCGGGAACTGCCTTCTTCCAAGGCCTATACCTACTTGCATGCCCTGGATGAACATCTTCAGTCGCTTCTTGTAGTCCTTCTTCTTGTACAAAAAAGGCTTCTACAGCAGTGCTCGCCTCTATTAGAAAGATTGATAATCACAAATTGTTCATCTCCAGGAACACCTTGAGGCCTGCTTCTCTTGAGGAACGGGATCGATTCAGAGGCTTCGGAACGAGATACTTGGAAGCAAGATGCATTTACTCTACTAGAACTAGCGGTAGTAGCCTTAATTCCAGTATAAGTTTCGGCTCCCCCAAAAACAAGCCCATTAATTGTGCTCGCTTGCAGGCAAACAGGTCGATCTCACCTTTCTCTGCGGAAAAAAGCTTCACAGCATCTAGGAAAAAGTTGCACGCTTCGCGCAGATCCCTCAACATCCAAGCACGCATTGCCTCTATTAGCGAACTTCTATTGGTGAACATGCTGCTTTAGAGAAGACCAAGAAACCTTATTATTTTGGACATGTAGTTGTTCTTGTTAGTGACTCAAAATTGATACGTCCCACAAGGAAGTGTTGAAATATACATACTTTAGTACCAACAACCAGCAAGCATAACTTCAAGTAACACCTGGCACGTTCTCCACCTCGCGTCTTTGACCCTGAACCTGATGAGGACGTCCTCGAAAATTCCATCTCTTGTACAAGTCGATCAATCTCCGCTAAGCGGAGGTCTCTTTCCGCTTCGTTCCCTGGTCCGTAGACGCCGGTAGATATACGATAGTCCGTTTGTAAAGCAAACACAATCGCGCTTCTCTTTTTAGTTAGAAGAACTAACAGAGAAACTCATCAATCGGATTCTTTTTAGTTAGAAGAACTAACAGAGAAACCCATCACTCAGCAGCAGCATCTTCCTTGGATCTCTACTTTTTCCCTTTGAAAACGGGAGAAAGATCTTGGATCTCTTTTTCCTTTGAAAACCCGGGAGAAAGATCTTGGATCTCTTTTTCCCTTTGAAAACTTTAAAAACCCACCAGGAACAAGATAAAGATTGATGTCCCTGAGGATGGATTCCTTCCTCTTGTAGCCTTAACTTAGGACCGGGTTCTTCGGATTCCAGAATCCTTGCCCACACACAGAAAGGGCGATACTGAAGCACCGCCAACATGTAGTGACTTATCGCGTTAGCGGCAACTTGTTCATCTTGTTGTTTAGCGGCAGCTTCATCTTGTTGTTCATCTTGTTGAGTGGCTGTGCTAATGTCTCCTCTCCCTGTTTCTGCTGCTGCTCCCCCTCCTGTACCAGGTACGCAGCATCCGAAAATGTCTACACGTTCGCCTATTGACATTTCTTCTTGGGTCCAAAATTCAAACCTAAACGAATGAATCAGCTTAAAAACCCTAAAGAAGGACCAGGAACTTATATTCAAAAGTTTGACTAATTGACCTGCTTGAGCTGCAAAGGCCATCCACCAAGAGAGTCCTAGTGACGTAGATCAGCAACGTAGATGAACGCGAACACGGTCTTCTGCAGCAGCACAATTGTAGTTGTAATGACGAGGAAAGCACAACCACAAGAAAGTGCAATTATTGAGGTTCTCAGTGGTGTAGCATTCCTACTCCCTAGGGCAGTTTCTCCGGAATAAACTTCTTGATGTCCATAACGACTCGCATTTTTGAGCAATATTACAGTAAGATGGATCCTACTTTGCAAGTTGTGTCCCCTTCTACATTTGGTAGACGTTTGAGTTTGAGAAAAGGTACACTTTGTTCAAGGAAAGCACTTTTTCATTTGCCCTAAAAAAGATTTTGGTTTGAAACAGCCGCTTCTTATGCATTTACTTTGTTTCTCGGGACGAGTTCCCATATTGTTCAGTTCTCATGAAATATTCAAGCCTGAGTTCACCCATGAGCAACTGCAACTTCATCTTAAGCAGTCTAAAAATGTCAGTTCAGCGAAGATATACATTAGATACTAGATAACGAATACTACTATCAATCGACGGATTGATGGGGTAACTCTACACCGCCTCTAGTGAGTGGTAATTCTACGCCTTCTCTAGTGACTGGTTGCGCTGGATGTAGTGAGTCTGCACCTCCTCAGCAGTGATTCTGCACCTGCTCAGCAGTGATTCTCGAGAGGACCTCTCGTCAGATGTTCACCGTGATGCTACACCACGTTTCACGGGTCTGCCTTGCTCCCAAGACTGGATCGCAACTCCTCCTCGCCTTCTTCTACCTGTTCTTCACCAGGAACCGAAAGCAGGTATTTCCCAATCATGGCAACATTTGTTAGAACTTCTAACACAAAGCTCATCTTGTTGGAGAGTCATCTTGTAGTTGGTTCCCGTCTCTCTCTACTTGAAAAAGGGGGATCCAACTTTGAGGATCCGAGATACTTCTTTGAAAGTGACCTCTTTGTTGGTTCCCGTTAGTTCCTTTTGGAAAAACGAGAAGGTGACCAAGTTGTAGATAGTACCTTGAAAGTAGTCATCGCGTTATATGATCTGGTTTATTCCCTGTGGTCCAAAATAAACGGCAAGACCAAGATGATGCTATAAAATGGAAGATAAACGGAAGATACATCTACATCTACCTCTCTAGTGGAAAATATACTATTGAACTAGCCCCATAAGTTTGTTCCAAGCGCAATACCTCCAAGCGACATCACCACGATTCCAATATACATAGACCACTCCTTAATCATGCACGTCGTGTTGGCAGCAGATCTGAGGAAGGGGGTAAGGTATAGTTTAACTATGCACGTCGTCTATTTGGCGGCACACCTGAGGACGCATGAGTTGCAGTATACAACGAACGTTGAGAAAGAGGTAGATGAAAGAACCCAATGAAGAGATATCGATGTAGTCACGGGGTGAGGGTGTGTTCCATCTCATGCAGTAACTGAGGACAACATCTCGAAATATGCTCACATTACCTCACGTTTGTCTCTTGTGTATCAAGCTCAACCTCAATACTTGATTGGAATAAATCAAAGAAATTATGACTTCTAGATAAAATTGCAAAACTACTCATCAATCAAATCGTACTCTCCGGAGAAATCGATTGGAATCTAGATCTACTCCCGAGAATCAAATGAATAGATGAAAGTAGTACTCTCCGGAGAAATCGGGTGGTATCTGCCTGGACTGGAAAATGCACCAATGATAGAGCTGGAAATCCTTGCCGGATTGACTCTTACGGTCGCACGGCTCCAATTCCTCTGCTTGAACCAGGTTTAGGAAGAAGAAATGGAGGTTAAGGAAAGCACACCACCACCAGAAGCAATTTCTTCTTGAAGTAGATGCCGTCCTCGTCTTCTTGAAGATTGAAGATGTTGTCCTTTTCAATCCTCTGCTAGGCTGCACGGAGGCGGAAACAAGACGCTGTCTGCTAATTGTAGAGCACATGATTAAACAACTCCTTCTTGATGTGTAAGTAGATAGAAGTTGTAAAAATAGTTAGAGAAGATTCTTGTCTGCTTCTTGGGAAGAGGTAGTGGCACTTGTTGTGTATTTTCTTGCTGCAACACTACTAGTTGGATTTCGGTTTGTTTCTACTTCATCAGCTCAGGATTTAATACTAGGTACTACTACATGCAATCACAGAAACACACTAATTCATACTTCCTTAGGTCGCTTAGCGTTTAGGGATCGCGATTGCAATACCTTTATTCCAGCACGCACGAGATGACCATATGACGATGAAACAATCTCTGCCTAGTAAGGTCGAATTCGAGTACAACTACTTTCTTCAACCTAGCTTCGAAACGCGAACCATCGACTACATGCTCAAACATAATGTCGAGGAGGTCGACGAGGGAACAGTTTTTTAGGTAAGTGTAAGTTTGTTTAAGAATAACAATAGGGTAGGCATACCACCAGCAGGATTTAGGCAAATGTTCGTTCAATGATGAAAGCTCTGTAATATTGCAAGGCAACTACCTACTTCGTAGTTTTTCTCACACAGTCATCCCCGTCACCTGTGTTCGCCGCTGGATGTTACTTGATGCTATTTTTGCTCGTGATAACATATTATGATGAACAGGTGGAGCTACTCTTACCGTTTACTTACTTCTAGTATTGGTGCTGGGGACATCACATTCAAATATTTCAACATCGTTTTTTCTTTCATCAAGAACATCAAATTCGAGTTCGTGACTGCTACTTCATAATAAATGTCCTAATCATGATGTGGGAGTCACAACTTGAATTTCAACATCTACACATCAAGTTCATCCTACATCAAATCCACACATTTTCTTCTACACCTTTCAAACTCCCTACATCCCATCATACAACTTCCCTAACCCTAAGTCTACTCTACGACTTCCTCATACACCCCTCCGCCTCCCTACTCTCTTACATCCAACCTCCCACTTACATCCTATTCCAACGTCCCAGCCACACACAATCAAAATGATCCAACCTCCCACCTACATCCACTTCCCCGTTGTCGCTTTCTTGATGGTGAAAGGTAGTGCGGCCATCGAGCCCAACGACAGCGGAATCCACAGAAATAAGCTCGTATAAACAATCCAATCTTTAATGAGGCAACTGTCCCCGTACGTTGTGGACCTGGTATGTGTGAGTGGCTAAGAGTTGGTGGCTTGCAGATAGATTATAGCAGTCAAAATCAAAAATGGCATTCAAAAATGGTGGTATCATTACGAGTATGGAAGGATTTTTCAGATATTCACACACATTCTTAGAAGTACCAGTAACTGACAGGAAGTATGGAAAGATCATGTTGTTTGAAGTGAAGACGGAAACAGGATACGGGGTTGACGACGAGAACAGAGACGACGAAAGTGGAAAATTCAAATTCAAACTGTTTCTTGATGTCGTAGCTAGTTGAACAATTTTCTAGTGTACTGCTACCAGCACTAGATGTGATGATACTACAGAAGAGTACACCTACACTGTTGAATTTACTCCTATTTGTGTACCACAACCACAACCAAAACTAAAGAAGAGTACATCAGCACTGTGGACGAATTTCCTATTAGTCAGTGTACCATCACCATGACTAAATCCAAATCAAATTTCTAGTTTGGGCGTACCACACGAATCCCCTAGTGGACCAGAACTAGATAGAAAGGAAGAGTACTGTGTCCTCACTTCCCCAAAGCACCAGTGGATCAAGTGCTCGTCTGTTTCAGCACCATTCGCATCCAACCGCTTGCAAGGTTTCTGTTTTTTCTTATTAGAGCTTACTTCTATTCATCTTGAAGGGCATCTTTGGAGTGCTTTCCCCTTAAAAGAGGCGCCACAGATGCTTCTGCAGATGAATTATACTGTAAGCCATAATCTTTGTTGCTAGGCCTTGTTCTTGTTCTACTTTGTGGACCACCTCTAAGGCGGACGAGGAAGGGGCATTTTCATCTGTTGGAATAACTTGAACTCTATTTTCTGAGGATGCTGATGCAGCTGGTGAGGATGTGGGTGCAGATTTTTGTTCTCCTGGTGCTGTGCCAAGTACCTTCTGCTGATTGTTTGGTGTCGGTGTCGCAGACGTATCTCCTACTGACTTATGATCATTCTGCTCCTGACCAAGGAGATTTTGTTCATCTTGTACCTGCGCGTTGCGCACCTTATTTTTTTCTCCCTCGTGTCGAAGCATACGCACACGCTGTTGAGCCTGGTCCGTCGTCTGGTGTACGCCAGAGACGAAAAAATACGCGCTGGAGGTGGTAGCAAGGCCAACAAGAAAGGCGCAGTGAAAGAACCGCGATAGCACGCGCATGTGAGGAGGAATCATCTTGATTGTCTTTGTCGTGTGTAGAAGTTAGAATTTCGGACTAGCTTGTTGTACCTACACCTACTCCTCTTTTTCTTATTTATTCACATAGGCGTAAACTGTGGAGGTATCAAATTTATACTCTTTCAACGCAGATAATCCTGACATTCGTTATGCATTTACAGCTTTATTGCGTTCTAAGAACCAAGACATTCTGGCTGTCTGCTAGTTGTAGAGCACATGATTAAACAACTCCTTCGTGCGTAAGTAGATAGTTGTAAAAATACTAGTTGGAGAAGATTCCATTCTACTTGGGGAGAGGTAGTGGCACTTGTTGTGTACTTTATTGCTGCAACACTACTAGTTGGATTTCGGTTTCTACTTGATCAGTTCAGGATTTATTAGTAGGTACTACAACATGTATAACACAAACACACTAATTCATACTTACTCTAATTTTTTGGGTTTGAGGTTAGGTCGCTTAACGTTTAGGAATCGCGATTGCAATACCTTTATTCGAGCACGCACGAGATGACCATATGACGATGAAACAATCTCTGCCTAGTAAGGTCGAGTTCGAGTATAACTACGTACAACTATTTTCTTCACCCTAGCTTCGAAACTCGAACTAACTATCGACTACATGCTCAAACATAGTGTCGAGGAGGTCGACGAGGGAACAGCTTTTTGAGTAAGTTTGATTAAAAATAACAATAAGGTAGGCATAGCACCAGCTGGATGTACACAAATGTTGGTTCAATGTTGAAAGCTCTGCGATATTACAAGGCAACTACCTACTTCGTAGTTTTTCTCAGACTCTCACCGTCACCTGTGTTCGCTGTTGGATGTTCCTTGATGATATTTTTGCTCGTTATAACATATTATGATGAACAGGCGGAGTTACTCTTACTTTTTACTTACTTCTAGTATTGTTGCTCGGGACATCACATTCAAATATTTTATCGTCTTTCTTTCATCAGAAGCATCAAATTCGAGTTCGTGTTCGACTCCTACTTCATATTAAATGTCCTAATCATTATATGGGAATAACAATTTCAATTTAATTTTCAACATGTATTCATCAAGTTCATCCTACAAGTCCACCCATTTTCTTCTACACCTTTCAAACTCCCTACATCCCATCATACAACTTCCCTAAGTCTACTCTACGACTTCCTCATACACCCCTCCGCCTCCCTACTTTCTTACATCCAACCTCCCACCTACATCCTATTCCAACGTCCCAGCCACACACAATGAAAATCATCCAACCTCCCACCTACATCCACTTCCCCGTTGTCGCTTTCTTGATGGTGAAAGGTAGTGCGGCCATCGAGCCCAACGACAGCGGAATCCACAGAAATAAGCTCGTATAAACAATCCAATCTTTAATGAGGCAACTGTCCCCGTACGTTGTGGACCTATTATGGGCGAGTATGAGACAGATTTCTTGCAGATAGGAGAAGTCCTCAAAATAAATGGTGGTGTGAGCATGACTATGGTTACGGAAGAATTCTTTATCTTTTTGAGGTAATGAAATAAGACTCCTGATTGCTGATTAGTTCTTGATGAAGACCAGAACAGCGGGAAGACGAAGACGAGATGAACAGAGAAGATGAAAGTGGAAGATTCATATTGTTTGTAATACATGAAATTTCTAGCGTACCACACGAATCCCCTAGTGAACCATGACTAAGTAAAACCAAAAGAAGAGTAGTACTGTGTCCTCACTTCCCCGAAGCACCAGTGGATCAAGTGCTCGTCTGTTTCAGCACCATTCGCATCCAACCGTTTGCAAGGTTTCTGTTTTTTCTTATTAGAGCTTACTTATAAATATTCATCTTGAAGAGCATCTTTGAAGTGCTTTTCCCTTACAAAAGGCGCCAAAGATGCTTCTTCAGATGAATTAAACTGTAAGCCATAATCTTGGTTACTAGACCTTGTTCTTGTTCTTGTTCGACTTTGTGGACCACCTCCAAGGCGGACGAGGAAAAGGCATTTTTTGTAGGAATAACTCGAACTCTATTTTCTGAGGATGTTGATGCAGCTGGTGAGGATGTGGTTACAGATTTTTGTTCTCCTGGTGCTGTGCCAAGTACCTTCTGCTGATTGTTCGGTGTCGGTGTCGCAGACGTGTCTCCTACTGACTGATGATCGTTCTCTTTGTCATCATTCTGCTCCTAACCAAGGAGATTTTGTTCATCTTGGACCACGTCGCGCAAGTTCTTGTTATCTCCATCGGGTAGAAGCATACTTACACGCTGTTCAGCCTGCTCTATAGTCTGGTGTACCGCAGAGACAAAAAACCGAGTGCTGAGCGTGGTAGCAAGGCCGACAAGAAAGGCGCAGTGAAACAACCGCGATAGCACGCGCATGTGAGGAGGAATCATCTTGATTGTCTTTGTCGTGTGTAGAAGTTGGAATTTTCGACTAGCACTAGCTTGTTGTACTTGCTCCCCATTCACATAGGCGCGAAGAGGTACCAAATTTCTACTCTTTTGACGCAGATGATCCTGGCATTAGTTACACTTACAGCGTCAGTGCTGCACTCTGAGCCATCATGCTGCACTTCACCGGGAATTATATAACAAAACGCATCACCTTGAGGGTGTAGTATTGTTCACAAACAATTACCACGCGACGAGGGGTTGTATATCTACTGACTCTTCGCTAGCAAGTATTTCCATCTTTAGGGGAATCTTAATGGGGTTTTTGCACAGGCATGATTTTCCAGGAGGCAAGCCAATCAGCATCCAAACTTCAAAAATTTTCGCCAAGCTGCTTCTGGCGCTCCCCATGTGCAAAATCCCCACTCCATACGAGCAAGTCTTTCCATCTTTAGGGTAAAATGACTTGTTCCAAGAGCTCCTTTTCTCCTATATTGACAGACAGACTTGGACTTAGATTTGCAGAGGTCGTATGCACCGAATCTTCTCAATTCTCCGATGCAATCGACACGGCCATGACTTAGAGGGCTTTGGTGTCTCCGTTTCCCGTTTGTTCCGCCTTTCTCCCTTAGGAGAGGCAATACAAACGGCAACCGGGAGCGGGAAACTTTTATCCCGTACCTCTAAATGACAGATACTACGAGGAGGACCGAGACGTTAGTGATCGAAGCAGGTCCAGACATGCATCAACCATCATTGTGAACAAGATTTCACCTGGAGGACGTGACACAGACACTTTCCAATAGACCGAAGACTTTACATTGATGATATGAATATTGCCGTATAAACCATAGTTGGTCTGCTCCTCTCTCTTAGTGCTATAGGGAATGCATCTCACAGATCATCTCGGTCCCTTTTTCTTCTTATTTTCTTTGTCCGGACGACTTTGGCGATGCATCTCCTACACGACCCATAACTTTAGTAGGAAATTTCGGGCTCTTAGGCACAGGCGACATCAAACGTAGGACTGACACCTCTTGTTCACGAGGAATGCGAATGGCACTAGTATGCAAATGTTTTGGTGGAAAGAATTCAAAGACTGTATTTGTGATGTTCACAGCATTTCTGTTGGTGAGGCCTGACCTTCTATATTTTCAGAAAAAAAGAATCAAATGAGACTGCTGGATCAGCATCCTATGGAGGTAGGCAAGCTGGGTTATGACAAAACGGCTTATGATATGGTCACAAAGTTGCTCAAAAAATCAACAAGTACTGCTCCTTCTACTAGTACAATTCCTCTTCCTTAGAGCTATTCATATACATCCTCGGTTATTGTAAGCTCTATTTTTCGCGTTGATGTTACGGAAATTCGAATCGCTACTCAGTGTTCATTTTCTTACTAACTACAAATAAACATGTTTCTTACGAACTAGTCAACATCGTCATTCTAGTGATAATAAACGGTGAAACTTAACAATAACAAAGTCATCTATGGATTCTGGCGCGGACGAGAGACTTGCTTCGTGATGCTACAACGAACTAGGGAAACGACTTATCTTTTTGTATATAAAGATTTCGAACTACTTGGTAGTGTTTATGTTATCTCCTTATTCGTAATATGCTCCTACTCCTGTTGCAGTTACTACGTTTCCGTCTATTTCTACATGATCTCCGACCAACCTACTGAAGACCATTCAAAGCAAAAAAAAATCGACATTATTCAATACTGCTTAGGCATACAAGAATATGTCGCGCATGTTTCATTGCGAACCTGATTTTGGTTCTTTTCTGTCTTCAGTAAGAACTTTCCTGTTCTTTCATTTTCACTATTTTTTGATATTTCAACTAGACCCGTACAGCGGCCCCCAACCTCCCCAATCCAGTTATTCCCTACCTAGTCGGCACAACTACTTGTTTCTTCGCATCCTCCTGATTGTACACCATCTGAACGCCTGTTTTCCTCTTGTCTTGGTTCTGCAACGGCAGATATTGTTGGGGTGGCACCGCGTTAATCGGAATTCCGGAAGGCGTGAGACCTTGTAAAGCATATGCAGAGTCACGCAGAGCGAAGATTAGAGATAATTACAATATCGCGAGTCGTCAAAAGCAAAACGTGAATCGTTTTGGTGACACATTGAGGTTGAGCCCAAAGTTGTTATGACACATTCCCAGAAAGTTTGTTTCTGACGATCTGATTGCGAGAAAAATCACTATACTATATCTGTTGAAAATCAATCTCTGTTCATCCTCTGGTGACTACTTGATGCACAAGAATGAGAAACCAGGGGCAAAAAATGTGGGTGTCGTCCGCCTGTTGTCATAAGATAGCCTTCGCACGATAAGCCTCCGCTTTCAGCTCCATACTGTCCATGGATCGCAGGTCTCGGTTGATCACACAAGCGTTTGTTAGGGTATCCACAGCACAATGTGCCCAGACACTGCAGGCGTACGTGGCCTGGAGGATCAGGTGAAAGATAAAGTCAAATTTGATGGAGATGTTAAGTTATCATGATAGAGGAGGAGATGTAGAAGTAGACGTGAAAGTAGATATAGTGCTGTGGTTCTTCTTCTTTAGATCGTCAATATGGTGAATATACAAAAATGGTTCAAATTGTTTATCTTTCTTGTTGATGCATCATGTGGATCGAGGATTACCAAAGTAGCTAAACTGCATTAGAATAAACATGTAAGTACCTGTCGATTGATGCAACTGCTTGGGATTGGTCGACATTTTTGTTTGGCAAAGTCAAACCGACACGCAGGGGGTCCTCCTTTGAAACGCGTGGCTGCTATGCACGAAGGCTCATTTCGCTCAATCCAAGCGACTGTGCGGTGTATGAAGAAAGGGAAAAGAGTGCTTCAGTAAGCAAAGGGAAAACGAAATCATGTCCTTAGAGTGCTTCTGACATCTAAATTCACTGCCTTTGTTCTCGTTTTATCTGCAAAGAACGGTGGAAGAAGTGTACCAGATATTACATAACATTAGCATGCTTCAGTAGATCGCCACTACAATACTGGGTGCCCTCCGCTTGATCGACACTGGGGTACCACTTCCAAATGGCTTTCTGGCCACCCGTAGCAGGATCGACATAATTCGTCTGAAGCAACGGATCGAAATAACCAATGCTTTAGAGAAGAGCCTCGTGGGGGCCGGAGGAGGGTGATGAGTGCAGAAGGAGGGACGGGGACTACAGCTACTACAGGGAGCAAATACAACAAAAACAAATAGCTTTGTTTTGATATCCTAATCATGATAGAAGAATAGTTGTTTTTACCGAATTCGCGCTTGTGGATCACAGTATGTGATCCGTGTCTCAGAGCGTGAAGAGTTCCATCAAAAAGTGATTGAAATTGCAAAAAGAATGCGTTGAAAAAAATGTGATGCATAACTGAAAGGAGTCGTGTAGACCGTCGTTAGCGCGGATGTGTTCGAGCTGGGCGTCAGAGGCGAAGCCTTCACAGACGCCGTAGATGCCTTTTTTAGTACCGCAGACCCAGAGGACTCGGTCTGCGTTTGCTGTGACTGTGTAGACCTCTGCAAAAATGCTGTTCCACCTTTATTGGGTTTTCGAAACAAAACACTGCTGAGAGAAGCTCCGAAGGAGGACGACGTAGAAGATGGAGATGTTGCAACATCTTGATGAACATCTTGTTGAGGTGATCGAGTCACTCCAGCTGCACCAGTCGATACTTGGAGGTATCGTTTCTGCCATTCCTCTTCATTGATTGCAGCAAAGCTTGTCAAGGCCAAGTGGTTGATGGCACTAGCTGTCGTTACCTTTAGAGCAGCGCAAACGATTTCTATTTCATTCCTTCCCTTCGTTTCTTCAGCATCCAAAGAAGGAAGCTGGGAGAAAAGAGTCGGGCAAATTCAAGATATTGAGCCTTAATACTAGATGTGACGTCCAAGCGAGTCCACACAATGCGGATGACCATGCTGTAACCGACAAGGAAGCGCATCTATATGGATTCCGCGGACCGCGTACTCGGTAACGGTTATTTGGAGGCATTCTTTGGAGCTAGAGTCTATTCAGGGCTAATTCAACTACATCACTGGCCAGGAGTCTTTCAGGTTGTTGTACAAATATTAAATTTCATTATATTTAAGTGACCTGCAGTTTCATTGTAGTACGTTGAGGTTTGAGAAGAGCAAAATGAGCTGAATGGATTTATTGGGCACGTACAAGAAATGCATGATCTAATTCATCCGGTTAACTTTCCTCCTTGCGAACAACGTTTTACCACTTTGCTTTCTCCCGCATGTCTTGCGCTTAGACAGTAATGTACTCTGATTTTTCTTATCTCTCGGTTTCCCGCTCTGTCTTCATCTTTTCAGCTGTAATATGTTGTATACGCTCACCCAAGTAGTACAGAAGCGACAGAAGGAGCAATGCAAGTTTCATCCATTTTCCTGACGTCACCCACTACAGCAACAGCTTGTGCGCCTGCTCTAACCAGAGGCCCATTGAATGAACAGACGTTCTGGTCCTCAGTCGTTTCTATTGCCAAAGCCAACATCCATGGTCGTCACGAGTCTCATATCTGAATCGGAAAGAAGAAGACCTACACTTAAAAAATCTATGATGTCACAACATCATCATCAACTACATGTTCATACGGCTTTCGTGACATCATAGGACATGGCAAATTTCCATTCTCTTCGAAACTCATCAAATGTGCGAGCACCCGTGATGTACCCAAACGTCAAGGCGGTAAGGCCGAAACAACCACCCAGCAAGGTGACTTAGAAGACCACGAGGCTGGAGGAATAGGAAATGATAAGGACAACTTACGCTGAACGTACTAGTTTTTGTGTTTCATTCCGGTAGGTGAAGGTTGTATTACTGTAAATGAAAACTAGTAGAAGTACTTGTTGTAGATTTTTTCACCCTTTTGACAACCAAGAGTTCTTTGTTTTAGTTCAATATGTACAAAATGAAAATGAAAAACCGGTCTACATCGTCATAAGTGGCAGGCGCGAGGAATAGAAATGCGACTTCACCTGGAGTCAGTACGGATGACACGCGTATATCCTCTGGACGTAAGGGACGATGTAGTGGCCTCTTGTTGAGAAACTTGTGCTCCACAGAATGGTTGAGAGCTGGGAAAAGCATGCTATCACAGTCGTCGTCAAAGTCGTCGTTTAAATAAGGAGGAAGCTTGCCTGCTCTTGCAAGGTTACCTGTGCCAGCTGTACGTGTACCGTCCGCCACAGATGATGTTGATGATGGGAGATGACCTCCTTGTTGTAGATGCTGAGCCTCCTGCTTTTTTACACAGCCTTGTAACTGGTTCCCACTGGCGCCGTAGCAGTTTGGTGAAGCTAGTACACCCGGAACCTGATGATCCACTACCGCAGTCATACAACTACCTCTTCCTCTTGCGGAGATGGTATTATCTCCTAGTCCTACGGGGGCGGGTGCACCAGTAGATTTGTTAAATTCACGGAGAAGTTGTTGTCGTTTTCTGCGAAAGCCGTAGACGCCAGCAGCACCTCCGAAGGCGATAACAGCAACACCTGTAGCGAGGCCCTTCAGCTGACTGGTACTAGGGAGAAAAGACGAAGGCGAGGTAGAGGACGATGTTGAATCCTCATTCTTTCTGTAGTCGGGGTCATTCTCCAAGGACACGAGAGCTTGATTTTGATTCATCAACATGATAACAGAATCGTACAAAGGTACTTACGTGATGAAAAGGAACATCGTAATTCTACAATACAATAAAATACAATTAATCTCGCACAAAGTTCAGTGCAGACTGTCTACTACAGAGTTTCTTGTATTGCAATTCCACAAAGAAGAACCATCAAGCAGAATGCTTTCAAAGGATGCTTACGAGGACTCGTCATCAAGGATTATTCATCAACATCGGCATCCTTTGACACATTCAGTCTTTCTGCGGAGGCCGGTGCAGAGGTGCCATTGTCATCGTAGACAATCTTCGTGTAATCGAATGCGGTTGAAGATCTTTGAATCCCGGTTTCATCATTCATTGTCGTAAGCTGGTATCAAATAGAGACAAATCGGTTTACTTGAATCGCCGTACTAGCATAATAGACACGTAATGCTACTCCTGCGGGTTCATGATCATACTTATCGTACAAAACTACCAACCCAACGGTTGAGGTGGTAGTTTTGTACGCCTCTTTTTATTGGAGCTGGAGGACGACGATATAATTATATTGGGACGCTCCCTAGTTAGGCAGATCACTATACTCTTACTCATTAGATTTGTAGTTTCGATACGTGACAACATATATTTTTTCCCATTACGATAATACATCTCCAGTAGTGGGTATTTTTCAGAACGCGTATGTTCGGGCCAAACAATATGAGCTATGTAGATGTTCTCTTTTCCGATCCGGGTCAAATAATTCTTCACGATCCTAAGACACACAATCAATATTCATCACAGTCTCTAATAATATGTTGAATTCATAATCGCGTTATGCTGATTCTTCTTTGAAAGATATTTTTTTTGGTTATAATTCTTGTACTATGGAAGAAAAGTAGACGTGACTAATCTTATTTGAGAGACGATAGATACACTAAGTCTAATCTTGTTTGCGTGGCCCCCCAGGGGAACGCGACATCACAAGAGGAAGCGCGCGGCGGAACATGTTGAGCTAAAAATGAGATAAGTATCTTCTTTGTGTACTACTAAAGCATTATCTTCTTAAACTTTGACTAGTGGTTAGTGCCGCATGCTGACCGATGTATATCACGTGTTACAACGTTTTTTGCTATTCTCAAAAATGAAAAAGAAAGACAATATATGGGTGGAGACAAACTAACTAGGAAAAGACAATCTCAATATTTATTTAACACTGCAGATGAAAAATTAATTTTGCTACAAGTATTCATTTCTCGGAACTCTTAATCGCCCTACTTGTAGGATGGCGACCACGTCGACAACGACACTTTTAGTTTTATCACTATACAACAATAATTCCCTATCAACATTCTTCTCATTTAAATATATTCATATTCTTCTATTCTTCCATCATACTTCTATGCTATTCCACGGCTCTACTTGGATAGCTGTTCGACGTTGTCCACCACTTCGCTGGCCAGAGAGGGCCACTCGCCAGGATTCAGCATTCGCCTTAACATCGAACGGCGGCGGTGGTTAGAAGAGGTAACTTCACACTTTGTGGTTGTGTTTTGTAATCCATTGCACCGATAATTACTAGAATTTGAATTTCAATTCCTGAAGAGCCACCGAATGATCATTGCCACGACTGGTAGGATCTAGGATCTACTCACTTCTTCTTGTACTACTTATTATGATATAAATATGTCAACTTCCTCGACCTCGAGATCGAGTAAGGACCAGGCAGGTACCATCTATGTTGCAAGAAAATCCAAATCCATAACACTCGATTCCCTCTTACTTCCGCACACGAGTTTACCATCATGGTTCTGTATCTCGCGGTTGTAATCCTTCGACAAGCAGTTCGCGTAGACACCCTTGTAGGATGGACTCTTCTCCGCTGTGCCGTCTGACTTCGCACAGAGTTCGCATTTCAAGTCGTCCTTCTTCTTGCCGGCGGAGATGAAAAAGGATATTAATGGGAAGGGCATGCCGTAGGTGGGAATCAAAGCTGTAGTCAAAAAAGGAAAAGAGAACAATCAAAAAATCTCTACTTCTTCATAACCATCTTGCAGCTGAGACACGAGTGATGGAATCCACCTTCCGGGATATCCGTTCCGTGGGGCCTGGGTTTGCACTGCAACTGTCCTCGAATATTGTCAATCTGAGTATCTCGAATCGCCTGCTTTACCCATTCTTTATCCTTGGTATTAATGCCTGCTTTTATTGCTGCGTTGACGGCGTCCTGGGAAAGGAGGTGGAGGGGGAAAAAGATAGTACATGGCTAGAGGAAGAATGATGATCAGGTGCAGAACGGAACTGAGTTTTGACGTTAACCAAATACCAGAACCATTCAAACAAAGTTGAACTTAAACGTAAAAAAGTCTAAGTACATGCAATAAGGGGCAACCGGCAAGGTCGACATGTCCCTCACCCGGCGTGTGGCCCTGTCTTCCTTCGGGATATTAGAGCAACCTTCTTTCTAAGATGAAGCATGTAGCCTGATTCTTCTCGTTATTACTCTTCGGTCATTGCTCTCTTTGACCTAAAGATGAAAAGGCTGCTTAGGAAAAGTTGTCCCTACATGATCTTATTCATCAGCCATAAGTATGTGTGCACACCAACAGCGTCTTTTTGATGTCCATCTTTCGGTGGAGGTCGTTCTTCTGTCCATTCGGATGCTCGATGAGTTGGCATCCTTCAGCACTGTGGAGATAGCTTCCGCCAGGAAGAAGCTTCGCACTAGGCTTGGGCCCCAAAGCAAGGTTACCAGAAACTCGCTCGTTGTACAAGTTCTGATACCTGGAGGAGATGTTTGTTGGAGGAGATGTTTGCTGGGATACTCTTACATCCCTCACGAAACCTGAAGAGGAAAAGACACATAGCTTCCTTGTCTCTACTCACTAGTGACGCTGGGTGGTGTCGTGACCAAGAAATATTAAATCGGAAAAGTAGAAGCTTCATCTAGAAGACCTGGCAATCTCCTGTTGTAGCTTCTTTTTTTTCTCGTCGCCCTCCAGTTCAGGCTCGTCCGCAGCCATCGGCGTTGTTGTTGTCGTCACCGAGAATTTACGCGTGTCCTCACTCTGAGCACCCGTAATCGTCCAACAAGGATTAGAGTGTCATAAGATCGTTTCTCATCTAGTACTTTTTATGTTAATAGAATGAGAAGGAAGAAGATGGAGAGTGACTATAGCTCAACACTGGCCATAACAAACCCGTGGAAACCGATTTCCCTCAACCTAGCCAGCTGACCCGGGTACGTGCCGGGACAATACCTGGAAAAATTGCAAAAAATAACACGTCTCTGTTGATGGAAGAACAAGAAACTCAGCTACTGGACAGCACTCAGAATGTATTATATATCTTTTCCAATACTCACTGCGTCAATCAAATATCAGCAAGCTACAACGGCGCACCTCACCACTGTCTATGTCTATCTCTTAGTACGTACTACTTAGATCTATTTCTATTACAACCACACTTAAGAACACGTACATATCTACTACTTTTACTTAAGATTCATTCCGTACATCTAGACAACAACCAGATTACCCACTTTCTAGTACATCTAGCAGACAGAGGACTGAAGGGTACCAGCTTCCCGGCGCATCGCATTTCCATCGGTTGACGTCAAACCCTAGGCGTTTTGACTTCGTTGAGACTTTACCGATTTTCAAAATACGCACAGCGTCATTCTTGGACCTAAATACTAGTTTGTATCTGCCCTTCAAAAGTGGATTGCTTTCCATGTTGCCGCCACCGTGGGTAACCTGAGGAATGAAAGTGATCATGAGATAATATCTTATAAAGTAAGATACCTGAAAGTACCAGAGTAGGATATTATGACAGGCTAAAGTACAGTGTTGCTGAAGTAGAAGATGCACCTTGTCATCGTCGAAAAGGTGACGTTCTCCAAAAGAAAAAGATAATTTCTAGCAGAATTCGAATACCTGATACATGAAGGAATTGGCCATCATAGGGGATGGTTTTCCATAGTCCTCCCACGTAAACTGCCAGCACATCTTGTCGTAGCAATGTCCCTTGTACACACTGTTCGCAATCCTAGCCATGTGGGTCGCTTTTGCTAGATCTGTGTGGAGGGAGGTGGAAGGAGGTTAGTAGAGAAGAAGTACTTCTATGCGTTAGGCTTAGGATTTGTCGCGGCGGGTCCAATTTCGAGGAAGATCTTCGAAATCACAATACTTGGAGGTATTGGTACTGGGCAGAGGAGGACTCTAACCCTGGTACACTTTCCTTCATGTTCAAAGCAAGCAACATAAGCAAGCAGTACCCTCATTGCTCCACACCAGCACGTAGTCTGCCCAGTGTCGCATAATAATGTGCGACTCTTCGACCGGACTCGTCAACGTGAGGCCTAAAAAGGCAAGATGTTCATGGTTCCAGGTGTTGCCATCTGCCACTGTCACTCTCTTGGAAATACCCGCAAGCTGGTAACCGTAATCCCACCTGACAAGGGGTTGGCGTTGCAAAATTTCGAGTTGACATTGATAAGATCTCTAAGAGATTTTACCTACTTAACAACTTATATGTCGAAGGCGGCCATCAGTACCAAGACAAAATCCTGTCATTCTCTTTCGTGTTTTCCCGAATCCAGTAATAGGCTTCGCGGTAGTCGTCCTTCAAGGTTCCATCTTGATTCATAGACACGATCTGCGGATGAGACAAGCCGTATTGAATCATGTTGTAGCCCGCACCCAAGAAATGCTCCATGTGACTCGGAAAACCGTAGCGCAAAGCTAGTAATAGCGCAATGACGGAACGGGCAGACAGAAGCGTAAGTTTCGAAGCGGTACGGACGCCGGTGCCCGGATTAGAGGTGGATGGAAAGTACAATGTCAATGCGGCTTGTTGCGGAAGATGATTGCTGTACTAGTAAAAGTCTTTTCTGAATAATCCTAAAACTCTACCTAAGTGGATCTGAGTTCTGTATCTGTTGTACCCACTACAAGTAGTAGAACATTCAATTTGGTCGACCAAAAACAAGGTCAGAGCCTTAATTTGCGTGACGGTTTTCACGAAGCACTTGAGTGCCGCCACGTTTTTGCAACTACTGCTCTTGCAACCTTCTTCTGAGGACTTTGCGTTTGAGTCCTTCTCAGCACTGGTTTCTTCTGAGGCAGAGTTAGCCTTGTTGTTTTGCGCATCAGACTTCGCCACAGATGTACCTCCAGCCTTTTTGTTGTCTTTCTCAACATTACCAGGTGTTACCTCCTTCACCAACATCAGTGCAGCTGCTTCCAGCTCACCGCCATCCAACGGCTTGTCGGTTCGCATGACGTATCGCACTGGTGCCAGAATCCATTGCATAACGCGACCAACCGCAACCGCAGAGAGGATTGGGGCAGTGGGTCCCAAGAAGATCATCAGTCGTGCCATCTTCAGAGCGAAAGCGTAGGTCGCGAGACCGAAAATCATCACGTACAGACCACCCGTGGCCACTGGCGTGCCTTCGGAAAGGGTAAGGAGAGGTGCAGAAACCCTTTGTGAGAGGTTAACGATCACCTGGCGGCACTTCGTCGTCAAACGGGAGGATGAACTGCCGGAGGTTAGAAGTAGAGGACAGGGAGGACAAGTCAGTGCGACTGATTTCAATTTTTGATCCACTTCTTACTGTAGTTAGACTGCGGTAAAGCGGCCCAAGCAGCTCTAGTTCTAGTTGTTTGCAAAGGAATACTTAGCTGTGCTGCAGCAGAGAAAGATCACATATTGACTCTTCCATCTCACCACACGACACCGCCCACTCTTCAACAGTCATGATTGCCAAAGTTAAGTATTTACATCACATAAAGTCGCAGCACTATTCCCACACGATCTTGCTGCGACCTGCAATAATAATCCGGAAAAGAGCCATCGCGCTGCCAAGCAAAAGAGATCGAAGGCTAAAAACATCACACCGACTGGTGCAATATACATGGTTCGGTCTAACATCTTCCACAGCGCTGCTGGGTTTCCCGGTTGATGTTCCGAAACGGAATCGCAGATTAGAAACGGATTGATTGATTGATTGATTGATTGATTGATGTACCTATTCCTGAGGTAATCACAAGAGCTGGAGCGTTGAATCCTTTGAGTAGAAGAGCACTCAAAGCTAGTAGGCGTAGGGGTCAGCGTCCTCAGATAGCCAACAGGAGGAGTTCTTCTTCCTGCTCAAATAGTCGAAGGCCTCAAACCAGTGGCGTGTTACTCTTGTTGTAAGTACTTACTTAGTAGCAGTTAGTACTTGGAGGTGTGTCCATCTTCATAAAATGAGTGGATTCCCCGTCTTCGTCGCGTGTGCTCCGAACAAGGCCTTCACACGACCGGAAAGTGGGTCGAAGAATAGCTCCATGATCTTCAGGATTCGACTGTTGTCCACATCCGTTGCAATCACCGCACTAACCGCTGCCATCAGGACGACTGAGAAAGCCGAAAAAAACGACAGGAGTTGCTTATTCTTCTGACTCTGCTTCTTATTCGCCAAGGCCTCTGCTTTGGTAGAGAGCTTCTTCTTCGATGCTGCACCATCCTTAGAAGAGGCGTTCCCTCCATTTCCTCCCTTGGTTGCCGCCATCTCCACAGCACTGTTGCCATCTGCAGCCTCTCCCGATGCAGTAGAACTACCTCTTGGCGATTTCGAACTCGGGCTTCGACCCAAAAACACCTTGCCAAACAGGTCTGAAGCGTCCTCCATGTAACCTTTGTACTTTAACGGAACCAAACTCTTCGTCTTCGCCGCCACAGCAGTCTTCAACTTATCCGCAATTCCACCAGCTTTCGCTCGCATACTCGAAAAGAGCCCAAACTCGGCAATTCTTGCGCCCAAATTAAACTTGTCCATGATGAAAACGAGCTGCAAAACGACGAATACCGCAAGAGGCATGATCTGTTCTAGAGACTGAAGAGGTGCCCATGAAACAACGGGTACCAACATCGCGCCGTAAGTGCCCACAACGTAGAAAATCGTGTACGACTCGTACAACGAAGTGTACAGACAAGAAGATCCAAAAACGTTACTTGTAGAGAGATAAGCAGCGCCACCCTTGTTCACCTTGGATGTTGACGTAGTCGAACAAATAGCCCCTTCAACAGTCCTTGGACTCCACATTTTCGTTCGCTCTAAGAACAGCAGAGCAGCTGCATGGGCACCGACCAAGTTGATCAGAAAAACGTAACCACCCCAAGCCGCAGCCATATTCGCGTGACTGCAGCCAGCCAAAAAAGCCGCAGCGTAACGGACAATCGTTCGCGAGTTCACGAGATAGGAGAAGACACCGGTATAGGAATTAGAGAGGTGGTAAGTAGGGGGAGATGCGAGCAGGCGATGTGAATGGTTTTTCAGTTGTAGCAATAGTCAATGGATATCGAAACGCTAATATAATTGCACTTACCTGCGGTTACTGTCTTCGGTTAGGTGGTTGTCATCATAAATCCCATCCCCGCGGCCGAATCTGAAGTCTCCCCACCCGGCAACGCCGCATACTTCAAGCTCAAACACCAGAAGTAACCACACGCACACAGAGGTGCGATGGCGACACACTCGTTGTCGAACCCTCCCCCAACAGATCGCTGAGCGTGAGCCGGAATCACGCTCATGAAGAACATAGCCGCTAAAAACGTAATCGCACGCGTCAGATGTCGGACGTAATCGGAGTGATCTACTGGCTGGGCCACGGCTTCGGCGGCCAGGAGACCCGTAAACAAGGTTGCGATCCACCCAAAAAAGGCAGGAACGTGGCAAGCCACTTGATTCAGCGTCCAGCGGTATCGGAAAACATCGAAGATGCGCTGAGGAGCATCGAAGACGAGGAAGTCTAAGTTGTCCTCGACAACCCAGCTGATCCCCGTCAACGCCTTGTTGAATTCCCTACGACACGTCGCCTTGAAATCCTTCCACTGCTTCTTCGATAAATCGAAGAAGTACCTCGACAACGCAAAATACTCTGTCACAGACGAGGTCAACAGGCCCTGCAACATCGATCCCAAAAATTCCTTGCTTCCACCCTTTCCGGCAGCTTTTCCGGTTTGTTAGACTAGTAATTTGTTGGATCTGTAAATGAGAAGTGGTTTCCTCGTCTAACCTGAACCTCCTGAATCGGCATCCGGGAAATACATACCGGTACAGAGTGATCATCATGTGCAGAAGCATGAAGCAGAGTCTGTGTCCTCTAAAATAGCTTTTCATAACTCTTCTCACCCTTGCCATTTCCGAAGACTCTGGGTAGAATCATCCCAGCAGTAACTGTGTCCGCCACCGTGTAGAGGGCTCCACCAAGACCCTCCACTGTTCCAGCATTCAAGCCGGTGTAATGGTCCACTAATCGGGCGGGATGCAGGATATGAAGGTGGGAGCGAAGATCAATTCTGAAAGTTAAGTTCTCTGTAATGACCTCAACAGGGTCGTCATCAGCAGTGATGATTTATGGCCAATTATCGAGTGACTTATGGCCAAGCGACTAGGAGTAGAACAAGTAGGTCGTACAATCAAGAATACTTATAAATATACGGACAAGTAGCAGTAGTCTATCACGTTCACGTTCACGTGGTTAATAAGAGCGAGGAGAGTTGTAGTAAAATATAAGTCCGTTCCTTCTTCATAACAAGTCATATCCCCTTCCTTCGCCGATTCCCCAAAGACGGACTGGTACATGCGCTTGGCGATCTTCTGGTACCGAACGATACAATTCCGAGGCTTGCCCTTCGGTGTGCGACAGGAGTACAGGATTCATTAGAGATTTTCAAAAAAAAAACAGAAACTGGGATCATGATACCGAGATGCTTAGCATCTAGAAGATGGAGTAGAAAAGCTGGCCATAAATGGACTTTACCCACTTGGAAACCATGTCTGTTTCCTCGGATGTATCCAACACGTCCTCTGCAATCGATTCCCTTGGTATTTCCGCAATAGCAGTCGAGTTCTTCTTGTCCCACTCTTTGAATTAGAACTCACTATCTACAGGAGTCCAGCACCTTTTGCCTCATCCGTGCTGTCCAGTTTTCTAAGTGCTTCGAAAAACTGAAATAAGCGAGTAAATAGTACTGAAAATAAGGGAGATAATGAAGAAAGAAGAGAAATGTAGTCGCGACTCTTTCATTTCAGTCAGTAACTCGCTTATTTTAAGTTTTCGATTACTTGAAAACTAACAGCTCAGCCTCAGTCACAGATAAGCTAAAATGTGGATTAAGTGAGGGGGCCTTAATTGAACGCCTGGGTGACGAGACCTTGTTGCTGTTTGCTCACCTGTCCAGTAACCTTGAGCAGGCGGTACAGGGCGACGGTGGTGAGCTGCATGCCAGGGTAAATGGTAGTTCCGACCGGACGTCCCATGGGGTACCACACCAAATGATCGAACCATTTGAAAAAGCGCTCGTTAATGCTGTCGTGCCAAACACCGAGGGGGAGTTAGAGCAGGATAGTAGAAGGGAAGTTGTTCTTTTGAAGATGACAAGATTCTTGACACACACTACTCGAACATGGCATGCACCAGATGAAAAGATTGACACTGGGGTCGTTGATGCATCCATGAGTTTGTCATTGTTCATAGAGCAATGCAAAACCAGCTACATCAACTTAACCCGATCACTTTGAATCTTCTCAAATTTATCAACTTCTCTCGTTCTCACTCTCAAATCCATAATCAAAGTATTTCCTGCCCAGACGCCAAGCTAAGGTAGACTTTAGCGCTGGATAAGCATCTAATTGACGAACGAGCCAAGAAGCGGCAGGTTTATCGGTTTCTTGGTCTTCAGCCAACTCCCCTTCCTCCTTCGAATCCACCACCTGTGCATCCAAAAACACGTTACGACGAGAAGCATTGTCGGCTGTTGAAGAAGATGTTGCGGTTGGTAGAACTGTTGTTGGAGACTGTTTTGGAGAGTAGTTTCAAGAAAGTAGTTTGAGTTTCAAGAAAGTTGCTCATGTAGTTCTCTGACGAGGATGAATAATTTGAGTACTCTTTCCAACTGGAGAACGAAGAGAAACTCTTTCAAATAACTGGAAGATTAAGATAGTAGACTTCTTGGGAAGATTTGTTCCCATACTATGGGAAATAGGTACCAGCAGTCGGTTCAACCACTGCCGTTGCGTTGTCTGGGTTCAAAAACTCCTCTTTCTCCCCCAACACCAGAGACTTGTAACTGGCACGCATCTCTAACTCGAAATGCTCGGTTGCTCGGTAATTGAACCACGGATCAAACTCGTGAATAACGTAACCATACTTGCGAATGGCGAATAAACGCACGTCGTAAGCGAACCAGAGTAGCTGCAAGCTCAAGGCGATAAGGACTGGGTAAAAGAAACAGAGGAAAAAGGCGAGGAGTTAGAGGTGGAAGAGGCAATGCTTGTTCTTTTGCTGTGAAGAAGATGTGCTGTTTGTTAAGAACGATCCTACGCTTCTATTTGTATCATGTGTTAACGATGTAACTATAATAAGTAAGTAAACAAGAACAACGTTGAAGTTTCATTTCATAAGAGGAGCAACAAACCCGGACGGCCGACTTTGTGAGCCGAGCGCCAATGCAAATGAGACCCATCGTTAAGCGGGTCAGGGGTCCTTTCTTCTCCTTGGTATTTCCCGCAGAAGACGCAGGGGCACCACCGAATCCAAAGAATGAAGGTAAAAATTTCGGTCCGTTTTCCTCTTTTGGGGATTTACCGTCACAATCAACTCCACCCCCAGCCTGAAGCAGCGTCAAGGCAGAAAGCACCTCAGGCACCGACATAGAGGAACTTGAGGGACACGTTTAGGAAAGCAAGAGGACTTGAGGATGTCCTCTCTCGACGAAGGTGTTAGCAGGAAGTCGAAGTTGTAGGACGTAGTAGAGGTAGAAGAAATAACAGGTTCTCGTTCGCGTGTGTGAGGATTTCCTCGATTTGATAGAAGTTTCAAGGACTAGTGTTGGGGGCAAGGTTATTCTTATCCAAGCAACTAGGAAATGAAAATTCTAATTCTAGAAGTAGAATATCATGTGGCTCCTAACTAAGAGGTTTAGGAGTGGACGAACCAACTAATTGAAAGTAGGAAATTTTTCAACACCAGGATCAGATCACGCAACTTGTGACTTCACCTAGCTATTGAGGGTTGTTGGAGAACCAATAACTCTATTTCCTAAGCAATTTTAGAGAGGTTGTAATTGTCGATGTCGTTTTCAAGAATTTCAGACGTAAAAGGTAATAGAAATAGTTCGTGGTCGAAGACTACGCTTAGCTCTTCTACTAAGTAGTATAGATGACGGATTAAAGAACAGTCCACGGATGCGCATGCTATCCGTGCATATCCAAATCCACCGTAAACATGAGACACTGAACGACATGAAACCAGAACCAGTACCTGGATCTTCATCACGAAAGCACACGGTTGAACTCTCGTCTTGATCTTCTCTCGACATATGGTGAGGTGAACTCGACAAAGCCACGACCACGGATCAAGACCAGTATAGGCCCACCTTCTGAACATGCAACTTTCTACTTGCATGCATGCTACAGAACACTTGGAGATTTTTCTGAAAAAGATAGTGGTCCCACAAACCGCTTTTTCCATATCCATTATTGAAATTTCAAAAAATAACAACAATCAAATTCACTTCTCGTGCAGAAGCGGAAGTACCATCAGTATTGCGCTACGGGAGGTGTGCTAGTACTTGTTCTGCCCACAACTACAGTTACTTACCTCGACCCGAGGTTTTTCAATTGAAGTTTAGATGCCCAAGCCCATGGCCATGCCACTAGAGTTCAGCTATATCACATTGAGACTTATGTTAATGATGAACCATCTCACTGCGCGTCAATCAGGCTTGTCGACGGTGATTGGGACGTAGAAGCATTGGTTGTCTAGCACCTTTTTGTCAACACTTCTACGACGACTCTCAACAACGACTTACCACTCAGGAATGTTGTGATGTAGATGTAGTTCCCAACTATGTTAATTTTTATGTCTGATCCGTGAGAGTAAGATTGTTCTTATTCGCGTGTTCCGTTAGTGAGACTTCTTTTCGTTCACTTCACTGATGTGTGTGCAGCCGTTCCACCTATGAGCAGACGAAGAACACTCTAGCAAAAGATCATATCTTCACCTTTTTTATGCGTATCATCATCTCTTCAACCTCTTTTTAGTCCTCTGGGTCGTACAACATCAAGAATATTAGTTGTTGAAAAGAAGGAAAAGGGAACAAACGGAATCGTCTCTCCTCTAGTATTCTAGGCTGTTCGTGCCAGTAGAAGCTCAGCTAGCTGCCCCTTCAAGAAGACTGATGGGCCACATCCTCATCCACCTTCTTCAACATACTCCTCCATCAGGCAGCTTTATACTCCCTTGGGCACATGATTTCCATGTCCCAATCGAACTTCCCTTGCATCACGCCTTCGATATCTGCTACTGTTCGCGGAACATTGTTCAGGACTTGTGTTAGATCTAAGATAATGATCCTGATCGCAGAAGTTACTAATTTAGACACGCAATCGCAGTATGAAGATCATGTTCGTGCAGCTAGACAGGTCAAGACTCGACTACATTCTGAGTGAAGTTTGTACTACATGTGTCCTCGGGCATTCATCCACTTCTACTTAATAGTCTAATTTACTAATTACTTCTATCCCTCTTATCATGATCCTCCATCTACTTAGTCTAATTTACTATCCCTCTTATGATCCTCCATAACCTGCATCCCTCTGCAGTGATAACTACGTCATCCTCGATACGGATTCCACCAACTTCTTGCGCCAGCTCTAGAAGCTCCGCTTGTGTCTTCAGCATGAATTTGCTCAATTCGGGATCCTCGAAGACTGCTTTGATGCAATGCGGAATAAAGTAGAAGCCTGGTTCCACTGTAAGAACGAAGTTCTTCTGCAAGACGCGAAGGATTAGAATGGATGGTAATGGTAGGTGCTGTAGGAGGGTTGTGGAGGTAGGACCTTGTAGTGGAGAGAAGATGAAAAAAGTTCTTGATGAGTTGTACTAAGTAATAGAATACCAAGTAAGTCGTGTGCATCACAATTTAGACTTCTCGCGTGTGCCCAACATGTGCATCGATTTAGTGCTCGTGGTGTATCGGAGGAGGAGGACAACTTACTTACTCCCGCAACGTACTCTACGCCAATCAAATAATAATCCACAACTTTTTCCATAAATTCAACCTCAAGTTCTCCTTTATTGCAGGATAGGTTGCTCGTGACTCACCAGGAACGTAGCCACCCACATCGTGGACGGCAAGTCCTAACATGTGTCCTAGTCCGTGTGGCATGAACTTCCCCACTAAATTCGCTGCGAGCATCGCGTCTATATCTGCATCGGCTTTGAAAATGAAGCCGCGAAGTTGCTCAAGCAACGTCCGCTGGGCTAAGCGGTGCATGTCGCCGTATCTGATCGTTCGCGTAGAAAGTTTGGATCTTCCGATTCATCGAGACTTACTTAGGTAAAATGAGAATCTTCATACTCACACTCAAACAGGAGACACTGACATCACTCACAAGTCTTCTAGTATAGAACGAAGTATTCGAAAAACTGAAATAAGCAAGTAACTGATCAGAATAACCGAGATACTGATGAGAAGGAAGGATAGCCTTGATGTTGAGAGGGCTGCCTCCCTTATTTCAGTTAGTAACTCGGTTATTTTGAGCTTTCGAATACCTAACTCCTTCCTTCAACTTTCTTTCCACCGTTTCCACTGCTGTCCATACTGCTTCGTAAAGGGTCTTTTGATTCTCGCTAAATTTCCCACTCACCGGAAAGGAACAGGTAACATCTGCCGAATAGCAATGATACTCAGCACCCATGTCGTGGAGCTTCATTTGCCCGCTTATAACAGCTTCCATCTTGTTTAGAAAAGAGGTTTTTCTTTTATTCGGGGATGATGTTCTTGATCGATGCCGATGATGATAGATATTGTTAATATCTGTTCTTGCTGATTGCCTGCACTAGCTCAGGCTCAGCATATTTCAGCTAAGTTGTAGTCAGGACCACAACTAGTACCAGACGAGAAACTGAAACACTTCTTTTGCTACGTTGTAGTCAGGACCACAACTAGTACCAGACGAGAATAACTTCTGAAACACTTCTTTTGCTACGTTGTAGTCAGGACCACAACTACCAGACGAGAAACTGAAACACTTTTTCTGCTACATGTACATCTTGGTCTTGCAAACCAAAAACCTACACCTAGAACATGTAACCATAAATTTGGTTCCGCGGAATGCCCATAATGCAAAACGGCAGCTCGTTCGCCACTAGGACAAATACAGGAGTAGCCGACTCTAGCACAACCCCGTAAAAAGGATTGGTAACGGAATTCAGCTTCCGAATGATACTCGTAAGCGGAGGATGAAGACGAGGCGGCGGACACGACCTAGTAGGTCATTATACATTCCGATTCAGGATGACACTTTGAAGTTGAACGAGATCAACTACATGAAAAAACCAGTTGTAGAACTGTACTTCTCGTTTATGCTCTCCCGAGGAAAAACAGAAAATATCGGCATGCAGGTATTTATATTTTCAGTTTTCGAGTACGTCGGCTCATATTACGACAACGAATACCTTCTTCATCACTTCCAAGTGCGCCAAGGAACTGACTCGGCATGCAAACTCGATCACCTTCACCTCCTCATCGTCCTTCACAGATCGGCACTCGTTTATGCTATGCCAAACTTCAGCGTTCCGTTCAGGCGCACCCATCTTCTGCAAGACTTTAGCAGCCTCATCCCCTAGCTGCAAGTCTGATAAAGATGCTAGCGCTCCTGCTTGGATTAGAACATATTCTTCTTGCAGTACTAGACATCATCTTCTACTTTTTTACACACAAAGACAAATTCTTTTTTACAACCCTCATAACTCCGATGACGACGTCTCGCCACTCCCTCCACTTCCACTTGTTCCCATTGCTCCAACCGCTGAGGCTGAAGGCAACCCGCTATCCAGATTTACACCTAGAGGCGTCACGAATTCCTCGAAGGAACCCAGGAAACTCTTCAACTCGTCAGAGCCTAGGTAAAAGACGTTTTGTTCTCCGATTTCATAGTACTTCGCGAACCAGGAGACGCCCCTGATTGGTCCGAGCCAGGTTGCATAAACCTCGTCTAACTTCGGTACAAACAAGTAGCCTTGTCCTGAGCCGATGTCTAAGCCGCCGGTCGTTAGAGGGAGAAAGGGTGGTGGTGGTCGTGCCTCTGTCTACGACAACGTCCGGCGCAGGAGAAGAAATTGATCGCAAGTAGAACCTTCTGCGAAAAGCAAGCTACCTCTCGAATATTCATGCATCAACAAACTACCACCCAGAAGTCATAACAACAATCCAGGCTCCTTACAGCCGAACAGGTACTGGAAGTTCGCTTCCTGTCTGAAATCCCAGGTCGTGTCTGAGTCGTACAACGAAAGTTCGCCACCACCCTTCATTAAGAGGAGGGTGTTTCTCTTCCCACTTGTCGGCTCAATCTTCAGCTTCTCTCGCAATCTCGCAGCGAGCTTCTCGCGTAACCGTCTGTGCATTGAGAACGGCACCCTATGGGTACCCGTGCCCATGGAAAAATAGCTCATTTTGCTGTTGGGATGGACAAGAAGGTCTGCTACTAGTAGGATACTGGAAACTATATGTAATAACAACCAACAAGGACAGAAATAATATGAGCCGGTTGCTTTTACACTATGTACACACTAACTATCTTCATCATGCTGTAAAAACTGAGCTCTAATTTTGTCTTTTCTTTACCAGGACAAAACACAGACATGCTGATCTCAGTGTCCTCTGATGCGAAAAACGATGACATTTTTTTCAAACTATTAAGGAACCAAAAAGCAAAAAATCTTGTTTGGGGAAAGTGGGGATATGAAGATAAGTACAATCCACTCGAAGTAGATGTCTTTCTCTTTATTCGTTTCTCTCGACGTTTGGAGGAACGACGCTGACAGTTTAACGATGATCATGATCTAGAATCCTCAGAAGTCTATGCGAAAATGAACAGACAAGCAGGACATAGGATCAACATGTTTGCATTTCGCCGAGATTGCCTTTGCCTCGTGCTATTACGCATCAACATTCTATGATTCCACGGAGACTGGTTGTATATCAAATGTCGCAAAATCAACAGGTTAGGTTAGGTTGTGCATCCTGCACATCAAAGCCCCCCGGCACCTGGCTTGATTCTAATTCATCAGGATACCTTTATGGCGTCATGTTTGGAAGTCTACGTCAGTGAATGTCAATGTGGACGTCAGTGATTGTCAGCATTATCATCCCCCCCTCCAAATCCAAGCGAACGACATCAATTCTACTGTAGATGATGATCTGTATGTGGTGCAGCAGTAATTGTAGTCCGCTCTTAGTAGGCCGCTCTACAGCCACCTCAATTGTAACTGACAGGTGCTCTGACCTGCACTAATCCACTTAGAAGCTCCGCAATCGGCTTATCGCCTGCTCCTAACTCTTTCCCAAGAATTGCGTCGAAATCGGTAGGCTTGATCTTGTCATCCCCTAAATTTGCTAGCACGTGCTCGTCATTAGAGCAACCATAATGATTCGATATGAACACTTGCACTTATGCTTTATTAGTCCTTCTTCTTTAAAAATGCAAGAGATAGAGAGCTTCCATCAGGACAATGAAAACAATTACTTATACTTACAATATCAGCAAATGCAGAATTGTTCATAATCAGCAACGGCAAAGCGACCGTGTTCTTTGCGGAACCTCCGATATGCGGTAGCAACGTCTCTAACGCTCGCTCCGTCTTGGTCTTGTCCGTCTGAAGGTAGAACTCCTTGTGTTCTTTGTACCAAGCACAAACGACGTCTTTTCTATACTTCATCGCTGGCAGTTGACTGTCGTCCGAGAGCAGTGGTGACACGGCTGGTAGTTGGTGTTGGAGAGAAAAGTAGGTGTAGTTGGAGAGAAAAGTAGTTGGTGTTGGAGAGAAAAGTAGTTTCAATAGTCTTTAAGGAAAGTCACGGCAACATAGCATATTTCCTAATGAACGATGATTGAAGAAGTGTTTAAGAAAAGCCACGACATTGATTGATTGATGTGCCTGGCAAGAGGTCGATGTTGAAGAGTTAGTTATTGTTTCTTCTTTTTCTTCCAGTGAACGATGATTGAAGTGGTCAAAGCTAACTTCTTCACAAGAAAAAACGTGTCTAGTATACTAATCGCTCGTTCATTTCCTTTGTCGGGACTGGCGATACTGACATCTGCGCCATCCGTCTTCGCCAGGTTGGCTCCGTTTGCGTTGAAGATAGTCTTTATAAATTCAGCTTCGAGAATTAGAGATCTTCATGAAGGAGTGTCCTCGTGGTCTAATATGTTAAATCTAACTTAGACTTCTGGTGGTTGTTGACTCTGGTGAGCCAGCGTATCAATGTACTACTGCTTGATATTAGATTGGTCACAAATAATCATGAAAGAAGCTGAATATCTTCATCTTTACTCGTCAAGGCCAAGCACACTTATTTTGCGCAACGTACTGCACGATGCCACCTGGACAGAAAGAACCCAACACGCATAGCATTTGAAGACATAATTATCAATATCATTTCATTTGCCATAATCGAATACACAGTCCCATTCCTCGAAGGAATAGCCTCACCTGCTGTTGCGTCATGTAGCCTGCTTTGTCGCTGCATAGAGAAGCTGTGAACTCCAGTTGCTTGGGCTCAGGCAAGAACTTCTGCCACTCACGTGAAGGCGCCATCTTGTTGGTTCTTTGCCCTTAGAGGTCACGTAGTTTTTAGATGTTCTGGTGTCAAGTACGAGAATGAACTAAGAAGATGGATGTGATGAAATGATGCTGGAGATCGCAAATTTGATACTGGAAGGTGTTTGATGATGGGATTCTGTTTCTGTTGACAGGAGGCTACTAGTACATTCCTTTTTTAGCCGCATTGACATCAGAGGCTTCTGCCCACGCAGCTTCACAGTAGACCATGTTCGTCTTTTTGACAACAAGTATGAAAGCTGCCATCGCTCGCAATCGCTGCCTGCGAAAACACGCATAGCGTTCAGTACGTTGTCCGCGCTTGCACGAACGTCAAGACACTGCTCCTGACGATGATGCTACAACTCTTCATGAATTTTAGGTCAAAGAGGGTTCGTTCTTATGCGCACTGAGTGGGTACCCATGATGTGGTCAATGCATCAAGATCAAAAAGTCAAAAATGAGGATGTCATGCTGCAAAGGCATCAAAGTCGACAAGCCACATCCATCTAGTACTGAAAAGTATCTTTCAATGCGTAAGCGTAACAACTATCATCGAGTGCACAACACATAGGCTTCCACCGTCATGCATCTTTCATTGATATAATTGCGTTAACTACATCTTCTGTGTTTACTTATTGCGTAACAAATTCAAATCTCGGCATTTTTAGCGTTTGCGTAACTTAGGTGAATTCAATGCGTAAGAAACTCATCTTGATGCGTAAAAGGCGTAACAAGAATTAATCCGAACGAGATCTCGCGTTTGATTGTTGTATTCACTCTAACGAGGTTCATTTTAAACTACGACATGCGCGAAATAAAAGTGTTGTACAGAAGAAGCGGTTCATTACCATCTAGAAGTTGCAAGAGCAGGAGCAAGAAGTTCATTCAAAAAATATTACAGCAATGAGACAAACACTTCTACTAGCCCCCTCGCTAGCACGGACTAGCCTTTCCCATTCTTCCCACCTTGCTGTTGCATCGGATTGTAGAACTGCAGGTTAGGATTAGCCAGGATTTGTGGATGCACGACTGCCGGATTGTACTGGAGGCCCGCGTTTTTTAGAGAAGATAGAGATCATACAGTTACCGTTGCCTCATGGCGATGTTGCCATCCGGTTTCCTTCTACAAGACTTAGAAGAATATGAAAATCAATGATACTCAACTAATATTTTGTCCTGGCCTGCTCTAGATGGACTTTCACAGTTGTAGATCTTATAACCCTACTACTTAAGTAAGTACATTTGGCAGTATCAGAATCTTAACCCTACATTTGGCAGTATCAGGTTAGCACCCACCAGATTCGGATCGATCATCATGTGTTGCTGGTGCTGCGGAACGACCCCCATGCCGAAGGGGAAAAAAGAAGAAGACTGATGTTGAAAAGGTATACCGGAGATGATCTGCTGTCGGTTTAGTTGTCCCTGATGGAATGGATGTTGCGCGGCTGGCCCTGCAGCTACATGCTGTACAAAGTGTGGTACTCCTTGTTGAGTTGTTGAAGACGATGCTCCTGTTGTCGCTGATGTTTGTGGAATCTTAATCTTTTTGATTATTGTAGTTCCTCCACTTATTTTAGAGTCTGTTTGCGTGTTTTGGCTCGCTCCTGGGTCGATTCCACCTGGCCGAAACCGGACTTCTGCTGCGGTCAGCTTACCTAATATTTTCAAAACAAGGGCTACTTTTACAAAACCTGATCTAATTTGCTTCGGCTTTGGGGGCAGAGGAGAACTGCTGAAACACTTCTTCTGTAATATTCAATTGGGGGGGAAATCACAATCACTCAAGTTTCATCCACTCTCATCTTCTCCTTTTTTTACGCCTGATCTCTTTCTCTCCCTCTCCCTCTGCACGACTTGTAAGTGATTTCTCTGACAAAAATGCTATGGCGAACACGACAGCATGGAAGAACAAAACTGCTTATTTAGTTGCACCTCCTAGCTGCGCTTGTTGCTTATTCTTGTGTTCTATGTATGTACGAAGTCAAATATAAACATAGAGCAAACTACAGAAGCACCCACTCATGATTTTCATTAAATTTTACTTTATTTTGAGGAAAGTGAGAAGCGAGTGAGGAAAAGAAAAGAAAGAAACATAGTTCAAACAAGAGGACCCACTTGTTCTGACAAGTAGAAAGAAAAGGAATCATTGGATTGGAATTTCAAAGTTGAGAGGGTCACGAAGAAGATAGAAAATTCCAAGATTTTCATGTACAGCTGTCTTCACCATTGACTTACGGCTTCGGCTTGTTGCGGAAAAAATAAGCGAAAACCATCTTAAGGATAATCAAGACCGAACAAAAAATCCCGGCAAAGAAGAATCAATAACTCGTTGAAAATGCTGCGCCACCTTCTGCTTCTGCAAGCTGATAAGACTAGAATATCTAGTATTAAAAACCACTCAAGCTTAACAATGCAACCCAGTTAACATCGATTACAATGTCAACTGGTAGTAGACTCAATTAGGCAGCACTAGGCTAACATTCTTCAACAGAAAATCAATTGACAACTTCGCGATCGTGAAAGTGCTTTAACACAAGCAAAGATGAATTCAAAAAAAAGCCACTAAAAGGACCACTGCATTCATCCCGAAGTATACGCCAATAGGAGAAAAGAAGAGTAAAACTCCAGAAAAGTGATCATTTCTTTTTTGCGGCTGCTTTTTTCATTTTTGAACCTCTCTTTTTATCCAGTACTCCACTAGCTGAGCCTCCACTATCGAGGGCACCAGCAGCACTACCATTTTGTTGACTACTTGAAGCCTTTATTTGTTGAGAAGGTGATGCGCTAGAAGAGGCTGAGGCTCCTTTGGAAGTGTTTTTCTTCATTAAAAACATATTGGAGGTTTTTTTGGTAGAAGTGCTAGGGGTACCTTCCTCTTGTAGCAGTTTCTGTCGCTTCGTCAAGATCGGTTCAGCTTCTTTTGCCTGTTTCCCTCTCTTTCTCGTCGTCTCCTTTGGTGCGGCTTTCTTTTTCGCATTTGCCTTGGATGCAGTTGTAGCAGAAGATGAACTAGCAGAAGATGAACCCGTTGATTTAGCTCCTGCTTTAGCACCTCCACCTCGTCCTTTAGCATTAGCTGCAAGAACTGTATTGTCTTTACTACTTCCTGCCTGATCTTCCTTTCCTTCTTCCTTTCCTTCGTCAGCATTAATATCTCCTTCTCCCTCGTCCTCAGGACTCCCAGCATCTGCTGCTTCATCATCTTGGCCCGCGAGTATGTACTCGCCCAACCCCACTTCCAGCATCTTCGGATACAGGACTGTCGTTGCGATTTGGGTGCAGATTTCCCTACATGCCTGATCCAGGTGCAGCTCGTCGTAACTGGGAAGATAGGGCTGGACTATTCTGGGCTCGCCTTGCTCGTCTACCAGGCTGTTGAGGAAGGTCGAAGCTTTCCCGAAGAAGGAGATGTAGTCGTTGCGCTGGTCTTCGTTCAGCACTGGACAAGAGACCATCTTGTGCGCACGGTCGCAGACAGGACACAAGTAGCGTTTTTTGGCGGCGCCGGGAGTAAGTTTGTTCACCTGGTGAAGTTCCGTTTTTCGAAAATCATGATGATCGGGAGAGCTTGTGCACTTAAATTTATGCTTAGTTACTTAGGTACAACTTCTTAAACGATACATAGGAAGGATCTTCGATGAAATCAAATGTTGAATACAAGAACCCTAGAATTCCAAAGGCAAAGACACTCACAAAGTGTAAATATAAGTACCTGTTCAGTAGGTCTCGGACAGGCCTTCTGTTTGTGTCCCGGCAAGCTGCACTTGAAGCAGAGACTAGGAAGCTGGATGAAATTCGTCGTCTTCGCTATCTCGCTATCGTTTTCCTGCTCTCCCTTCGCGTGTTCTACATGTTGCGCCACTAGCGAGAAGTCATCTCCCTCCGGCTCGAAGTACATGTCGAACAAGTGCCGCTTCAACAAGTCCAAAGAAATGCCGTGATAGGCACTTTCCTTACTGGGATAGTACTTGTCCTCCGCTTCCGCATCCTTGTCGAAGCAGGTTAAGTCGTTCTTGTCCGCACGAAAGAGCTGAAGTCGCTTTTTTATCGCGGGAGGAAACATGCGCTCTACGATCTGGGGCAAGGATTCGCGTAATTTCTGCCGCATGTCGAGCCAGTGATTCCGCATTTCTCTTAACGTGAGTGCAGGCCACTCGACTTTGAGAATGTCGTTGGACAGGGTGTAGTTTGAACCGCCAGGACCAGCAGAGGTACTAGCGATGCTTTCAAATTTACCACTAAAAGCTCCTCCACTAGTACCTTTTGAATTCTTTTTCCGTTGCGCTTCCTCCTCCTTCTTTTTTAACCTCAACTCTTCTTGTTCAGCTTTGGCCTGTGCGCGTGCGGTTTTCTCGGTCATCTTCTTTTCTTCCCGTAAACGTTTCCTCTCTTCGGCCATCGCTTCCTTCTCGCGTTTTTTGGCGTCTTCTAAATTAAGCGCCTTGGACTCCTCCTGTTCGCGCAACAGGCGACAGTCATTGCACTCGAAGTTGACCATCCGTTCTCGATTGGCATGCTCCCAACCTTGCTTTTGCAACCTGGAAAGTGTGACGAGTGAATTTAGCATGATCTAGCGAATTCGAGCATCTTCTTTGAATCAGAGCAGTGTCAGTCATTCCATTTTGACTCTTAATCTTTTTAGACTAATCGTACTTGAACTTGTAGTTTTTAACAGTTTAATACTTAGGAGAAAACGAAGAACGACGTACGAGCAAAAAGAAGAAAACCTAATAAACGTAAAAAAAGTACCTGTTAAAAAAGCTGTCCTCTGGATACACTCGTCGAAAGCTCTGGGGGAAACAGTCGATGCAGTACGCCTTCGGACACGCCACGCACTGTACTAGCATTCCTCCAACGTCGTTCGCCCTTCTCCGACAGCATAAACACTCGTGCCACGAACATATGAAGGTCTTGGGAAGTGTGCCTGTGATGCCTTGGCACTTCGCGTGGTACGTCCTAGGGCATTTGGAGCAGATCAGCGTCACTTCAGAGAGGTCCTTCTTGTACTTAGGCTTTGCTGAGGAACTACTAGAAGTAGATCCGCCAGTCGTAAAAGAACCACCGAGGAGCTGAGAATCTTCGTGTGAAGAGGAAGGCAATTGTTGCGCTTGAGGCTGATGCAGCTGGGAAAAAGAATTAGCTGTAGTTTCTCCTGTAGCACTACTAGTGGGTATTGAGAAGGGACCACCTTCGAGAGAAACGTCATCTAGTGCGGGCGTGCAGATGGACGACATGTTGGCGTCTTGATCTAAGAGTTGTCCGTTTGCTGCTCCTGGCGTCATTCCTGGAGTTACAGTATTCGATAAGGATGTTGCTGTGATACAACTAGTCATCCCAGGGTGAGGAGCAGGAGTCACATCTTCAAGCAGTTGTTGTTGAGGTTGCTGTCCCAGATGAATATCTCCACCAGCAAAGCAGGTTGAAGACGAACTACTAGATGCTGTACCCGTAGTACCCGCACCAAGTCCACCAAGTCTTCTCGCTGCAGCAGCTGCCGAAGCCGCTTGTGCTTGTTGTACTTCCAGCGGGACGACTACCGGAACCATCTTTGCCTCTTTACAGATTGGCTCTCCACTAGCGTCCAAAGTCGCTTGTTTGCATACGAAGCAATCCCTGTCATATTTGAACGAGAACACTGTGCGTTTTCTCTGCGGTTCCTCCACGGTCGGCGGTGGAGGCTGAAACCTTGCAGTCGGCTTACGCTGTCTTGTAGACCGCCGCACGACCTTCCCGTCGTCCCTGGTCTCGAATGTCGTCGCTCGCACGCCAGCTTGAGACATCTGCGCAGCGAGAGGTTGTAAGGCCCCAGCTTTACTTCGTTTGCTGTTTGCTGCTAGAAGCATCTGCTGTTGTGCCCCGAAGGAGGATGGGGGGGAGTATTGAGGAAGAAAGCCTGCTCCTCCAGGTGGAAGACCAGGAGCTCCTTTCACACCCATCATGCTATTCATCGTGCCAGGAGGAAACATGGGAAAAACACCCTGTCCTTGAGGAACAACGCCACCTGCTCCTGGTGGAAAGAAACCATTAGCTGGATGAACGCCCTTGTTGAGGAATTGTTGTGGAATCATCCCAGGAGGCACTCCGACTTTCCCATTCACCCCCTTGGTACTGCCGTTCAACATCATTGCTGCTGTTTGAGCGTTGTTGTTCGCCAGGACTAGTCTACTTGTATTTCCATTACTAGCCGCCCCGGCTGTTGCAGATGAACTACTTGCTGAAGACACTGCAGAGCTATCACCTCCAATGGGACTACTCTCTGGTATGGATGGACTCATCATCGGTACCTGGTTGCCGTAGTGTCCATTCGCGGCTCCTGGGACGAAACCTGCCGGCCCACTCCCCTCAGCCATCATCGCTTCGTTCACACTCATTACTAGGTTTTCTGGTCCTCCAGCAGAACCTTCTTCCTCACTACTTTCCGGGGAGTCCGCTACTGGCAATGGTTGATGTGCGCGCGTCAAGACTTGCGTAATACTCTTGTCGGAAAGGCTTTCGCCTTCAAACTGTTCTGTTAAGACTCTGCGACCATGCTTCAAAAACGCCAAAATCTCTTGCAACGACAGCTTTTCATCGGATGCTTCGTGCCCACCCTCGTCATCGATCAAAGCCTTGTTCAAGCCCATCTTCTGTTCACAACGATGTGCCAAGCGCTCCTCCACCGTCCACTCAGTCAGCAATCTGTAGACCGTGACTGCGCGATCCTGCCCTATTCTGTGGGATCGGTCCATGGCTTGCGTGTCGATGTGCGGGTTCCAATCTTGGTCGAAGAGGACTACGAAATTCGCACTCTGGAGATTGATCCCGACTCCGCCAGCCCTGGTGGACATCAGAAAGATCAGATGCTGGCTGTCAGGACTATTGAATTCCTTCACGTCCAATTCCCGGATCACCTTATTCGTAGAGCCGTCTAACCGCAAATACTTCCAACGGCGAAACTTACAATAAGTTTCTAGTTCGTCTAAGACCATCTGAAACTGCGTGAAAAGAATGATCTTGTGAGGCTTGAATGTTGTACTACTACTAGAGGACAAGACTGTTGTACTAGGAGCAGCAGCACTACTGCTAGAAGATGAAGAAGAAGCTCCACCTATAATTGTGTGTTCTTTTGTCCTCGCGATTGCAACGGCTGGTGGAACCGCTCCAGCGACATCTGCCATTTCAACGTCACCTGTCCCACTGCCAAGATCTAAACCTCCTTCTACTTGTTCTCCTGCAGAAGTTGCTCCTGTAGTTGCTTGAAGGTTTACAACATCTAGTGGCTGCGTCGTTGTTGAAGACTCCGCACTGGGACCTGCCCCTGCAGAAGTCGTCATTGGTCCTGTTCCTGGTGTCGCTGAACCGTGGACCCATGTTCGCATCACGTCCAAGTACAGGTCTAAATTCTCCACGCAAGTCGAGACATCGTCTGCTTCGCAAGATGTTGGCCGTGAAGTTTTGTTCTTCTCGTGCGTCGCTTTCCAGGAAGGTATTTTCGCGACGTTTTCACAGTAGCACTGGGTCAAAACCTTGTCTAAGAAAATCACCTTGTTACTTGAGAGAGCATGCGCTTCCCCACTCAAATCTTCGAGTGCCTTCTGTGGATTGCCCCACATAGCTGCAGAAGCGAATTCGTCGAACATTCCACCTGACGTTTTAGATCGCATCAATGCACGCGGATGACAGCAAATGAGACGAATCTTCAACAGCAAACTCATCAGCATGCGCAACCCCTGTTGGTTTTTCCTTCGGTCGATCAACTCGTCGTGGCATCGGTAGATGAGCCTAGCCCAGAATACGCCGATAGGGTTGATAGGCAGCCAGACATTGTGGATCTGCTTTGGAGGCAGCCGTAGGACTTCACCTTTTGTCCTCCTTAGCATTAATTTCTCTAGGAGTCCACGAACCTTGTCTAAGAGCTGCTTGTTCGTCGTGAAACCTGGGGAGGTCGCGCACATTGTGAAATTTTTGATCTTGATCTTCGGAAAAGAATAATGTACTGAATTATCTAGATGAAAATATAAATAAATGCGTTCTAGTTGACAGCACTGTTGTTGTGGGTACTTTATCATGTCTATTCATTATCAGATACTTATGTGCGTTGACATTGTCTTTGCAATGATGTGTGAACTTACTTTTAAACCTCAAAATCAAATGCGCAATTCAATTTTTTTTTAGATTATACCAGCATTATCCAACGCCAAATCCTCCTCCTCTTGGCCGATGCTGCTCTCCGGATTCGCCAAACCTGCTTCGAGCTCTTTTTGTCTTAGTGCGTCCAACTTCTCCTTCTTAGCAGCGATATTAGCTGCATTCTCGAAGCTGATCGCCTCTTCAAAGGTCTTGCTATCCTGCAAAACGTCTGGCCACAGGTAGTTCAACAGCACGAACAACTCTTGAATGTTATTCTGCAAAGGAGTACCAGTGAGGAGTAAGCGGAAAGACGTCTCAATATGACCAAGGGCCATACGGACACGCCCGATCTGGTTCTTGATGCGGTGGGCCTCGTCTAGAGTGACTGTTTGCCAGACCTTGTTGTTGTTTGGGAGTGACTGTTTGCCAGACCTTGTTTAGATGTACGTTCCGGTATCATGATTGGAGGAATATCCTTTGGATGAACTTAGATACCAAATCGGAAATTGTAATCAAGTTCACTTCATCTTGAACATGATCATCCGATCCGCGACCGCGACGCTGCACTAAAACTAAAAGTGGTACTTGTAGTTAATTGTAAGTAGAATGAACCTGAAGATGAACAGTAACAGTTCGTTGTCTCGAAGATATCTTCTAAGTTTACTTCTTCAGAAGATTTAGTACCATCCCCGCAAAGAACGCCTCGTTGCTGACCAGCGTTTCGTAGGTCGTGATGTAGAGATCGCGTTCTCCATATCGGACCTCCAGATTGTCCAATGTCCATTCTTGTTCTCGCTTATCTCCGCTGATTTTCGCGACGCGCAGCTGCGGGGTGAATCTTCTGCACTCGCGCAACCAATTGCCTACGACTGCATAAGGCACAATTATCAAATGCGGACCAGCACCGCCGGAGTGATGGAGGTTCCTGTTTGGAAATTTGAAGATCTTCATAAAGGTGGAAACTTCCCTTTATACGACCCGTACATACCCATACGAAACAACTTCCATTTGTATGTTATTATACCATACCCATACACTATAGGTTATACTTCTAAACAAAACCAAAATGCAAACAAGCAGAATAAAGGTTTGAGAGTAGAAGAAATTCGGAACCGCTAATAATCTATCATCCTGATGGCTGATCCTTGGCGCAGCTCTTCGAATATTAAATCAAAAAATAGTACGCCAAAAAGGCTAGGGCCTGGAGTGTCTTTCCCAGACCCATATCGTCCGCCAAGATGCAGCCACCTCGATCGCAATAACTCCTTGTTACCCAATCCACACCCCGCACTTGGTAATCCTTCAGTTGCACTCCTTCCGCCAAAAAGTCCATTCCATTCTTCGTCCTCGCCAGGAACACGGACGCATCTTTTGGGTTACATGGATACCTTGTTCGTTGCTGACTGGCGGAGCAGAGGTAAACGCCGCATTTTTCTTTGACTTTGATGATGCTCTTGGGGTTCTCGTGGTTCACGACGGTGAGCATGTTCTCCTCATTCATGCTGGCCTCCTCCAAAACTGTGCCGATGAAAGGCTCTGTTACTGCTGTGCCTCCGACAGTTCCTTCCTCTTGTTCTTTGTCTCCTCCTTCTCCCCCAAGAACAGCAACAGCGTCTTGATTGAAGATAAACGCCGCTCCTATTTCGTCTCTTGGCGGTGTCACTCTCACCACGTCGCCCATCCGGAAGTGCTTGTCAGCGAAATTTCGGTCTCGGTGCAATGTACTAGCCACGTTTTTCCCGATAAAAGGCTGGATTTGGGACATCAGTGTGGAGAGCCACTGATTCCGTCGCTTCGTGACCCATCTAATGCGACGACCATTATGCTGATTGCGCATGGCTAGTCTCTCTTCGAGTTCTCGTTCTGAAAGACGCACAGCGTCGGGATTGTTGTACAGGTCTACCCCGAGACAAACAGGACACTTCCATTCTGAACCGGTTCCTACTGCGTCTAAGGAGGCGATGTGCTCGATGCCTGTGTTGATATTGTGGATATTGTGGGTCGTCGTGGGTTGTTGCTATTTTTGCGGCTACAAAGTTAAGTATTTTCATGTTGTTGCATAGGATTTTAGGAGTGAAGGTCCAAAACGTTTAAACGTCGAAAGTGAAAGTCCACAACGAATATCACGAATGAACGACAACAAAGTTGTTCAGAACAAGAAAAATTTAAGGTCGAGAGATGAAAAATAAGTTAGTATTTAGCATTACATGTCGCATGATAGCTCTTCGGACAGGTGTCACACAAGAGCAGCTTTCCCCCTTTTTGACACACTTCACAAAACGCCTGATGCAATTGAAAAGCAGCGTTATTTGCCGCGTCTTTCGCCGCATCTTTTTTCACTATTCGACCGTGCTGTATTGTGGTTTCTCTGCGAATCTTCATCTTTATTCTCGCCGTACACTGCGTGCATACCCACATCAAGTGTTCTGCGGACACTGGTGCTGCACCACACTCGCTCACAAGCTGGCCACGACTTGTGTCGACCATCAGTCCAAACCGCTCGGCGCAGCTCAAATGCACCTGCTTGCTGCATCCTGGGCATTTCTGGATGTTTTCCCTAGGTTCGTTCGCTAGGTCAAAAGTCGCCTTGCAAGCAGTGCAGAACATGTCGCCGTGACGAGCGTGGCACGGCTCGCACGTAAACGCCTCTGGAGCGAGCTTGAGCCGGCTCGGGTCATAGGTCTGGGCATAGCAGAAGGCGTGGAAGCCTCCGCCGCAGGCGTTACACCGTATATCCAAATCGCCTTCATCTCGGCAGATCTCACAATACTTGTGAGTGCGCAACATCTACTGGTACTAGAAGGGGATTTAGTAGAGCGAGGACATCGATCTACTCACTTAAAACCGCTCCACCTGGTGGAATAAAGATAAATATTCTACTAGAAATTGCTGTGCTTGATGTTGATGTGTCGATATTGTCGCGTTCTCGTGCAGCTAGTCTGTGTCGAGAGTGTCGTTTTGACATGTAGTTATGATCGTGATCGTTAGTTGTAAGTACTGCCTCCTATTTCGCTCTTCTACCGCGCAAATTGAAGATGTTGTTGTGTTGTGGTCGTATCAGATGAACCACTCTGCTTTGCGTATGCTTCGAAGTTGATATCGAGCGTTCGTCTACTTACTAAGCCGTTCCGGGGATCGATTACAGCTGTGCTATCTACAGACAATATGCGCCGTCGCCTTGTTCATTATTCTTTCGTGGGAACGAAATGGGGAGCGATCTACAAGGTTGCCGTGCTCGCAGCTGTGGCCATCATTTTTGTGCGTGAAACATAGCTCACTCCTTTTTTGCCAAAAAAAACAGCTTTAAGGTGAGCCTCCTCTCTTCACTTACTGTCGAAGATCCACTTTTGCCGTCTACAACATAAATGAAAAGAAAAATGTGACGATCGTCCTATTAGATGCATCAGGCAGATGGGGTTACTGCCAGAAAGAACATATGCGGGCGCAAAAGCGGTGCCGGTTATCTACTCTTTCCAATCAATTGCACAAATTTGCATCGTTATGCGTAAACACAAGTTGTAGCGATAATGACTTACAACTAAGTACAAGTAATGATCAACCGCCCGCCGAATTAGACCTGTCGCTGTCGCCTGGTGTTTTCAAGATTTTCAGATGGAAAGCAAAAGGAAAAGTTCTAAAATTTCGGGCTAACCACTAGCAGCTGCTTCATGATTGTTTCAGAGTGTCTGTGTACTTTTTACTTTTTCTTGGTCAGACACATCTTCGACATCACAAAAGCAGGAGGATAGTAAAAAAATACTGTAGTAATAGTAGCTCGTACTCGTCGTTACACTTGAGGACATAATTTGGTTTTGTTTATCTCTCAGAACGAGGCACGATTTGAATTCACGTTTGCAGGAAGCGACCACAGTTTCGTACTTGTATCGAACAAATCACCTTCAATATCGAACGAGCCTTCATGGTTGATCAGAGAGACGCGCACCAAACCGGAGAACTTCTACTTAGATTCCAGGATGACACTTAGCGACTTTAGAGAGGACGGATCTACTTTCCACCACAGAGAACTGATATTAAGCACACCATCATCAGAGACCGACAGAAGAAGGGCTGCTGATCATACCAACAATGCAGTCGACTGCTACAGCGGTGATCTAAACGTGATTTTGGAAAAAAATTTCTAAGAACTGTTGAAGCCGGCTGCTCTTCAGTAAGCGTAGTTGAACCAGGCCACAGACTTCTCCTACCTTGATAACTCATCAAGCCGTCATCGAAGATCATGGTCATCCAATTCTTCAAATTCTAGTGATGAGCTTTGAACACGATTGAACCACCTTCACCAGAATTCTTCTCGTGACGGATTTTTCTTTTTCACGAAGATCTTTTCGCTTTTTCTTTTTGAATAAGCCTTTGGAGGCAGCTCTGAATTGGCTCACGCACGCTTCATCATCTCTGATGAGAATTATAACCTCCTGTGAATCTTACACCACCTTCTTGAAGAAAATTCTGTGCCATTGCGCGGGTTGAGGCGTTAGGGGTTGTAGAATTCATGTTGTCTGCTTGAGAAGTACTCTTGTAACTGTTACCAGCTGGTGGAGCTGCATCAGAACCCACTGACATTGAATTGTTCACATTAGAAGTGCTTTCACTTCCTCCACCCGACATCGAGGCGGATCCTACAGCACCACTTCCAGTCTTAATCTTGCGCAGAAGTTCATGCTTTTCTTTGACAAGAAGCTTGTTTTCCTCTAGTTGCGACAGAAAAGCATTGTGGGTTGCGTCTAACTGGCGGCTTAGGCGCTCGAGCTGTGTCGTCCTAACATCTAATTCCTCGCGCCAGATACAGGGTGCGTGGAAGCCGGAAGTTAGAAAAGCTGAAAGGCATCTGAAGAAACCCAAATCTTCTACTTCAAGTCAATCCTGCATCGTCAAACAATATCTAAGAGCTATCAATCAAAATCATATATTTCCCACTCATAACTTCGTAAGTACTTCAAATCAAAATCAATCCTGGTGCCTCGTCAAACAATATCAAGAAAGAGCTCCAGCTATCTGTATCTATCGAAATCATTTTCCATCTCATAACTTCTTATTCCCTCTTACCCCACGACCTCCACTAAGCCTCGCACTCGAAGAGCCTTTGCTTCCGCTAGGGGCTTCTACTACAGAACCTGACGACAACCTTACAAGGTCATCCTCGACGTCATCCGCTTCTGCTTCCTCTTTCGCTGCTCGCATGCGTTCTGTCAACTCCGCTCTTAGCTTCGTTATCTCGCGCTCTAGCTCTTCGATGTAGAGGTAGTCGTCGACCTTCGTCTTGCCAACGCGAAATTCGCCAGGTTGGAAAAAACTGCTACCTGGTGTCGCACTGCTGCTGGCGTTGGTAGTGCCTGGAGATGATGATGCAAACCCCCGTTGATGTTCTGTACCCGCTGGCGCTGACGTTGTCGTCATACTCGTACTAGTGGTCCCTGGCGAAGCCGCGATTTGTTCGAGTGCTTTGGCTGTTATCGGCTGTTTCTCGGGACTGCTAGAGCGCGTCCTGGACGATGCAGAAGCCATGGCTTCTCGAAAGTCTGCTCTTAGCTTCTCGATGATGCGGTCTTGGGCTTGAAGAGATGCGTCCAGACCTCCGATTTTGGAACGTTGGTCGGTGATCGTTGCTTTCTGCAGTCGAGACTCTTTCTCTAGGGCTCTGTAGTTGCGACTCAGAGCGTCATAACGGCTTAGCAGACATCGATGCTCGTTCATGTTGACGACCTGGGCGCGGTGATGTGGAATACTAGATGTAGACGGAACTTTTTTTACATCGATGTTGAGCATAAGTAAGTGAGAAGTTTTTTGTTCGATATAATAAATGCTCTAGGCAACATGGACTACCAATTCCTCAACTTCATCGTAGTACCTCATAGTCTCCCAACTGCGAAAGCAGCCCTTCGTCAACCCTTCTGTCTAATTCCAGGTTCAGGACCTCGTCATGGTCTCTGTCGCGTGCTACACATACTGTTCCTGTTCCACTTCCATCTCCTCCTACTCCAGCAGAAGTTGTTTCAGTGCCACTAGCAGTAGCAGGTACTATATTAACCACAGAGGAATCACTGAGTCCCCCCACTGCTTCCTGGACCATTGAAGTTAGCTCACTAGCTGTCTCAGACACTAGAGTACCTATCTCGGTTGGCCACCAGGCGTAGGAACTTTCCGAGGGTTTGGGAGGATCTTCTGCTGCGCTTTTAGCTCGATCTGGGTCACCTGTATCTGCGGTTGTTGACGTGGTAACGTCGGAGACATCAGGTTTTTCTTGGAATTCTTGTCGTCTTCCTTCGACTTCTACATCTTCATCTACATTGAGATCACCACTTTGATGGTCCTCCTTCTCGTCCCCTGTTGATAATGAGGCATCACTCGCCGCACTGCTCGCGGAACTGGAGCTTTCTAAAGCACCAGGGGCAGCGGTGTTTTCCGCGTTGGTTAGAGGTGTGATATTATGATGTTCTCTTTATTCCAACGGTGAGTCTGTCTTTCCTGCTTGGCTCAAAGTGGATTGTAGCATCAAGGATAGATGATACAACCGAAATTTTTTTGTTTCAAATTCAATAGGTAACGCCAGTATTCCTAAAAATTTAGCCTGAGCAGCTGGCGTCGATTCCATACGCAATCTGCGAGGTACTGGCGCTACTCGTGTGCTTTTGCTCCCATCATCAGCATAGAGAGAAGCAGCTGGAGATTTCATAGAAGGGGCCTTTCCTTCAGATCCAGAGGCAGACGGCGAAAGTTGTGATGCTACTACAGGTGCAGGAGCAGCTGATGTGCTAGAGCTACTACCTCCGCCACTGTCGTTTGGATGTCGTTGGGCAAAGTAGCTGGTGTCCGGGGCTGCAGGAGCACTGCTAGGGTCTAGACCTTTCAGGAATTGTTGCATGGGCATTAGAGGAAATCGAAATTTTGCTATGGATTTCTCCAATTTCATCTTTCTGTAGAGACTGATACGACGAGGATTATAATCTTCAGATTTACAGATCATAGATACTTCTATTCTCGTAAACCAAGATGAAGCATAACGGTAAAAGTGCCGGTTGAGGAGCGTTGGCCACGAGAGGTAGACCATCTTTCACCGCTTTGCGTCTTATGATCCTGCAACTTGCGTCTTTTTCCTTCAACTTCAGCATCAAAAATTCGATACTAGCATCTCGCTTGTCGCACTGAGGAGTGTTTTGATAGATACATTTACTCAATGCTACACTTAGTCCGTACAACTAACGCTTCTCCTTCTCACATTTAGATGATACAGATACCATATTTTGCCTTTCGACTCAAAATGATAAAGATACCTGCGTCGCCCAGTACTGCGCCTGTGTTCTGCCTTGCTCTTCGACGAAGTAGAGCAAATCCTCGGCAAAAATGGTTTTATATGCATGTCTTATGGCGCGTCGTTCCATGTGAATCAGCTTTCGCTGCACCTCGTCCGGTGTCCGCATACTGAAGGCTGATGCATCGCCTTCTTGAGCATGAGTTAGAGCTCGAAACAGTTCATTTCTTCAACTCATTTCTTCTGAATGTGAATCCCAAGATGATAGAAGGGAACAGTAACAAACAGAGCGCAAAAAATGACCCTTGGAAATGAAATGTATTGAGCCTTAAATGAGGAGCACTCTTATGTCGAGACGCTATGTCATGTCGCGAAGCCATATTACCCATTGCGCTTGCATTATTAGAGGTAGGTTTTTGGTGCTCGCTTACCCCGCTTGTTATGCCTTTCTCCACCTAAGGGAGAGAGGCATAAAAAGCGGTAAGAAAAGCACCTTTAACCTACCCTTAACATTGCCTGGGCTCCTTTGCTCCTCTGTAAATGGCGAGTTCGAAGATGTACCTCTTGGCGCTCCCAGCATACGTTCTGCGAGATCGGGAGGCCATATCTTTTTCTTCTTCTTCGACCCCGAAGAAGTAGCTGGCGTAGCAGAAGACGTGGGGAAGGGAAGACCAGACATGTTTTTTTGACTCGTTCTTTATCAAAACTTCATGATATTCAAACTGTCAAACTCAAAACTTAACCACAACAACAAAATAAGTAGCAACAAGAACAAACTCTTGCGTGAGCTGAATAGGGCCACCGCCACGCTGACGATGATAGAACTACTAGCTCAACAAGAACGGCGCATCCATCTTCTCTAGTACTATCTCTTCTCATTTAGTTTTACCTATCATCTCTTTGTTTACAGGTTGCAATGCTCCATAAAGATTCTTGGTTCTCAAATTCATTGAGGAAGACGCCTTCAACATTGCTCTACTCGTCGTTTTGAAGACACTCCACATAGATACAACACATGCAGAAGCGGTTCGCTTCGCAGGAAGTTGCTTTTTAAAGGTGAGAGCAAATGCAGATCAGAGTCGTCGCTTGACCTTGGAGTACATTTTTCTACCAAGAAGTTGTTAAGTACTGTGAAGGTACAACAAGCCCGTTTCTGTTGTAGTCCTGCTTTTTAAAGTTTCTCTTTCCTATAATTCTTTAGTTCTTGTGCCTCCTTCTCAACATTTTGTACAACTTGCAACTTCTTTTCTACCCAGATGCAGCATGCTCGCGAATTCATCTAGATACAATAGAGTTAAGAGCATTACTTATGTAGCTTCATTTGTGAGTGTGACGAAGCCCGGTCAAACTGGTAAACATTCACATTCGTCAGAAACAAAAAGAGCGGACGAGGCAGATGTTGGCGTTTATTCTTGCCTAAGCAGTGCTATTCTGTACAATTGCTTTTCCGGAGTTTTTTGAAGTGCCAAATTTACTATGGTTGATTCTGTATTATGTTATCTCATGAATGTAAATGTAATGATGTAGTATGTTCATGTCCATGGTATAATGAAGAAGAAGATGTAGTTAATTTCCGCTTCTGCAGTTGTGCTGTACAAGAATCTATGCCACTTCCTTCGACCTGTAGTTAATTTCTGCTTCTGCAGTGCTGTACAAGAATCTATGCCACTTCCTTCGACCTGTCCACAACAACAATCATCGGCTCTGCTTGGCCTCTCCCTGGCGTTGACTGCGGGTTCTGGTTGCCGTAGGGCTGCGGTGACCCGAACTGACTGTGATACAAATGCTGTGGCTGCTGGCCTCCCCCCACGTAGACGGGGTGCATCTGTTGCTGCTGAAATGGCGCTGGCGAATGCATTTGGAATTGTGCTGTTGTTCCGCCATGTTGGTACTGCTGATTTTGGTACTGATTTTGTTGGTACTGTCCTGCAGTGGCTCCACTCGGTCTCACTGGTGCAGAGCCTGGTAGAGTTGACATCTGTTTGGACTTGCTGCAGATCTTACCAGCGCCGAAGCAACAGACGCCCAAGAGAACGACTCCGGCGAAAACGGCGCCAAGCGATTAGAAAGGGTACGTATAATATTTTAGTTGAAGAGAGGCTGTTGAAATTGTTGAGGGATTACATCAAGACTGGACGAGGGGGAATCATGAGTAGAGAAAGACCAAATGCAATGAGTAAATTCAGTGCAGCTCTATTTAATGGAATCTATTTTTAGCAATTTATTATAGCTGTACTAGCTCTAGTAGAAGCTCAAATAATTAGTTTTAGTACCTAGTTGTAAATCATAAATGATAATCCCAATCCTCGCACCATCCACGCTGTCATCTTCGTCCTCGTCTTCACCCAGACAATTTTCGCCACCACTGCATGCCTTCACAGTTTCCCATTTCCTAGAGCATTGCAGATTCGTCATCTCTAGGAAAGGGTTGGCACCAGTCGCACACATTCGACTCGATTCTTCGTACTTTTTCAGGAAATCGATGTAGCAGGTATTAGAGGGAGCGGGAGTGCGAGTGGGAATGGGTGGAGAGGGAGAAGATGTTGTTGACTGTTGAGCAGTCAGATTTAACATAGGATGAGAAGTCAATGTCTCCTGTAGCAGAGCAATTTATAAGGTTTCACAGCTCGCACGGCATGGAGTGCATGGATCACATGGAGTAGCACGGAGCTAAAGGGGGAGCTTCTTGCGCCCCTTAAAGCTCTGCGCTCCATGCACTCCATGCTACTCCATGCACCATGCGTGCTATAAACTACTCTGCTGTAGGTGTTTCTTATTTGTGGATAAACCTAAAGAACTCTATCATGATCATGAGCGACTGTTCAACTTGTTAGATTCTTAACAGTCAAAGTCTCCAACTGTGTCAGACTGGCAACGACATTTGCATCCATGCAACCCACTGCGAGAAGGGTTTTCGATGGTACGCTAGGCCTCGTGTCATCGATCGAGACACAACCCGCGAGCAGAGAGGTGCCGGACACAATATCCTTGTATCGCATCCACCGTACGAGGTTGATATCCCGGTCTTGCGCAAGCGAGTTGTAGTACGATGCCATTATGTTCGGCTGGTAGGATTGTTTTATTGAAGAGTGTAAAGAGATGATGGAAATGAGAAGGTGGAGGAGAAACTCAACAACATCATTACAACTCAAAGACATTCTTCGCAGCCAGGTCATCAAGGAAAACAGCGTGGCGAAACACTACGACGCCCTTAAGGCAGTCGGCACTGAACTTTGTGCGATATTTATTAATTGTATTGTAAATTGTATTGAAAAATTGGAACCAAGTTTCCTCCATCCGTGACTTGCTTCATCTCTCCCTGATGATTGCTGGCTAATTGCGCCAGAACAGACGTATCTGCGCCACTCCCAAGAGCGTAGGTAAAAAGCTTGATGTCCGTTCCGGAAGCTTCAGAGGATAGAGTTGCATAATCATTCCCTCCCCAGCTGTCGGGTTGGCCGTCAGAGAGGAAGAGAATGACAGTCTTGCACTGCGCAGAGAAACATCGGTCTGGATCGCTGCTGCCGCCTTTGGATTAGCGCTAGATTGATCGGGATCGCGTTGTAAGTACTTACTTCATCTACAAAGGATCAGCAGCTATACTTTGCAAGAATCTACTGCAACCTCAACATTACCACTCAGAACATATCACGGTTACGACATGGCAATGACTCTCTCCTGCATGATTATATATGTTCCAGGGCGCGGGGCGACGCCCCCCCCCCACAGACCAGACCACCGAGCGGGCGCGCCACCACAGACCAGACCACAGGGGGGGAGGGGAGGGGGCCGCTCGGCCCTGAGTCATATCTATATAACAAGCATGATAAATAATAAGTGGAAGTGCCCCGACTCCTTACTTTCAAAACGCACTAAAAATATCTTCAACACCATTCTCATAATCAAAAACCGCAGCCCTTTTGCCGATTTCAAACGCTTTTGATAATGAATCCCGGAAATTAGTCGTTCCTCCTGTCGCCAGCGCGTTGATCCAGCTATTCGCGTTGTTGATGTTGTCCTGTGTTGCTGGTACAAGATGCGGGGATAAACCTTTTACGCTAGAAGAAAACGCCATCACAGTGAAGTAATCCAGCCAAGTCAACGTCCCAAGCACTTTCTGAGCTGCTTCCTTGGCGAGCGGAAAGCGATTCTGCTGTGACATAGACCCAGAAATGTCGATTACCTGAAAATTTCAGTTGTTGAGGGTTCTTGCGCAGCATGAATATGTTTCTCGTACTTCCGTTCTTTTCTTCTTCAAAGACAAGATTTAGAACGACAAGTAACATCAACATGCATAACCGTGTACTACCGAGGAACAAAAACCAAGTAATCTTGCCTCTAACCTTTCTTTCTTTTGAGTGGCAGTTGTCCTTTCCAAATTTTTTTTGAAATAAAAATATCCACAAGTAGAAGTAGTAGTACCACAATGACATTCTTGGGCCCACTGGCAATCATCGAATACCATGGCCGAAACCGAGGGTCGTAAGTACCTCTAGTCCACTGCATCGCCGGCCATTGAATGTAATCACCTTCTGTTGATCATGTAAAGAATCTTTATCTTATAGATAAATAGATGAAGTGCTTTTCCATTCGACAAGGACAATAAAATCACTTCTAGTACTAGGTAGACCTACACCCAGTTAGTAAGATGTAGAAGAGGATAAAAAAAAGATTAGTTTTAGTACTATCCATGAAACCCATGTATAGGTAGGCGATCCGACTTTTCCCGGCCATGTCGTATTCGGTATTCGCTACTCGCAAGAATTGCGTTTTAACTGCATCATGCATACACCGAAAAACTAAATCCGTGGAATCGTTCATAAAAGCTCCTGTCTTGTCGAAATCTATAGCGCTGCTCGCCCCATTCCATATGCTGCCTGGCGTGACTGCAGGGCAGCCGACACAAGTGGGAGATTAGAGGAGACCATGACGAGTTGCCTTGGTGTAGGAGGTGGAGAAGGCTTGTTAGGGTGCTGATGCAGGAGAAGGAGTGGTCCAGATTTAGTAAGTATAATAACCCCTTCATCATAATTCAAATCGAAACTCGCTGTGCATTGTGATTTGTCGATCGGACTGAGACTCTTGTTCAAATCCACCCAATGAGTTTCGAGTTCCCTCTTCAAGGTCTTCAGCGTGTTCTCCACTGTGGTGATCATGCGACCGGCATCTGTGTTCTGGTTTTCCCATGATACAAAGCTGTTGCTCTCTCCGCAGGTTTGGTAACTGTAGTAAAGCGTAGTCGCTGCGGCGCCGCCACCAGGTGGTGCAACGGTGGTTGCGGACGTGAAGTATGATCCAGCAGTAGCGGAGAAGGCGCCAGCACAATTGCTCTGATCGACATAGCACCACTGTTTGGTACACCTATGATTAAAAACAGTATTCAAATTGTTGAGTTTTCACAGTCACGCCGATGGCTTTTTAATGATGTTGGGTGGGTCCGAGTCGTGCATAGCGACTTTCCTCGTTACTAGACACAATAAAATATATCAAGTTAAGGACTCATGTGAAGATACCAATCAGGTCTGTTCGCTATAGCCGTTCCAGCTGCTAAGGCACATGTTGGTGGCTTATCGGAGTCCCATGCACTACAATACGTTGAGCCGTAGCTTGCGTCATACAAGTAATCTTTCAATCCGGCACGTGCTTTTAACTGAACAAGAAAATAGAAGATTTAAGACAACAAAGTATGAGGGTCTAGAGCTAAACTTCACAGCAGGCACAGCTACTTGTGCAAAGGAAATGCAAATTATAAGTATATGCAAATTATAGATGACGGACAACTATTTTTTAAAGTAGATCCAAGGTTAGAATTACTTTCCCACTCCCTGCGTCCTTCCATGGGTTAACATCGGGCGTAATGCATGGACATTGCGCGTGGCCAGTATTGGTTGGGGCTCCACTAGCGAGAGTCATGAGATCTGAGACTTGGAGTCCTCCACCGAAGAGCATTAAAGCACCTGTCGCATTCGATCTTCTTCTACGACCTGAGACGTTCGTTCTTCTTCGGAACGTTCTCGGTGCTTTGCAGTGATTCTCCGTAGACCCGAAAGGGTCGGGAGAGGCAGACGACTTCATTTTCTTAAAAACAAGAGAAGTACAGTGGGATATTGAAATATTATGGAGAGCACGACACAAGCTAATATTATGGAGAGACTACACCAGGAGAGCAAACGAGATCAAATTTACTGAAATCATATTTTTGCTAAAAAGCAGACGAGACTAAATTTCTTGAAATCTTATTTTTGCATGCATGGGACAGGATAAACCACGAGAAGTACTAGTTCCACAGTTCCTTGGATCATAGTCGGGAAGTGAGAGGGGATGGGATATTTGGGAAGAGAAAAGAAAACCTTAATGATAATTTCACAATTAAATGAGGGGAAGACAATATTTGTAAGCAAACCAGTTCCTGATGAATCTATGGTTTCTTAGGAATTGGAAAAGAAAGGCGTGCGAATAGAGTACAAGATGGAGTGCAACGAACAGTAAACTAAAACTTTCTCATTTACAGTGCAAATGTCGGGCTACGACTTAGGGTGGGGAGGGAATTATCTTATCTCAAAAATTAAACATTGGAGCACTCACTCTCGTTCCTTATACTTTACATCCTGAACTTTTCACCGCGAACACAGAGTAAGCTACAACTTCTACCTTCCTAGGTTAACCGCTTTCTCTCAGAGTCAGAGGACAGTACACCAAGTACTCTTTGTTTCCTTCTGTTTCTCTCGGATGTTGACTGAACATGATTCCATTATACTACTAGAAGAGCAAGACACCGAAGTGGGACAAGGTGGCTCCTCATAATAAATATGATAGTATCCGAGAAGAAGTTGTACTTCTGGTACACAAGCTGCAGCACCGAAATTTCTTTATCACAGAGGAGAGAAGGAGCCATATCCCTAGCTTCTGCGGTGCATATTTTGCTACCAACGAACACCCGGCTAGCACCCAGACAGAGTTCTGTTCATCGCCATCGCATCCCTAAGAACATGAACAACCATAGAACTACGAAGCTGTCGTGCAAGTTTAAGTTCAAGCTCATTGGCCTCGATCAAGTCAGAGTGCCAGTCGTTTTTTTTTTTCTTTTTTCCATAGAACTACATGCTACCTCCCATTCAACTACTTAAATAACATCATTTATAAAACTTACATACCGGGGGAGCAAGAAAACCGTATCACAACGGCCAAAAACTACGACTATCGGAGAGAACTATATTGCAATAGCCTCTGTAGAACAACTAAGGCACAGCCTAACAATGTAGGGCCCTGAAAGCAAGTGTTACAACCTGCAAGGGTATGACATGCCTGCCCATCGAAAAGTGACTTACTGGAGAAGAGCCTAAATAACCAGGAAATTAAACAATTAACAAGGTTATCAACAGCGTAGATCACGTGAACAGGCCTCCCTAAAACTAGTTTTTCTTTCAGTAAACACATTTGCTGCGACCGCTTGAAATTTTGTGTTATTTAATTAATTAATTAAAAGGCACACTCTACTCAATTAATTTACAAAATCTTATGGGACTTAGCAGTGTAGTGAATCGGCCTGATGGATGTTTTGCTGTTGGCAAAAAGTGCCGGCCTAACAATTCAAAACTCTATTTTTCTGCTTGTTCTTGTGCTTCAATTCGAGCGCAGTTGTCATCTCCTATACACGCTAGCATCTGCTTGCATCTTCCTTGTCCGCCTCACCTTTCTCCTCCTTCTCGCTGTGTTACTTTGCTGGGATTCGATAGAGCGCCTTGCCCTGTCAACATGAACGAGACGAGGACCACGCGGCATGTATTTTTGGAAATAAGACTTACGCCTATTCATCA